AAATCTTTGTAAGCCTACTTTTTTTTATCCCAAGGAAATGATTTTTAGAGAAACTTCAGAGGGAGGAATGAGGACTTCAATAATTTCGCTCCGCGGAAAATAAAATTCCTCATAAATATTTTAACTTGTGCAAAAAAAAAATTCAGCGGAAATTAGCGGGAAAAATCTGATAAAAAGCGGAAATCCGCGAATCCGCGGAAGAATCTCATCCCTGCAATTGGATACCGGCAATTAATCAGGTTCGACACCCACGCGTGACATCGCTTACAAGTATCCAATTAAATCTTATCCGAAAATTGATTCAACGTGAATAATAAACTAAATCAAATAGCTGCAATGCTATTACGTCAAGCACAACCATGTGATTTCAGCTGTCTTCTCGAGTTACAAGTACCCAATTATGCACAGTATCAATTCAGTTTCTTGCTCTGATTTTACTTTTAAATACGAATAAATATGAATGACAGAATTTCCACCTTTACTATCTAAAACTTAAATAACTACTACCTATTAGGTATATCGACTTTAGAGTGATTTCATTCGATTCAGAGTAAAAAATTACAACGGAAATATATCACGTGCCTAGATAGCTACGGGTATTATGACCACTCGCCTTATTAAAATATCGGTGGGAGTACTTAGCCGAATACGCTTCGCACACAGGTACTCGTGGCCTGAATGAGATTTCACTGTAAAAAAGCGTGCGACAGTCAACGTGCTAAAGGCTTCTTTTCCAGCCAATTTCTTACTAGTCTAGTTTTGGGGGAGGTAGTTAATGACCTTGAAAGTTGTGCAAAAGTTTCAGTTTTTTCTTTCTTATTGTTAAGTCATGCCAAATGTAAACAACACACAAGTTGATTTTTTAGGTACTACTCATTACTATGTATTCTCAGAAATATATACCTTTGTGTTTTACTGTTGGCACAAGTAGATTTTGAAGGACTAAGTCTAAGAGAATAACTTTATTTCGAAGATTTTTTAATGTCCTTTGATCTTCGATGCGAAAGTCCACTGAAAGTATTTGGCACTTAGTTCTTAGTATGAATGTAGTAGAGCACAAAATAATGCTCAGTTCACTCACAAACAGTATTACCACATGTAAACAGATGTTTTTTTTCTCCAAAATTCTAGTCTTCCGTTTTGACTACCTAAAACATTGAGAAAAACATGCGTCTATCAGTTTTACATAAAGAACGTGTCTTGAAATTTCTACAAAATCAAAAATGTCAGGCATTTAACCCTGCCAGATTCTTTAAAAAACTGGCTCTTAAATCCTGAATGAATATAAGAAATTGCTTGCTTAGTACATGAAACTTACATTAATATTATCTGGCACAATCGCAAGAAAACAGCCCTTTTATTTCATATTGAATCCTTAAAGCAACATGTTCAAAAGAATCTTAACAATTTAGAATAAATCCATTTAACGCTTCTAACAAATTTGCTCATACCACAGTGGGCATAATATGTAAGTACCGTTATACACTATTTAAAATATCACATACTTATAATTTATTTATTTTTTAAAAATTAGCAAAAGCACTATAACATAAATACCAGATACTTTGAAGACAATTTGATGCTTTGATATTTATATATAACTTTTACAAAATTATTTAACTGGTTGCGATAGCATTAAACGTCTCACATCTGTATGACAAGAACTGAACAATTTTTATGGACATTTGGTATGAAAGGCACCAACAGTAATGTGTTTTCACTGAACCCTGTGAGATTTTCCTGATTTGCATTAGTAATCAATTCAAATATGCTAAATTTTTTTAAACAGGGTAAAAGTTGGTTCAATGATTGATTTAAACATTATTTCTAAACACTGCATGATTGGAGAAATATAAAACTGCCTTATGACTTCTTTTCTTTTTTGTTTTTGTTACAGGTCAACCTCATATTGATTGTACTTCCTGGCTAACTTTGGTTACATTCACCATAGGATTCATTTTACAAGAATTACTTTTCTCAGGAAACTTTTTCCAATGAAAAAATATCTGTTTAGTGTTGATTGTACATAAATTTACCATTTAAAATGAATGTATGGATTATATTTGCTACAAATTACTTTTATATCTCACATTTCTATGAAATACATAATCAGGTTAGGAAATTTTATCAAAATTAAACGTTAAAAAAGCAACATTCTTTTACACTTGATTTCAACAGAACCTCCAACTTTTGATGTTTCAAAGTAAAAATTTATCTAAATAAAAAGTCATTGTAATATTTGTCGTCCTTGTAATAAGCAATTTCATTAAAATATCTGTTGTTTTGTTTCTTCTTGTATTAAATGTTAACACAGTAGGCCTCAAACTAGATCAGCTTGGAAGGCAAAATAAATAGGAATTTTTCTAAGTCACATCATACATTCTTGTGCAGTTCTTACTCGATAAAGGCTATCACTCCCTGCTACACAAACATAATTAGTGTGTTGGACATAGAACTAATTGGTCAGTTCACCAGCACAGAGGTTTTGGAGTCAGCTCCAAACTGTTCTGACAAAAACAATTAGCGATCGTGAAGAATAAATTTTAGTATTTTGTATGAATTGTATCAATCAAAAATTCAAGAGTAAAACAATTAACCATTAACCGTGAAGAATAAATTTTAAAAGAAATAATGCGAAGGGAAAAAAACTTAACATTAGGAAAATTAGACTTAGGTAAGTTTTATTTAAGTTATGGATGCTTAAATTTTCTTAAAGGTTTTAATGATTCCACACAAAAAATTTACTTTACAAAATGCTGTTGAATTAAAATTGATTTGATTGATTGCGTAGTGTTGACTCGTTGTCAGCATTTCAAAAAAGTTAAATCACTGGTCGATTAATGAAGATTTCAATGCTGTTTTTCAAGTTGAAGATATTGTTGAATGAAAAACTTTAAAATAACGATAACAAAAAGTAAACCAGTACAACTGACAACTGCAGATTAATAAACTGCAGATTTTTATTGCAAGTATGCAGAAAAATATAAGTAGTGCCACAAAATCTTTAACAAAGTTTCTTCTTCCTTATCCCCAAAATTAGCAGGGCTAAACAATGTCCATGAAATTCATCACCCGGAGGAAGTCGGCCACCATAAGTGTGTTATTAAGAATGTCCCTTTTGTCCAGACCAAGACAGTCCAGGATATGTTGGGGGGAAGCCTGCATGTTGTGGCACCTGGGGCAGTTAGGGTAGATTTTAATACTACCCTCAAATGAAAGGGACTTAAGGTGGCCGCTGATAAGCCTGTAATCCTTCAAAGTTTCTAATAGTGATATTAAACTAAACAACCATGATGGTGAAAGACAAGCTTCTAACAATAAGAAATAATTTTATCTGTTTAAATTTTGAATAATTCTTAAGAGTCAGGCTGAGGGGCAAAGCAAACCAAATTTTTTGGAATTCCTAGTAGCAGGGGTGATTGTGAGCCCCAAGTCAAAATTCTGGAAAATTTTTAAGCTTTAAAAAAAANAAAAAAAAAAAAAAAAAAAAAAAAAAAAAAAAAAAAAAAAAAAAAAAACACAGTTCAAATTGAAAAAAAATTTAAACAAGGTTTTTTTTCCTTTTCCTCAATATTTCTTAGTTTACTTAAAATATATTTAAAATTTTACACATACCTATGATGACCTGGAGAAGTAATTAAAATTTACAAATACATATATCTTTCTTTCTTGAGTTTATGATCATAATAACTATTTACTGATAAAAAATCATCTGATAAATAATCATGAATAAAAACTTATAAAGTATCACTCTGACTCTCCCTTACAAACAAATAAAATAAACTGTGTTAAGTTCCACCGTTGAAAATTTGATTTCCAGCAACTTTTGTGATCAATGATTTTTTGAAACGCCTGGACCTTCGATCTCCGGAAACTTTCGGATAACTGTTAGCAAAAAATCCAGAAATCCAAATTTTTCCCGGAGCACAATCAGCTCTGTAGTAGCCTTGTAACTAACCTACCCAAGTAAAATAAAATAAATATTAATATATGCTTTGGAATATAGAGATCCATTATTGGTGCTTTATATGAATAAATTTAGCCTAAAGTCAAGCCAAACACACGATATCTAACACAGATATTTATAATGTGAGGCAAAAGGAAACATTTTTTAGAGAATTAAAGTTAACCAATAATGTATTATGCTATAATGAAAAAATGGCTGATGGAAGAAAAATAAGAAAACTGAATTTGATCTTCAGTTGTATGACTTGAATAATAATTCTTGATGAAATTCGTCTGTTAAGAAAAAGATTTTAAAAATAGACTGATATATGACTGTCATGATACTAAAATAAAATTAACTGTTTTGTTTATTGAGAAAAGGAATAATTATTAAATATGCATATAAATTTGAGAAATAAATGAAATATTAAGTTAGGGGGAAAATGCATTTGATGGTATAAAGTTTAATAGTGATGTAAGATAATTCGGTTATATGACAATGGCTAAATGAAAGAAAATTTATGTCTGAAAGATAAGTAAAATATTTCCATAAACGTAAAATATACAGAGAGCAAAATAGGCAAATGTATCCTAGTAACAAAGCAAACTCATTCTTGCGCAATAACCAACAAAACCAGTGCTGTTCTAACACATATTAATCGGACATAAATTTTACCATCATTAATAACTGCCTACATGTTTGGATAATCACTTAATTACTGCAATAGAGAAACAACGAATTTTTATCATTTAAATACTGGTGAGTAAACACAATGAAGGACTCTGACAATCTTCCTAATATTGTGTTCTGAAATTTTTCAAGAAGTACCCCATATTACAGTACTAAAACATCTTTTGAGAATATTTGAACTTTATTAGATCATTAAAGTAAAACTTATAACCACTTAAGAATGAAGTGCTACCTACCGATTACATTTTATAATCATCCATTTCAGGAAGAGGGTGACTGAGCATTCGGCCTGATCATTAATAAGTTATATTTAACACGTTATCATCAAGTTAAGCTTGAAAAAAAGAGGCGAAAAAGAAACTTTTATAACATCTAATTTAATATTGCTAAACAACATTTGTTTTATATTTTATTTAAGTTAAAACATTTCAATTAATTAAAATAGGATTCAAAACATCATAAAAGCAACATAGTAGGAAACATAAAAACCAGATATATTAAACTGTATTTCACTTTAAAAATAATGAATATTCTTGAGATAGGCAATCAAAGCTGTGCACAATCATACTACACTGCTTTCTGAGCTGTGCAATAAAGAGGAACAAAATGAGAAAACAAGAGCAAATAATTATTGAATATAAATGTTTAAATTTTCTTAAGACTTCTGATAATCTAGGAATTTTTCAATTATTTCACCTAAAATTTAAAACTAATTTTCTGAAATAAAACTCGTCTGCAAAGTAACAATTATTACTTCATTCAAAAAATAAATAAAATAAACCAAATGACAAGCAACATCAAAATATTATAAAAATAAAATGTAATCCTAAATTTAGACAAAATAATAATGCATTTTTTTAACAGCCAGTTTAATGCGCTGTTACACCAAAAAAAAATTCTAAAATATTTTTGCTGAACATTAAGTATTTTCAGATTAAAAGAAAATTATCATAAATAAAATTAGTCACAAAAAGACAGTTTTTTGTTGTCATTTATTTTGATTTTTAAAGCATAACTTTATAATTTAGAGTATACAAGGCTTTACAAGTATGTAAATACATTCTCACTATACTGCAACAAACCATTTTCACTCAAAAATATGTACTTCAGCAATGAGAAAAGGTGAATCATAACATAACTTTATTTAAATACTTAATCTGGATTTTGTTTTTATATGGACAAATCTGCATTGTTAAACATGTAACATGCTGAATAAAAATTAAACAACAGCATGCCAAATGAAGTGTTTATTTATTTTTTGTAATCTCTTAGTCCAAGTAGTTTTTGTTTTTTAGAAAGCAAGTTCCTCAAGTTCTAATAATGTCTTATTACTCAGAAACACAATGAAAAAAGAGGCAGTTCAAGTTCATTCTCTCAAAGACAAATTAAATATCAATGAGGAGGTGGAGGCTCAGTAGTTTTGTTTCTATCATCTACTTGTCTTAGAGCTTTTCTCCTAGTAGGCGATGTACCCCTTTCCCTATTACTTGTCCTACCAATGGGTCTTCCTCCGCTGCTCAAAGCATCCCTGTTGTTAGCTCGTTGTGATGTACCCCCTCTTCCAATTGGATTATTGTAACTATTGCCAGCACCGCGATTATGAATCCTACCCTGTTGTGGAGGACGCTGGGCTGGAGGCTCTTCTTTGCTTCGAGGTTGCCGTATTTCTTCAACATTAGAAGATTGCACAGAGTGAGAACCAGACTCTGCTATGGCACTTATGGGTTCTCTCCGAGGACCGTGATTATCATTAACATCGGGATATTGGTTTGCCTCTTCTCCGTTTGAATTCAGATCAATTACTTTAACAAGACTGTCTAATTCTTCATTATTAAATTGTTCGCCTAATGTATTGAGTAAGAGTTCTTGGACAAATAGACTACGTTCTGCATGCTCAATTTCTTGGGCTAATTGCTCACCTTCAGTAATGACGGGGTCAGTGCATCTGAAAATGAAAATAAATGGTAAAATATATCATCTTATATTAACCAAAAATAATTATGAAAAATAAAATAGAAAAAGAAAAGATGTTTTAATTACTGATACGATTAAACATTCTAGTTTAAATTCTGAAAAATAAAATATCTAAAGTTTAAAAAATTAGCCAGCATAATTTCAGAAAACATAGCACACTTTATAGCATAATAAAATAAGATATGCAAAAGTTATTTGCTGGTACACTATGCAATATCACGAGATTTTAATGAATGAGTGAGCTAAATAAATTTGTTACTAAATTAAAAACTAAAGTATTAACTCAAAATTATATCATTGTTACTTAAAATAAGGCTTTAGTCATAAATTGATAAGAAGCAGTGTTCCATGTAGTGTTCATCAGAAGATACAATGTTTAATTCAGTAATTTTAAACCATACTAAAAAAGTTTTTATGTATATAATATTTAGAGCCAATTAATGTTTTTAATTGTTCATCAGAATAAAACAATTCAAAAATAACATTTTTATAGGCATTTAGGACTTTTTTTATAATAAAGTACAGTAGGGAACCGATTATCCGGAACGATCGGGACCATTGCTATTCCGGATAACTGATTTTTCCGGTTTTCTGAATCGCTACAAAAAGCTGTTTTTTTTATTGTTAAATCCAACTAAAAAAAATAATATTTGGAAATAATCTTAAAAAGAAGAAAAAACGATGAAGTAATACATTAATGATTATTTCCAAAATGATGGTAAGGTAAACATCTTTCAAAAAAGAAAGAAAAATCCTAAAATCTTATGAGGAAATTTTTAAAATGGCGGGAAAATTTATCGAATTTTGTTCCGGTTTTTTGGTCTTCCGGTTTTCTGATTTCCGGATAACGGGTACTGTACTGTACTAACAAACTTTCGCATGCACACCCAGACAAAGATTAAATGAAAAACTTCTTATAAACAGAAAACCTCAAACAAAAAAACTTAGAACAAGTAATTTATTAAATTTTGTAATTAGTTTTAACCCTTGTATTGCTACCTAATTATGATGAAATTTGTTCAAAAATAGCTGATTTTTATTAAAAAAACTGATTCCATTTTTATAAAACTCAATATTGATTATTTCACATACCAGCTAGGACTGAGCGATGTTAAGAATTTGGCATCACGACGTATCGTCACTCTAACATTGCAAATTTATGTTACATTAATGATTAATATTTGGTATTACGCAATTTTGAATTCTTGCAATTTATGTTTGAGGATTAAGACAATTACATTTTCGTAATTAACTCAATCCTCAAATACCCAACATAAAAAGTGTCAAAAAATGCTATAAACTTGTCGAGTTATCAACAATAAATTCAAATTTAAAAAATAAAAAAAAATCAATAAATCATATCAGTGATATAACACATTGAAAGCAAAAAGAAAAGAAAGGAAAAGGCGGAATAGCCGAGGCAAGCTTGCAGCAAAGTTAAAAAATTATAAATATAAAATCAAAATTTAAACACACATTGAGGCAGCATTTATAAAATTCATTATCAACAGAAAAATAAAAAACTTTGCTGGTGATGAATTGGGAACAATAAAAATTTGAGAATAGCTAAAGCCAAAAAGGTGTGACTTCCTAGTCACACCCTTCTCTCGTAAATTTAGTACATTACTATCAATATTTAATTTATAAAAATGAATGGGTAAAAAAATCACTGAATAAAAAGGAAAATATTAAAAATTCACATTTAGTGTTGCAATTTTAATAAACATTAAATTTTTTTTTTTTAATTTTCACACAATGATTGTTTTTCAATAATTGAAAATGTACATTTCAGCAAAATAGTGGTTAAAAATTATAATTGGCAGGATTGATTGTAAAAATAAAAACATCAGAGGTTTTTCAAAAATAAAAGAAAGCACCTTTTGAAAACAGAGATTCAACAACATTTTCATTCTCAATTATTAGCAGTCATAGTGAGAAAAATTGTGTTAGCCAAACTTATATTTCTGCTTGATGAATCGATAGAAGAAACATGGAGAAAGATAACCATAATCACCAAGGCAACCACAGTTAACTTAAGATTCGGGGGAGAAAAAAGCTAATCACGAGAACTTCAAGTCATTGATATCTGAATGAGAGAATTGTTCTTCATGCACGCTTAAAACCATTGATGCACTATCAGGAACAATGCTTATTATTATATGTGCCTTATCATTGATGCCAGTAATGCACCGCAAAGCACATTGTGGGGAAATCGGAGCTTCCGATGCTTGAAAAAAGAAAGAAAAATGCCAATCTTAACATCGAGAATGATTGAATAACATAGATATTCAGATGCATTGATGTATGGCTCAGTTCTAACCTGTATATAAGTTTAGCAATTGTTTGAAGACATATAACAAGTTATTGATTAACCTTGTTTCACCTTAAACTTGACTTTTTTCATATCTAAAATCTTAGTAGCCTTTTTCTTTCTATTATTTATTATAATGAAAAATACAATAAAATTTTATATGAATGAAACAAGTTTTTTGCAAACAGCGTTTGCGCATTCATATATATTATCCACATCAGTTGCACAACTAATATTTTTTCATACAATATATACATATGCATACAAAATTACAGCATTTAGAATTTGTAGAATAATTTCAAATAATACTACTTTTTTCTTTTTTTTTTTAATTAAGAGCATATACAAATTAGTTTCAAAATTAAAAAATAATTCACAAATTTGAAAAATTATTAACTATTTTAATTTACATCCGAAAATTTATTTATCCCTTATTCAAACACAATCATTTTCTCATTACAATTACATTATCCATTTTTTTAAAAAGTAGCTTTTTGACATAATCAGATTAAAGTCTTCTTATCAAAGTATTAAATTTTATCTCCATGTATTAAAAAAAAATTCCCCTTTTTTCCATAAGAGGAATAAGGTTGAAAGAGTAATAAGAATATTTAGTCATAGGGGTAATTTAGCCATAACAGTTGAAATAAAGTATATATTAGTAATATTTTTTAACAGTTTATATTTTTAAACTTGCTTAAAAATTTGATTACAATGTTAAATTCAATTAAAATGTTTGATGCTAAATTTTGATACTCCTAACAGAAAATAGAAAGAAATTTTTAAAAAACATTAAAATAAAACAAAACTTATATAACAAAGATAAAAGAAATTTTTAAAAAAAGTGAACATTTGATTCTTAACAATTAAAGTCAAGCACTAAAAAACTATTTGAACTTCAAAAGATTAGTCCCTGATTTATTATAAAATAAAAGATAGAGAATGATTCTAAAAAAATTATTATTTATTTATTGATTTAACAAATTGACAATTTGAAATTGTACTCATTTAAAGAAAAACCACTTACATAAATTAGTATTTTTTAGAATGCAAATTGATTTAAAATTACAACAACAGTTCATAAGTTGTGCAAAATATGGAAAGTAGTTTCAGTATATTTCAGTATATTATTAGGACAATAATTAGCTGAAGAGGATATTCATACTTTTTTTATTACGACCTACCTACAATTTGTTTCAATGAAGAATTTTTTAAATGTTTAAACTTTGTCAGTTTACTTTCATTCACTCTTTTTTCTGTCCTTATTACCATTAAGAGGCTCTCTCAAACTTGTTACTTTAAAGACAGTTATTGCCTCAAGTGAAAGACACAAGAAATTAAATTAGTTAAAATACGGACAATTTTTGCAAAAAGTAAACAGAGATTTTTTTTAAGTAAGAGAATTGTAATCTCTAATCTAATGGGGGAAAAAAAGATATTTCAAAAGATATTATTTTAAAACCCCGGAATTTTTTTTCTCACCTTGATAAAAGGAACTGTGGTCCAGAAGAGGCCGATGAAGGACTAGAAGAATCAAGAGAAACAGTAAAATGGGTTTGTAGCGCACTGCTACCCCCTGCACCGGCTGAAGCAGAAATGCTTGTGGTCACAGTTTGGCGACGGGGCAATCTTTCTAATTGCTGCCTAGCCATTTGTGCTTGCTGCCGTTCCAATTGCAACTGCATCTGAAGCTGTTGAAGTTGGGAAGTAGTGTTCGATTGAGCAAGATTGGAACGACGTACAGAGGATAGCTGTGAAAGTAGCTCTAGAAAGAAAAAAAATTTTAATGCGCAAATGAGAAATCAATATCTCACAAGAAATAATAAATGAATATTAACTTCTTCATAAGAACTATTCTAAAAACTTAATAAGTTTAACAGAAGCATTCAACATAAAAGTATACGCTTATGAATATGTAGTCTATTTGATATTTACTACATTGCTTAAGTTGTTACAAAGAAATCCAAACATATTCTTGCATAATAAATGAAAAATATTCAGGTTGATTCACAGTTGTACCAATTATCTAAATTTTTTCCATGCAGAACATAATTATGTTTAGAAACATGTAGCAAATTAATAGTAAGATTATAAACTGTCAATATTGAATAAAATTTAAATTATGAAACCAGATCTAGTAACATTGTAAAAAATATTTCAGGAGCATTACAGCAAAACATCTTAACTATAAAAAGAATTATCATTGGTTAACAGTTATTTCATCAAAGTATTTTTCAATGTATGCTTAATATTCAAGGTTCTTAGTTCAATTTAAAAAAAAAAAACTCTTAATTTTTAAACAGAAACAGTACAAGCTAAAAAATATATAACTGTAATAAATTCACACACTTGATAAAGCGGTTTCAAAATGTGCAAAATTCTCATATTTTGAAAACTTTGCATGTCATAATAATATTATATAAAAATCATTAGTAATTTAAAAACTACAAGAAAATCCATGGAAATAGACAAAACCATTTAGATTTGTATGATTTCAAAATTGCATGTCAAAAATTATTATCAAAATGCTCAACTCAAACTTTGCAGATCATATTAGCATCATATTTAAAATATTGGCACTTTAGAAAATGAAAGTAAAAGTAAAACAAAAGAAGATAATAATGAGTAACAGAAGAAAAAAAATCAATCACAAAATTATTTGAATTTATGACAGAATATAGAACATTATAAGTGATCGTTCGTATTCAAAATTCTACACATTGAATTAATATTGTACTTTAAGAAACCATGCAGAATTTGAGAAGTTAAAAATATTTGTTACAACTGCAAAAAAGTGATAAATAATATGGGGTACCACAATAGCATCGAATTAAAATTATTAGATTTAGAAAAAGCATGTGAATGTGTCAGAAAAAGTGATAAATAACTGATTTTACGATTTATTAAAATTGGCTGCATAATTCTTTAAAAACTTCTTCAATTTTCTTCTTCCGGTTTTGAAGACATACGCAATGGCAAAAAGCGCCAAGTGAAAGCCAAAAACACCTCTCTCCACCAGGAAAAAAAAATAAAGTGTTTAAGAGCAATGAACGAAAGCAAAAATATAGCATCAAACATCAGGATACAAAATCAAGCACTTTTACTACAATAAAGTCAGCAGTATATGCAAAGTGTGTTGAGTAAAAGCAGAAAAATACAGGTGTCCATCGGGTGATAAAATCAAGTGGTAATGAATGACAAGCGAAAGCAGAAATACTATTAAGCAGGGTTCGTTGATTTAAATCAGCTTGATTTAAATCACGATTTAAATCAAATGATTTTTTTAAAAAAATCATTGATTTAAATCAACTAATTTTTTTTATCTATATATATTGATTTTAAAAGTTAAAAGACAGTGTTTTAAATTTTTGATACTTCTATTATTTTCTTTTCTTAGTATTAAAATTTAATTTAAATAAATTGCTGCATTAATTAATTTTAGTTAACGAAATTACTTTCTTGGTGTGTGTTAAATTCCAACACATTTGAAATTACANAGACAGGTTTTTTATATATATTCTTAAGCTTTAATACACAAATAATGCAACAATTTTGGAAAAAGGAAAAAAGTTGGACACAACATGATAATGCGAAACTCGAGAAACGTGTTTTATAACTTTACTATAAATTAAACGAAAACGTTAATTACAAATTTTACTATAGAATCATAATTTTAAAAAGAAAATTTACTCCAAAATACATTTAATACCTTATAAATTAAACTTGATTGAAGACAATGTTAAGTGAGCAGGAGTGCTATTCTTGGAATACCTTCAGATTGAACTTTTCGTGAATTCAATCAATATGATCAAGGGATACCAGCTGATAATTTAATATAATGAACTGATAACAGCACATAGTGGGTAAAGAAAAAGAAGAAAAATACCTTAAATGAAAATTCGTGAACTTATTTTAAGAAGTTTTAAAATTGCATTATTAATTTAACTCTTAATTGGATTTAATTTTTATAAAGAGTCAATGACATAATTTAGAATTCTATTAAAAGCCTAATTCAGTAAATAATTTTTAATTAGAAAAGTATTACAGTTATTTTAAATTAAATCAAACATTTTTAAGTGAAATGCAATTTGCGAATGATCACTTAATTCACTCCTTTTAAAAATTCTGTGATTCTTGAATTGCTGATTGAATTAAAATTATTTTACATTAACTGCATAAAATGAGCAATCCAAAACTTTGAAATAATACAAGATTTGGTTAATAACTGCATCTTCAAAATAGTAAATTACAATATTAACTCTTATATAATTTCAAGAAAGAAAAATTTAATTAAGCTGTATTTTTCATAAGTCCTAAATTTCTGAAACAAGATATTAGGTAGAATAAAAAAGATATACAATATCTGGACAATTTCCCAGCTCAATTTTAAAACTTAAGCCTTATTTTTAATTGAAATAAATAAAAAGACAACTAGCAAATGAGAATAAAATATATACTTTTAAATAAAAACAAAAAGTTTTAGAAGCTTCTTCCTAATTTAAATCTAATTTCTTTTAGAAAAATCTTACCACTTCTCTTTGATTGATAATCAGTGTCAGGATTCTGATTCCTATCCCATGCATTTGATTGACCCCTGACCTGAGGGTCAGAGGGTGAGGGACACAGGAAGTGTTGTTTACCTAGAGTGGGGGAGTTAGGTGAAGCAAAGGACTTTTATCGTTTAGAAAAAGGGATTTTTAATATAGATTGGATGTTGAGAGAGTATAGATGCAGAAGGGAGCAATGGAGCTCCAGAATTTTTATGTTATGTAGCACATGTATATTTTCGTATTTAATTTTAAACCTTAATAGTCAAAACTCCCAAAATAAATGTATATATTATGAAAAGTCCTTGTCATCATTCAGCAGATCTAAACAAACGAACCGAAATAAAACCATCCCACAAAGAAAGGAAAGTCATAATCAGTATTCTCGTTTTAGTACACTTTTAACAATACATATGCAGGGGTGATTGTGAGCCCAAGTCAAAATTCCGGAAAATTTCTTGANAAACAAGATTTTTAATTACAGCAGATGTGATTCCACACCAAGAAAAACTTGCAATTGATACCGCACTTCCAAAGAATGAGAATTTATTCAAAAGAAAAAGATTTTATTTTTATTAGTCGATGTCAAATAAATATATTTTTCTCTTTTCTTTTTCTGTTCACTGATATGCATGCAATGCATTTCATTCCTCCCTTCCCTGCCTACAAGGTCACGGAGAAAATGACGTTTCTCTGGGTAAACGGGGGAAAAAATTTTCCCCTTCCTTACATTTTCCTCTACTTAACTTCAAGGATGAGTCCTATTTCCGCTTTTTTCGTTCTAGTTTAAAATGGCGGAAAAATCGAGCAAACTTTTCCCCGGTTTTCTGGTTTCCCGGTTATCTGGATACCGGATAAATGGTTCTCTACTGTATTATGAAAAGTCCTTGTCATCATTCAGCGGATCTAAACAAACGAACCGAAATAAAACCATCCCACAAAGAAAGGAAAGTCACAATCAGTATTCACGTTTTAGTACACTTTTAATAATACATATGCAGGGGTGATTGTGAGCCCAAGTCAAAATTCCGGAAAATTTTTTGAGTTAAAAAAAAAGTTTAAATTGAAAAAAATTTAAACAAGGTTTTTTTTTTCTTTTTCTCAATATTTCTTAGTTTACTTAAAATATTTTAAAAATTTTACACATATCTATACCATTTACACATACCTATGATGACCTGGAGAAGTGATTAAAATTTACAAATATGTCTTTCTTTATTGAGTTTATGATTACAACAACTATTTACTAATAAAAAATTAATATTAATCATGAATATAAGCTTATGAAGTATATCTCTGGCTCTCCCTTACAAACAAATAAAATAAACTGTGTTTTTAAGTTCCACCTTTGAAAATTTGATTTCCGGAAACTTCTGTGATCAATGATTTTTTTAAACATCTGGAACTTCGATCTCCAGAAACTTCCGGATCACTGTTAGCGAAAAATCCGGAAATCCGGATTTTTTCTGGAGCACAATCAGCCCTGCATATGTAAGAGCTACAGATTTAGACAGGAGTGTAAAATTATAAATAGGATTATATCTTTGACCAGAATTGACTAAATCTATCTAAAAATTTTGATAGAAGATGTATAAATAAGGTTTTAAAATTCCGAGTTTCTATAGAAAAGGAGATATAATATCTCATATGTCCACTTTCTATACTTAAGTGTAATACCCATCAATTTTCAAAGATTTTTATTTAAGATCTATATGTATACAATAAGAGACATTCATAAAAAATAAAGTACTTCTGTTTACAACACATAAAAAAATTAATGGTTTTTGATTTATGCACGGTTAACATACCAGCTATTGGATCCATTGAATCTCTATTATTTGGAGAAAGGGATGCTAAGCCTCCGGCTGAAGTAAATTGCATCTGAGATCTCCGAGCTCGATTGCTGCTCATTCCTCTTCCAGCATGTGGAATTCTTCGAACATGTCTTGAACTAATTGTCTCATCTTGGTGAAAATTAGTTAAGAAAAATAAATCATAACATTATCAGGTGACATAGTGGGCCAATATATTTGGAATTTTAAAAAAAATCAAGGCTAAAAATTTTTTGGAACATGACAAGACTACTTTCAAAAATGGCAAATGAGAAACTAGATAAAAGTACTTAAAATTGCTTTACTTACATATAATAATAATATATATTATTTTCTATCAAATAAACATTTAAAAACTGTATGGTATGATAACTGTATTGTTGACCGACATCAAGAATTTTTCAAACAAGATGCACAAGATTTGTTATTGCATATGCTAAAAATAATATACAAGCGTATGACCTTAGAATACGTTACCATAAAAATTTATAAAATAATGAAAAGTTATTGAGTTTTTTTTAGTAAATTACAAATAAAAATTTGACAGATACAGAAAAAATTGTTTAGAGCAATTATAAGACTTCACACAAGAGCAGTGATGCCATATCACATTGATGTTATTCTATAGCGTCAATACAATATTTTTCAGTTTAATTGCAATCGTTTTCTATAGTACAAAATAATTATGTTAAGCTTCAAAATTTGTTTTGTATAATATGAAGATTAACAATACTAATCTTAAAAAATATATATATATATATTATTTAAATTTAAATACCAGCAAATAATTCTATCTATTACTAAAAAATAAATAAAAATAGGGATTCATCTTCAAACTTCAAAAAAAAGTTACTAAAATAAAAGGTTGTAACTTTAGTAACTATTTAGTTATTTCAGTAAAAGTTACTAAATGAAAAGAGTACAAGAGAGATAGGAGGTTATTGAACTATATCAAGAAATTGAACTTTTCCATAAAATTCAAAAGCCTGATTCCAATTGAAATTAAAATCTACACAAATCACAAAACACCTAAAGTCTTTCAATAAAACAATGTAGAAACACTCTTTAGACTAGTATAGCTTATTAATACAGCAAAAACAATACATTAATAACTTGTATTCAAGCAGACAGGTTTTTTTGCAAAATGGCTAAATGTTGGGGGGTGGGGGAACTATAGCAGGGATAGAACAGCAGCATACTGATTTTGGAGCAGAAAAAATATTGGTTTTGGAGCAAATTGGTTTTATTAGCAGATCGACGCAAATAAATTTCGTTTTCTGAGCAAATTTACTGATACTTATAAGATGAAATTTAGCTCTTAAGGTAAAATAATTCTGAAGTTATAGCTGTTTAAAAATTTTAAAACTGTAAAAAGAAAATTGAGAATTTCTACAAGTTCAAAAGTGTATAATTTGGAAAAAAATGGTGCAAAAAAATCTAAAGTTTAGCTTTTTCAACTCAAAAATAGGTTTCTCAAACATCTTAAAAAATCATAGAAATTGATGCCCAGAAGAAGAAGAAAAAAAATTTGACTTGTGATTACCTTCTTCTTTAATTATTCTTATACTTAAAAAAAAAGTCAGGAAATACAATTATTATTTCTTTGTTAAAATAATATATACATAATTAATAACTTTAACACTACACTGCATAATATGAAAATAATAATTAATAGTAAATATGAAATATAATACTCACTAAATATATGATTTATATGATTAATAGTAATAAAATATGAACTATTTTTAAATCAAGCATGAATACGAAAACATTTTAACAATTCTGAAATATGAGATATATTGAAAAGGATATAATATCTCTATTCCGATGGTCAAGAGCTAAATGTGCAGAAAAATCATCAGTCATGTGATTTGGTTCACCACCTGGTTGTGAAGCACAGACAGGACATACCTACAACAAATAAAATCATAAAATATTAATTTTCTTGCTCAATACTCTCTTTGAATTAAAATAGCATTTTTGAGAAATAAAATGGATGAACTTCCACAGCATTTACTTTTTTGGCAACTCAATTGGCCTCCATGCATCACAGATAAATGGATGCCAATGAAGCAAAATCAAGTGTTTACGCAATAAAAAAAAGATCACTTGATATTCCAGATATCATTCAGACTTCACTTAAAAATCCAACCCATTTAAAAATTAAACTCCAATATTTTTGGTTTAAAGTTAAAAAAAAGAAGCTAAATAAGTTAACTCCCTAGTATCAAAGGGAAGATCCAAGACCCCCAACACCTTTTCAAATACATTAAGCCAAAAGCAGACACGTGATTTCTGGAAGAAAAAATTATCTGAAATTTTTTATTTTCTATTTTTTAGTGCCTGCTTTTATATTTTCGTGTGCATAGAAAACAAATAAAAGACTGTCGTTTCTATGCACAAAAGTAACATTTATAAAATTGAAGAGAGAACGAACAAAAATTCGCATTTCACAAGTCGTCATCCCAAAATACAAAAAAAATTTAAATTTATAGTAATAACTGAAAAAAGATAATACCACATGTATATAAGCTGAAATCACATGATTCGGATGCATCAAAAAGGGGTTAATCAAATTTACATTTCAAGATTTATGTGTTATAATAAAAAATATCGAGATTTTAAAAATATGCTAAAATCAATAGCAATAACAGTCGAAAAAAATTTTGAAAAAAAAATGATGGAATTAAGCGTCAAATAGTGAATAGTAAGGTCCGCAATTTGAATTTCCTGTATCATAATATCAATGGGATTTTAAAAAACCATGTGGATATCAACAGAAATAGCCACCAAAAAGAGCCAATTGTAACGCCACATGGAATTTACGCAAATTGAACATAGTCAAATTATTCAAGTGCACTATACAAATTTCTCATTTCTTAATAATATCATATGAAAATATCAAAGCATAAGAAACCACACGGATTTCAGCAAAAACTGGGAAAAAGTCTATCGCAAAATCATCTCGTCAAAATTAGACTAATAAATGCATACATTGAATTTTGTGTGTCGTAATAATGATGTATAAATAATAGAGGGATTTTTTTAAAAAAGAAAACGCCTGAGAAAATTCATGGCAATAATAGCCCATAAAACTATTGAAACTCCACATTGATTAACGATGGTACCGACACAAGTTGAGCGCATCAAAAACTGATTACTCAAATTTTTACGTATCATGATAACATCAAAATTTTAAAAACCAAGAGAAAATAAATTAAATTAACTGCAAAAAAAAAAAGGTTGAAACACATATTTATGATGGTATCAAGCGCGTTGCAAAATGATTAATGAAATACAAGTTTAAAAAATTTTATGTCGTAATATCAAATTGAAATTAGTTTGATCTGACTGTTACCAAATAAAAAAGAAGGCATATGTACCATATTAATTAAATACTTTTTCTGTTTCAAATCGGAATTAGCAACAAAATAGCTATTAAAATATAAGTTTAGTTATCGCATGTGAATGAAACTCTTAAAAAAAATGTGCTGGTAAGGGCCGAATAAATGCCTAGTTAATTTCAATTTGTATAAGCAACTAAATTTAAATTTTAGGTTAGCGGATTTCTGAGAAAATTTGGTCGATATATAAATTGTGAATCAGCGGTCTTGAGATAAGCTGAATTCTGCAAATTACCAGAACAATCACATACCTGCAAGAGTTTTTTTACACCCCCTGAGACTTTTCTAACGCTTAAAAAGGAAATAATAAAAGGGTCAATAGTTTCTTCCCTAATCAGATGTTAACTGGGAACAATGTAGAACGAAAAATTAATTGATTCTTAAAAACCTCTATCTTTAGCAAAGAAAAGCTTATAAGTTATAAATATAAGTTATAAATATAAGTTATAAGTATAAAGTTAGAAATATAAGTTATAAGTATAAAATATAAGTAAATTAATCATTGAAAAAAAGATGCACCTTTTTTTGCACCAGTTAAGTTTTGAAAAACTAAGTTTCCAAACTTTAATTCATGATTTGATTTTATTTTTCATAATTTTTTCCCCTTCTTTTTTTTGGGGGGGGGGGGAGTTGGATTTTCCTATATCTAATTCATTCCCTTATAATATTGAAACTACTGATATTCATAATCTGGAGAAATTTGAAAGTATGTCATAACCTAAAGAACAGACAATGTAATATCAATATTTAAATTTCAATTCTTCGTTTGTTTATAATTTTTAATTTCTGTTAAGATACAAAATACAAAACTTACAATTTCTGCAGACGATTCAGAATGTTCAGCAGAAACATGTTCTGTCAGAGCAGATTCAGTTAAACCCATTCGACCACAAAAAGGGCACGTAAATGACTGAGGATGTTCAACAGATGCTGCTTCCCCTCCATAATATAAATCTTTAAAAAAAAAATTATTACTTGAAGCAAAATAGTTATAATCAAAATACATGCATACATAAAAGCTTAGCTATGATAGTTAAAACATAAAAATAATTTTTGTTATATTCAAATGCCAGTCTTAACAGCATTTTCATATCAATCTTTAGAACAAATTAGCAATAAGAAACATAATAGGAAAATAAGTCTTCTGGGAGACAATAGATTAAAGATCTTAAAATCGAATACCTACACATAAAAACTTATATAGATGGATAGAAAATGTGTTTGTTTTTTTATTATTATAAATATCTACAAAAAATGGGGAGTTTTATATGAAGTATAACTCAGATTTCAATGAACTTGATGTACACAGACATAAGCAGAGATACAGAAAATTCGCAGAGCCTTATATTTCCACAGAAACAATAGGTCTTTGGTTTGAAATTTTTTGCAAAATTATAGCATTTTTTCTTTCAGTTACAATAAACTTTTCAAAATATTTTTATAAAGTTATACTTGAAAAATTTTGACAACTTTTTCTTTAAAAAGAAAAATTAATTAATTTTGTTTACACAATTCTTGAAAAAATTAACATATGTGTTAAATTTTAAAAATCAAAATATATTGCAATAATTTATAAAACTAAATTTAAGGTGACTCTAAAAAATTAAGGAATTCAAACTAATAAATAAACAAATTGATATAAAATTTGTGTTATATTTAACAGAAAATATAGCTTTCTTTTTTTTAACTGGACCTAAAATTTTCCCTTTGATGTCTGAATCTCCCCCAAACTATTTAGTGTGCTTGGACATATACCAAATATTAAAAAAAAAAAAAAAACTTATTGCCCAAAAATTTTCATTTTTACATTACTATAGTCAAAAGCAGGCAGTATTTGATTTTGCAAATCACACATTAAACTGCACCATACTGAGAAAGTTTTGAGAACTACTTCGCATATATTGTTTACCCTTTTCCTGCACAAAGTCATGGTATAATAGTAAGGAAACAAAAGCTTAGAATAACAGTGTCTGCCTAATAAAGGAAAAAAAACCTTTAGCAGACTACATTTCAATACATTGCATAAAAAAAGATTTAGCAGCACCAGCACTGCTACTGAGGCTAATAAAATACTAAATTTTAAACTATATATACATTACTTCAATTATTATAATTTATTTCCAAACCATTTAAAATTAATTAATTTTTTATTTCAATATTTTCAATAATTGAACTGAAATGTTTGAAACAAAGTTTAGGACAAATTGCTTTGATATTTTCTGTCACAAAAATAATGATTCAGTAAATAAAAGGATCTAAAAGCAAAACAATATTCTTTTAGTGAAATGCAAACTGGAATATTGTACTTTTATAAAGTAAAAGTTATAAATTTAAATTCTAACTCCTTTTAACTTTTTATTTTTAAATAAAATAGCTTAATAGGTTTAAACCTGATAACCAATATAGTAAGAAAATCAAACTGAAATTAATAGCTGGATTGTAGAAAAACATTTTATGACTTTCTAACATAAAAATATAGTCAAAACCAGATTTAATGAATTCTCTAAAAATGAAAGTATTGCTTGATAAATCAAGCTTTTTTACCAATATTAGGGTCAAAAATAAAAAATAAATTTCTGCACTTATGTTAACAGACAAATATATAAACACCAAAATAACCAAAACTAGAAGATGTACACTTTTTATTAAACAGATCAACAACAAAAAAAGAAGCTAATTCTGAATGCACTAGTTCATTTTCTTAGTGTCTGGAAATTCACTTTCTACAAGATTTTTCTCAAACTTGGTCCAAGAATATCTCTCAAAATACAGAGCAATCAAAAAGTTGGCTCTTTATCTTTTCTCTGAATTTTTCTCCAAACAATGCTATTTTTCTCATAACCAATTCTAGTAGAATGAATATTAACGATATCTAGTGACTGAAACACACGCATTTGTACAATTTGCAGGAAAAAGCAAAAATGACATGATTGAGAGCTGGAAAATAATTAACAAGAAAATTTTTTATCTTTTATCTCTTCATAAGCTTATGTGAAGATGAAGAAATGTCTGAGCTAAAATTTTATTCAAATGTTAAAAAAAATTCATCACAAAAGCCCGAAATTTTTTTTAAAAATCTGTTGCATTGAGATTTATTTAGCTTTCATATTAATAGGGATAAAAGAAAAATTTATTAAATCCTAAGATTCAGTAAATAGAGAATCATTAAATCAGGGTCTGAGTGCAATAAAAATAGGAAGTTCATTATCATTCAAATTAAGGATGCACAACCAGCGGCCTGCAAACAACCTGCGGCCCAACGACTGCCGAGGTGCGACCCACAGGGGCTTCTGAACTAAATGAAACTTTTTTTCTTTTTTTAGAAAATAAAATTTTGAATCGCATACTTTTGACTCATAATTTTTTAATGTGCTCACAATTTGCACTGATTCTACTGTATACCCATGTTGTTTTTCAATTGCTTTTACACTGGTTATGGCTGCAAAATTCCACATGGTTTCAAAAGACCCAATATAGTTAATATGATATTACAATACGCGAAATTCAAATTTGAGTAATTTTTGTCATTTCATCATAAATCCAAGTGACGTTTCAATTGTATTTAGGCATTTATAATTACCTATTTCCATGTGGTTTACAAGATTCCAACACATTTATTACAATTTGTGAGCTATAAATTGTGCATCTAATTTTTCACTTTCTTTATTTGTACCTACAAATTTTATCATAAATTTCAATGACTTCTTTAAAAGGCAGTTAGTGCTACACTTTACCATGTGATTTTGAGAATCCAGAATTTTTATTAAAATATTATTATGACACATGAGTTTCAAATCGCACATTTAAATAATCACTTTTTGGCTCACTTTGCTTTTTCCAATTTCATCATAAATCTAAGTGACGTTTAGATCTTATTTTAGCATTTATAACTACTAATTCCATGTGGTTTATAAATTCTCGATACATTTATTACAATGTTACGTCGCCTGAAATACAAATCGTGCATCAAATTTATCACTTTTTGACGGGCTTTATTTGAGCCAATTTAAATGTTTTTTAAGCAAAGTTATTGGAACGTTTTTCCATATTTTTGAAAATCTCATTTTTTTTTTTTACGTTACTATAACACGTAAATCCTGTTGCTTTCGTGTCCATGGATTTTCAGATAGCATCAAAAGTCTAGACTATTGCGGCCCCCAGTCATGCAAATTTTGAATTGCCCATTTAAATAATCCCCTTTTGACACTTTTTTTAAATTTCATCATAAATCCAAGCAACGTGTAGATTGTTTTGTGACATTATTAACTTGAAATTTATGCGTGGTTCATAAATTCCCGATACATTTATTACAATATTACGTCTCGTGAATTATAAATCTTTCATATAATTGATCACTTTTTGATGCATTCCATTTGTACCGGTTGCAATATAATTTCAAGTTGTTTTTTAATCATTTTTTCCCGCAGTTTCTGCTATGCAGTCGCACAGTTTTTAAAATCCTGATTTTTATTATGACATGCGAATTTTAACTCGAATTTTGCTTATTTCTTCAAAATATGTTATTTTTTCATTGTTTCAGTAGTGGGCACCATGCATTTGTACATCATTGACATCACTTAAAATCCTGATACTTTAATGCAATGTTACTGCACCATGAAAAATTTGAAATAAACTGCTTACTGTTTGTAATTTAATTTGCTTTAAAAATTTTATTAGCTTAGGTGATTTTTTAAAGGAAAAAAACTAAAAACAAAAAGTTTTCTATTTCAAATTTCCAGAAATAGAATTAATACTAAATAAATATTGAATTTTATTTTGTACTATAAAAGATTTGTTTTAATTTTTGTTTTAACATGAATTTTCTCTTATAAAAATGTTTAATTCAAATTTATATTGATCTATAAAATGAGTATATATTTTTCATTCAGTAAGCTCTACAGTTTTTTTTTCCTTTGGTAAGAATTTATACCCCCCCCCCACAATATTTANTATTGTGAAAAATGGATCAAGTTTTTTTTTTTTTTTTTTTTTGAAGTATAAGTTTTTAAATAAATTAAAATAATTAAAAGTATCTTATTTTCCACAAACATGTTAAGTTTACTAACAAAAAAACTTAGTGCTTAGAACACTAATACTTAGATAAAAATTATCACAATTGCCGCTAAAATGACTAAATATGTGTGCTGCCCTCCATTAATCTACCTGCTATGGAAGTGGCCCTTCACTCAAAAAGGTTGTGCACCTTTAATTTAAATGTCAATAAAATCAGACAAAAAATTTATATAAGTCTTTAAACATTGGACAACAAAAGGAACCAAACACTAAATAAAATGTTTATACTACTTTCAACAAATGGTCAATTTTTCATACACAATTTCACGTAAAATTTTATAAGTAAATAAAGCTATGAGCAAAGTTGACAAAATTTAGTGCAATTATCTCAAGCACGGAAAAAAGAATTTTTCTGAATAAAATAATATATTTATTTTAAGCTTCAGAAAAAACATACGAAAAATTGACTCAGAAAAATATACAAAAAGTATATTATTCAGAAAGATGTTGACACTAGAGACTGTTTGGATTTATAATAGAAAGCAAAACAGCATATGGTCGATTAGCCCATACTAGGCATAGGATGATATAAAAGATAGACATTATTGGGAAAAATTATATCAAGCATTTTAATAAATTTGTAAAGGTGTATATTTTATGAACATTTTGTATTAAGAGTAATAACACAAAATCCAAACAAGAGTTATAGAAGAAGTAACAATTCTAAATATAAAATTTTCAATACAATACAAGAAAGAAATTTTTTTAAAAGAAATACAATGTCATATGCTAACTTTTATGTTCAAATGCAGAAAAATATTCAGCAAATTTACAACATAATTTAAATTTATCAAAAAATTATAATTTTTAATTGAAAAATAACCAGAAATTAAAATGTATAAGCTACAAGACAAAAAATTTACTTTTAACTACTACACTAATTATAACTTGCACATAAAATTACCAAAGTCTGATCTTGTCAATATACATTGCATAGGATGATCAGCATTATGACGAGTAGTAGAAGCTCCAGCTTCATAGCATGTTGCACACAAATCATAATCATAACATACCAGACATTTATATCTCTTGCCTCTAAAGTTACCCTTCAAACAAGAATCACAGCTGACACCTAAAAATAAAAAGCAATTCATAAAATAAAATTTATAACTTCTTATTTGAATTTACTAAATTTGTATAACTTTTTCTACACTCAATTTTACATTTGAGGTTTTCTGTTGCTGCTATATAGTGGTAAAAGTCTAAGATACACTATAAATATTTTCTAGCCAATAATAAAATTGTAGAATCATTTTAAAATGAAAACATGTGAATTGCTCTTCATGCATGTTAAAACAAAGAAATTGTGTGAATTGCTCTTCATGGATGTTAAAACAAAAAGAAATTCTATGCAATTATTTCTAAGAGTAATTATTTTTAAATGTATTAAAATTAGCTTAGCCTTTCAAGCTCTAATTCTTCTGACAATATTAAAAATTTCAAAATTAATGCCTAAGAGACTGTTCTTTTTTCAAAGAAATAAGTTTTTTTTAATGGTAAATCAAGACATTTTATTCGCAACATACAATTAAGATAACAATTTTAATAAATACATATTTTTTAGAGAGTATATTTCACGAGAATCTTTTATATGTTTTAAAAACAAAAATGTCCATTTTTAACAAATCAATATTAAAAAGCAAAAAGGAAAACATATTAATAGTTTTAAAAAATGCTTTTGCTCTTATAAAAATTATATATAATATATGATTTTTAATTCTTATTGTTCGTATAACAGCAAATAAAACCATAATTTTAGCATTAAAATTCTTTTTTTATATTTTTATAATTATATTCATTCGTGTGTAAATATAGATAAAGTTACAGTTCAAAATAAAATTTAATTGCTTAAAAGATGTTTATGATACACTTTTTAAAACACCAAAATTATAAGATTTATATGGATTTATTTTGACTATATAAATTCAAACATTTTTATTACATAGAAATTTAAAAACAATTCTAAGATATATAATGAAATTAAAACCAAATTAGAATAAAGACTAAATTTAATACTAAATTGCGCTTCCAAAATGGTGCATAGAAGTAAACAAAAGATTCTCTATTAAATAATCTTTTCTTTTTAAGATTCAGATTAATCCATCTTCACAAGTCCATGAAACATTATGTGTTAGCATGTGATATAATTACTATATTAATAATGTGCATATGACTTATTTAAACAATAATTGACTATTTAATGAGTACTAAAGTTCATAAATATTACACTGAACTTTAACATCAAGTCTAACACAGAATCAAAATACAACAGATTAGATACACCTACTACAGATATTATATAAATGTAGAATGACTGAAATGTTTTATTATTATAAAAAGAAAAACAGAATCCATCAGATTTAAAACGGAACAAAATACATTTTTAGTTTAGTAATATAAATCTCATAATTCTCTTTATAAATTAACTTTTAACGAAATCTAAGCAATCGGCCATAATAAGATTACTGACCTAACACACAGAAAATAATTCAATACACTGGTTGAAACATATTTAATTACAGATAACATATGCGAATTTATTTGAATGTTAAAAAATATTCAGTGGTTTCACCTATTTCAATAATGTCGAACATTTTAACATGTAGGTATTAATGCTTCATTAAACAGCAATAGTAGACCCAATATTTAACCTTGATCCATTTTGATGTTTCATCAATCTTTAGAATACAAATAAACTGTTATCGAAATATGTGACAGTAAAAATAAGAAAACACTAGAGATATCAATAAGAAAAGGAAGGGTGTACTTGATGACCGAGATACTACTTGAAGGTTTAGGCTTAACGGATAACCAAGGAGTACAGTTTATTAGGAGTGTAATCATGCTAGAACTCGAGAATTATGGTGTTCATTTGTGTCATTTTTAATAAATTTCACTCACCTTCATGACGAGACATAACTAGTATCGAATACAAGTCAAATGCCACGTCAAGATAAAAGAAATAATTTTTAGGTTAAATGTTTTAAGTACTTTATTTTGAGTGAAAATTCATAAATTGCTATAAGTTAAGAACATTTTTCAAACTAATATTTTCCATTGGAACACAGATAAATCTTCAAAAAACACATTCACTAAATCTGAGTCCTGCGCAGTTTCAGTCGCCTCAATATCCGGCATATTGGTTGCAAACAAGTCGAAAGATTAAAATAGTCAATGCCAGATTCCAGCCTTTCAAATGGCCTTTTACCTTATCGAGTCATTTTCTAATTTTTATATTAAAAATGTATCTAAAATATCACTTAAATCACGATGCAGTCTAAATGATAGCTTATTTAAATATTAAAGTTACTCGAGAACGATTTTTGAATAGATTTTGTGAGAATTTTAAGCTTTATTGCAAAATTCTAAATTGTGAAAAATTCCTTTTAAAACTTCTGATTAGTAAATTCCAATTCATTTAGTTCCTTGAGATCTAAGGAAAATTCTTTTAAACAATTCCAGTTGAAAATAAAGCTATTTTTCCGATAAATATTAAATAAAAAAAATTTTTATTTGATGCAGTACCAGATGTGCGTTAAAAAGAAAAAAAATGTGGAATCCTGCTTAAATCAGGAAGAAATGAAGTTGATTTGTTGATAATTTTCTAGCTAACTTTGATGATAAAAGAATTTTCCTGTTTGTTTCTTTCTAATTTAAAAAAAATAAATAAATAATAATTATTGGTTTCGTTTTGTTTTTGCTTCTTTAATCGATATTTCAATATTGATTAATAATAATTTCGATACGATACGTACACAAAAATTACGTAATGTTTAGATTTGACAAGTTGCCTGTTCGTGCGTTTAATTTATTTTACAGTAACTAAGAAAGTAAAAACTAATAATGTCTTTATTACGATCTGCAATTAATCGAAATAACCAGATACTTCGAGTACTAAATCGTGTCCCTCACGAATTATCATCACTGAATTACAAATCTTTAACAACTGTACCCTCTCTAAGTATCTATATTTAAATAAGTATACATATCTCTCATGGGCTGCAATAGTGGCAGAACTCAAAGAATCAAGTTTTGAGATAAGTGGATTTAAAGTTTTCATTGCTAAGCAAAATGCATAAGAAATGCTTTAGTTTGCTTAAACGGAGATTGCCTTCAAGTTGAATTATGAGTTGTGCTAGAATTGCTACTGAAAGAATGTGTATTTTCGTATTTACACCTGTATTTGTCTAAAACGCGTGTTTTTTTTTAGTTGTGCCACTATTGCAGCCCATGAGTGATATATGTGTATCTATAAATTATTACATTAATTTCAGAAACTCTATACTGCATCAATTACCAGTTCAAAAAAATCAATCAGGGTTTTGAAATTTAACCCACTGATTATTTCATGAGTTATTAAAAAAAAAGGATATTTCCGTATCATGATCTGTCGCGCTAACTGCAATTGGCAAGGAACTAAAGGGATTTTAAACTAGCAATTTACATATATTTATATATATATNTACATGCATAATATGTAGAGGTTTGCCAGATGTTGGCGGAAGCCATTTGAGAACCCCGGGGCAACACTGAAAACAGCAGGTAACCTTAACTAAATTTCGGAAAAGGAATCTTGCTTTTTTGTTGTTAAAAAAAAGAAACTACTTTATTCTAAGAACTAAGCTTATTTATTTTTTGCTGTAGACTATTACTTATTATCGAGATATTTCCGTATCGTGATCTGCCAAGGCGCCAAATGGATTTTATTAAAAAATTAAAAAAACATGTAGAGGTTTGTGATTTTTTTTTTAGTTTTTCGTGGCTGCTATCTGGAAGTTGTCAAGACATAATGATTATTCTATCACAGAACAGGATAGGAAAATCTTCACCCTTCTGTATTTTGAGTTATGATATTTCTTCCAGAAAATTATAAAAGCTATATCAACCCTACATGCCTATTCAAGAATCATATGAACAAGATAAATATGAACACATTCAAGATTAGAAATGAAAGCCATTTATTCAATTGATGAGAGCATCACCTGATACATTCTAGAATAAATATTTAATATAGGTAATATTTATGTAAGCATGAACATTAGCAAAAAATGTTTGTGCTTTAGCAGACACAAACAGCATGAACTCGCCAAAATCAATTGTTTTTGCGATTTCACATTTTTGATAAAAATTATTGCCAAAGATATTAATTTGTTTCTTGCCATTAAAGACCTTAACTAGTTTTTAATTAACTAAAAGAACGTTCACAATTTTTTTACATGTGTGGAGATTGTTAACAAAATTCTTAAACCTATCCTTAAGTGAGGAAAAATATCTTTAAAGTTAATTTTATGAGTGAACTTTATGAGATAATTGGAGATATATTTTCTCCAGTTATGAAATGTCTACTCTGTTCAATTTCTTCACAGATTTATTTTCTTCACCAATAATGCTGCTTCTCTATCTCGAACATTCATATAATCTTGCAAAGTCAAACATCCATTTGAAAGTTCTTTATCTTGGAAAACTATTTTATTGTGCTGTAACTTCCGCATTGTTGTTTAATTTTTCAAGGGTGGGGGAAAGAAAGAGGGTCAATTGTCGTAGAGCCTAGACTGAGGCTGTTAAGGGCGTGACCAAATTTCCTTACAAAAATACTGTATTTTTTAATTTGTTTTTTATAAGAAAATTGCAGAATTATCTTCAAAAAAGTACATAAAATTATATAAAAACTGCAATTTTTATGAAGGGTTTTCAGAAATTCTACAAAATATGTAAATAATGCTTTTAGTGCTTTGAGAAAGGGGGCCGACAGCAAATATCAATTTCTTTCGAAAGTTCAATTAAAACGAAAATCATTTCTTATAGCATGGACTTTGTACATTCGACCCAACTTTCCCATAGTGTTTCACAAACTTTGCTCAGAGTCATATGTTGAACATGCTCTTTTAATACCTTCCACCATTTTGAAGAAGCACTTATCGAATAAATAAAACAACAGGTGTTAAATTACTTTAAATAGCAATGCACTTTTTACTGATGATGCTGCAGCATCACCCACAACTAAATTGAAAGAATGACCACCACAAGGATTGAAAAATGCTCAAGGATGCGAATAACGAATTCTTGCAAAAAAACCTTTATAGTTAAATATGTTTCCAGCTATATTTGATGTAGCCTTAAGACAGTTTTTTTAATTTTTCACGAGCCTCTGCCCGGAACCCTCCAATACTTTTGGCATAGTTCATGATATGGAAATATTTGTAAAAGAAATAATTTAATTATTTTTTTAAACAAGTACCTACAAATAATTTAAATTATAAGTAATATTATAAATTAAATTAAGTGTAAATATTTATCCACTTGCGAGATTGTTGTCTTATGAGTTACTGAGTTGTAAAGAAATTTTAATTATTACAGTGTGCATTGATTTGTGCTTTTCATATCCTTANAAAAAATCTGATTTAAATCAAAAAAATCCGATTTAAATCAAAAAAATCTGATTCTTTTGATTTTTTTTAAAAAAATCAAAAAAATCACGAACCCTGCTGTTTTCTAACACCAACAGCTTCAGTTTACCGTGTTTCTTATTTGTTTTCGCTTTAATTACGAAAGAGATATTTTCAACTTGAAGTTAGCTATACTATTTGATTAATGCAATTAAATATTAGTTCTTATACAGTATACAGTAAAATGTGAAATAAGAATCTATCCTTTCTTACAATCAGGTCTTCAACTATATAATTACTTGTCATATTACCATTGTTGTGATAAAGAAATCTTCATCGTAATGGAAGTAATCTGACCATGGGGAGGGAAAGTGTAATTTTTCATCTACAATTATAAATTCTCTTAAAGTTCTTTTACTAAAGTTTCTTTATTTTTGTTTTATTGTAACCTGTATAATTTTTCTCTCCATTTATAAAAAAATAATTCTAAATACTTTCATTTGCATGTTTATTTTTACTTTTTCTTCCTTAAAAATTAATTTACAATACATAAGAGCTTGCAGTTTAATAATTATTTATTAATTAAACTTATGCATCTAACTATTTTAAGCAGTTTAAAAATTTCTATACTGAGTTATTGTTCTCCTCTTCATCAACAATTATTCTTACTATTATATTACTGCAGTGCAGTTACTTGTTACTGCAGTTCCTCCCCAACTTTTGCTTTCGCACTATCTGACCTAAAAAATTTTAAAATGACAGAAAAAATTTAAAACATTACATTTTTGTTCTAAAATAGGTGTAATTGTTGAGCATTGCATCTGCGTAAAAGTTGGCTTTTACAGTTATGTAAAAGTTAGCTAGGCTTTAGAAATCTAGTGTTAATTTTTAATTTAGAAATCTAGTGCTTTAGAAATCTAGTGTTAATTTTTTAAGCAGGTTTAACCTAAAAATCATATAGACCTCTAAGAAAATAAAATAGATCTTGAGTGCTAATTCTTATTTCTTGTTCCATTTCAGAAACTAAAGAAGTTGATAGTAAAAAGCGTAAGTTATAATCAATTTTAATTATTTTTTATTCAATTAATTATAGATTTAACCATCATCTGTTACATATTTTATTACTATTATTTTCACCCTATTCTCTTGATAAATAGATTTAATCATTTTATTCATTTTTGTGTAGAAACATTTGATTGGAAAGATGCATTTTTATTGAAAAGCCAATTAACTGATGAAGAAGTAATGATTCAAGATCAGTTTAGACAATATTGTCAAGAAAAATTAATGTCTCGAATATTATTGGCTAACAGAAATGAAGGTTTGTTTGGAAGTATTATTTTATTGAAAAAAGTTTAAAATACCTTGCTTTATGTAAATCTCTCTAATCTAATTTTGAAAAACTTTTTTATAATTATTGAAACTTGTAACCTTTTTACTTGTTATCTTCCAATGATTTTGTAATTTTCTAAACCTGAGGTTAATTTTAAATTTTTATTGTTTTAAATTTTCAGTATAAATTGTATTAAAAGTATATGTATTTCAAATACACAACATTTTGTCTACTTATGAAACAATAGCTAGCAGTGAAAAATTCTTAACATAAAAATTATTTTTACCCATTCTCAAAATTATATGCTTAAAATGTTGTTTCTTTGCTCAATTTAGGAGAGCAAAAAAATAATAAATAAACAAAAATATTAATGATCTCTGTTAAACATTATTTTTTCAAGAACTAATTAAAAAAAGAAAAGAAATTTTTGTATCCAAAACATGCAAGGAAGGAAATGTGCTCCACCACACTCTGTCAATTGTATCTTAAATTTTATATGAAACCAACTTTAATCTTCCAGCACACATGTCTGTGCAAATTTTATGACAAATTCGATTTTTAATGCACTTTTTTAATATCTTGCTGCAGGGTAAAGGTCATTTCTATACTACACACGCGTGATCCTGGGTGGATATTCAAAAAATATTTCTTTCTCAAATGTTTTTGTAATTTTGTGTTAATTATTGGCTTGTATTATTTAATTTGTATAAATTTGAGAAAAAAAATTGTTAAATTTTATTATTTATATTTTTTATTGTTTTCATGGCAAAAGAAATATGTAGAATCAGGTGATTTTTTCCGCATTCTTCGAGAATCATCTGATGAATAAAAAGAAGGGAAGGAAACATTTGGATTTGAGATTGATAGCAATTTAAAGTAATATATAGAAATAAATAATATCAGTAGTGAATCTAAAAAATATATTCCTGGTAATAATGATTCTGGGAAAAGAAATGATGATGACACGTTCTATTTTGGCAAGGATAAGCATTCTAAGTAGCTAAATGTAAAGTATGCAAACTGCTCAAAGACATAAAGTATAAATATTGAGAAAGTATTACATGACCTAAAGCACTGTGTCAAGGATGTAGAGGATGGAATAGGATCATTACAAAAATAACTGATATACGATATATAACTGGACTGGTCTTAATTACCTTTATTGAAAACATTTTACAAAGTTCTTTTAGTTCCCTTAAACATACTCCCCTTCCCTATCAATACATCTCTGCATAACAGTTTCCCACTGTTCAAAGCAGTGCTGCAGATCATTAGATGTCACCTTCTTCAGAAAGTCTGCCGATTTTGCCTTCATGTCTTCTACAGACTGAAAATATGTTTCTTTCAATGCACTCTTCACTTTTAGAAACAGGTAGAAGTTGCATGGTGTAATATCTGGTGAGTACGGTGGATGCTCATGCACAATAAAGTGTTTTCTCATCAAGAGCTGTTTCACAGAGAGTGATTTGTACACTGGGGCTTTGTTTTGATGCAAAATCCACGAGTTGTTGCTTCACAAATCTGGCCTTTTCTTTCTCACTCCTTCTCTAACTTTTCTTAGGAATTTTATGTAGTAACTGCTGGTTTACCATTTGGCCTTGAGGTACCCATACTATTAACATTGAAAAAGAAACGAGAACATGACTTTCAATTTGAAGCTAATCATTCAAGCTTTTTCAGCCCCTGGTCATGTGGAGGTCTTCTAGTGCATGAACTGTCCTTTAGTTTCAGGGTTGTATTGAAAAGTTCATGTTTCATCACATGGGATAGCTTTTTCAATATGTTCAGACTCTTCTATGAAGCGTTTCATGATGTCAGAGCAAATGTTTTTCTTGTTCATTTTTTGCTGGCATGTCAGGTTTTTTGGTACCTCCGTCATATGCAAGTCTTTGATTAAAATTTCTCTTATTGTCTCAGTGTGAATGTGCTTAATATATTTAATTTGAATACCTAAACGTTGGTTTTTAAACACGATTCCATTAATTTTTGCAATGTTTTCACCAGTTCTTAAAGTCACAGGATGCCCAAAACGTTCTTCGTCTTCAACAAGCACCAGATCTTCCAAAAATAGTTAGTGCCATCCGAAAATTTGACTATGTGACACGCAATTATCTCCAAACATCTCCTTGGTCATTTTAAATCATTTCAGTTTATTGTTTACTTTTTTTTTTAATTACACCAGCAATTTAAATTAATGTCTTGCTCGATTTTTAAGCTTATCACGGTTGCGGCACTTTGGCTAAACAACTTCTTACTTAAACAAGGATAAAAAACAAATTAAACTAGGCAGAAGGACGGAATAACATGCCACAAGCACCAAAGTCAAGTACTATCTGTTTCCACTCCCACACACCAAGTCTAATGACTAGGGCATGCACAGTCTGGTTATTTATTTGTCACAACTCATCAATATGATTGGTGAAATTTTGGAGTATACAAATAAATATATAAGTTTGCTAAATAGCAAATACTCAAGAGATACAAACTGTTGTTGACTGTGTTGGAAATAATGGCATACTCTGGATTGTTGTTCATGAGAAGAATAAAAAAGTTAATATTAATGTAAAATAATTGTTCTCAAGTCATGGCACTGAAATTGAAATAATGAGAGCTGTGATGGGCTAGAAGAAGAAAAAAAAGATATTCCCAGCATCTATGAAATACGAGGCATGCCTTAGATACATATACAAACGTCATTCGATTACTGAAATTATTGTAATGGGAATTTTGAAGATTAAGAAATCTCTTCAGAATTCTATTTTCCTATTACAGTAGGGAACCGATTATCCGGAACTGTCGGGACCATCGCTATTCCGGATAACTGATTTTTCCGGCTTTCTGAATCGCTACAAAAAGCCGTTTTTTTTTATTGTTAAATCCAACTAAAAAAAAAACAATTGGAAATAATCTTAAAAATAAGAAAAAACGATTAAGTAATACACTAATGATTATTTCCAAAATGATGGTAAAGTAAACCTCTTTAAAAAAAAAGAAAGAAAAATCGTAAAATCTTACAAGGAAAAAAAAATTTTTTTTTTAATGGCGAGAAAATTTATCGAATTTTGTTCCGGTTTTTTTGTTTTCCGGTTTTCTGATTTCCGGATAACGGGTTCTGTACTGTATTACTCTACTTTACTCTGTTTGTATAATTACAAGTCATTTTTTTCTTTCATTTCTAATTTTTAAAAAGAAATAAAAATATTAAAATTAGAGTAAGTTTAAAATTAGTTTTTGTAACTAGTCATTTATTTTCTTGACCTGTTTTATAGAAATAAAATTCCTTGGAGAAGTCATTAATGCTCAATTTACATTTCTCTACCAAGGTTTCCTTGTTTACTTTTTTATACTTGCCTATAATGAATATTAAAAATACATTGAATTTTAAAATATAGTTATTAACTAATAAAATTTAAATTATCTAAAATAAAATATAACATTGCCTTTCTACCTGCCTAATATAAGCATTCAAAAATAATTTACTTTCGTTTGAATGTGACGTAATTTGTATTTTGCAACAATCATTTAAATATTTTTTTTCTTGACAAATCTATTGTCAATATTCATTAATTTCTATCAGTTTGCGTGCCAAAAATAGTAAAATACTATTGTAAAAAATGTGACGTGCATGCTCATGTAAAATTTGCTGAGAAGCACATGCTGGAAGATTAAATATTTCCCAAACACTTTAAGTGTTGAGTACTATATAATAGTTTTCTTCTTATCTTTTTTTTTTTTAAAAAATAACATAAAGATATTTATTTTCAGTGTAGGTGAGTAAGTAGCTTAAAGTTAACCTTTTTTTTTTCTTTCGGCAGTCTTTTTTATTATTCTAAGTTATTTTATTCTATGGAGTCATAGTTTAAAGTGTGGTTATCAAAATGTGCAATATTCTATTTCTGCAATATTTGATATTATATTCTTCAAAAATATTTTTAGGTAAAACTTTTGTCTGTACTATGGAGTATAATTATGTGCTGTACACATACTGGTACACCTTCATAAATTACTTATAAAATTGTAAAAAGAAAGAACAAATGAATTCAGTCTTTAATTTATTTTGAAAATTTCCTCAAAAAGAATAAATTCTGTTTAAATTCTAACTCTGCCTAAAACTGAATTATGTGTTAAACTTAATGGTTAAAACAAGTTTGATTTGATCAAATAAAGTATTTTATGCTACTTGTTACTAAACAATAATTCACAGAAATATTGATGATAATAATAGTTTAGTGAAGAATTTAAAATATCCTCTATATAAGGAAGATGTATGCAAATGTAAACTTATGAAATGTTTGCCTTATTTCAAAATAGTTACTAGCTAGTTCACAAGTTTTATATATTTCAATATAATAATAAATTCGATTTAAAATGTAATCTTAATTTTTAAAAGAAGTTTTTAGTTTTCCTCATGTATTTAGTTTTGTACTCTATTAATGCACACTTATAGAAAAATTGCTGTGCATTTATATGTACACAATAATGAAGTATACGCTCTTCAGTACAATCTTCTGTTGCAGCAATCCTTCCATTTATAATGTAAAGTCCAACTTGCTTTCTCATAAATGCAATATTATATAAATACTTTTATTGCAAATGACAGGGTACAATACTAAATGATAGCATGGAAAATAAATGAACAACATTGCGATATACAAATTTACCCTCTATTTTAATATACCCTTTTAAAATATTCTCTTTTTTTTCATTCCCTAGAAAATAGCCATAAAGGAAATGTTCAAATATTTTTGCACTTCTAAAACCTAGTTTTGAAGATTCTTTTAACGGAAGTATCTAATGAAATCATGCATTGGAAAATATGTATAAGCATTAGACAAAGAGAATTTGTGCTTAAGTGTAGTAGATTACGCTATAAAAAATTCAATCAGCTACATGTTTATCCAAACGAGTATGGTTTTTTTTACTGTTCACAATTAACACAATTCAGTTTTGTATTAAATTTTGATATCATTATGTATATGAAATAAATTAAATAAGAATTCTATTTTTCAAAAAAAATTTTTAAAGATTTTGATCCAGTCATTATGAAAGAAATGGGAGAATTAGGAGCACTAGGTTCAACAATTCAAGGGTATGGCTGTGCTGGTGTATCTTCTGTTGCATATGGTCTTATTGCTAGAGAAATTGAGAGGTAAATTGTTCCCTATTTTATTGTTTTTAAAAAGGTTGATAACTTTATTCAAAGGTGCCCTCCAAAAATTCTTAAGAGTAAATAAAGAGTTCTTCATATAACAGAATTTCAATCATATAGGTCAGGGATGGCGAACCAATGGCACGCGTGCCATTTATGGCATGCGACACAATATTTTGGGCACGTCACCGATCACAATTGTTATTGCACTACGAATTGTTATTACACAAATGTCACACACTATGAAGCATGTGTAACAATTAAATTAAAATTTACAAAAAATAAACGAAATAATAAACAATTATTAATAAAAAAAATTAACAATTAATGCTAAAAAAAAACAATTAATAACCATAAAAAACAAGCTAACAAAAAATAACTAGCAAAAAAATCAACAGTCCTGCTTAAACTAATATCTTACAACCTAATATAAGTTATTTGACATTTATTTCCCACTGATGCTACTTTAAGTTGAATTACGCGTATAACTGAGACATTGTAAAATGCATTTTCTTTTCAATGTATATAAGGAGTTTTGAGTTGATAGTATTTAGTATTATTATTTTCCCAATAATCATGAAGTCAAAATTATTTGACTGCACGTCTGTGATTTCATTAAACAATTTTTTAGAAAAAATGGCACGTTGGTGTATAAAGGTTCGCCACCCCTGATATAGGTTGATTGAAACCAGAACTGATGCATGTAACTGATTTTTGGAGTGACTGAATTATTGATGAATAATGGTTATTTCTTTGGTAGAAAATAAAATTTTCTCATGGCTTTAATTTTAATGATGACAGAAACATTGAGTTGAGAAACAAGAACTAGCTTCTCAGCATTCAAACTTAATTTATGTATGTCATTTAGCTGGTTTTGAATATAACATTTAATTATTTTACTTAAACTATTAAACATCGTTAAATTATATTAAAAGTAAAATGTCATTAAAATATTTATAGTTACAATTTTTATTTTATTTTTAAAAAAAGAGTTATTAATTATTTATTAAAATTAAACTGTATCATGGATGGTTATACATTTTTCTATTATCTTTCTAAAATAAATTGTTTCTTACAAGTCATAATTTTTGTACTTTTACTTTTTAGAGTAGATAGCAGCTACCGATCTGCAATGAGTGTCCAATCATCCCTTGTTATGCATCCAATATACGCTTATGGATCAGACGCACAAAAAGAAAAATATCTTCCCAGGCTAGGTTAGTCACTCATATAACACTTCATATACAACATAAATTTTCTAAAATATACTCTTATTTTATTTGCTTGTTGTGTAACTCACATCATTGACACTAAATAACTAGTTAACCCTATTGAAACATTAAGAATGAATCTTCATACTCTTTAAAAATTGCGATCATAAGTTTGGTGTTTTTTTTTTTCTCTGGATATACAGGTGCTATGAAAAACATTTTAGAATAACTATTTGAATAAAGATTTTTTTTTTTTTAAACATCACATGTTTTGTTTTTGACTTATATTAGATTCAATTATACAATGTAACAAAGTTATAGTGATAACTGTAATCCCCTAAGAAAATTGTTTTCTGAATCAGCGCCGTTGCTTTAGATGATAGTGAAATGTTTGGAACTTTTCAACATCTGCACGATTCCCTCTATCATCAATGTGGAATCTGCATTGCACCAAGTTAGAACTGTTTTTTGAGCTTTTGTTGTAAAATTTTCAATAAGAAAGATTTTTTGTTTTTATTATTGGTCTTCATTGTATTCTATATTTTAACCAAACAAGTGTCTTTCACAACTCACCCTTCGCTTTCTGACCCCACATTACATGGAAAAAGTTGTTTGCTTTGGCAAGTTTGGCAGTTCGGGTCATTAGTTTTGCTACAACCAACAAAGCGAATAGTACTTGTTACAAAAATAGCAAAATGAAAGGGGCCATTCAAATATTGCTTAAGTGCCTAATGGGAGAGAGGGGTTTGTGACTTGCTTATTTTTGCTGAGAAGAGCAGAGATGTGAGCAATACTTACGTTAGACATTTAAAACTATATTATTTTTTAAAAAAACTTTTCTTAAATTACAAGAAAGTTTTAAAAAAAAGTTGACAAAAATTTACATTAAGAAAAATTTCAATTTGTAATAAAATTTAAGTTAAGGGAAAAAAATTAAACAAAAATTTTATCTTGGAGTTGATGCCAAGATTTTTAAATACCGAAAACTAAAACAGAAAAAGACATCTTCAGAATACTCAAAATTTCATAAAATGAATTGAAACACGAATTTCATTTTTTGTAAAACTGCATCTCTTATTTATATAATTAGGTTATATTATTAAAATTCTCTAAGTTAAGGCAAAAATAAGGGAGGGTATTGTGACTTTTTTACATAAGCATGGAAGAAGTTTGTGATTTTTCTTATTTTTGCTAATAAGGGGAAATCTAAAATTACCAAAAACAAGCTTATGTAAGATTTGAATGACCCCAAACTTGGGAAAACCCCAGTGCTGGATTACCCATTAGGCCAGACTAGACCATGGCGTTGGGCCCCCTTAAAATGGATTTTTTGAAAATAAATTTGAAAAAATTAAGAAAAACAATTATTTCAAACATATGTTAATAAAATACGATAATTTTTTGACATAATGTTAATCATATAAAAGAGTTATATAAAGTTACATATCATAAGAGTTACATAAAATCAAAAACTCAGTTCACTCATTCTGAACTTCACGAAACTTATATTGAGCGCTCGTTTTCAAAAATGAAACGAATCCAAGAGTGATCAAAGAAGCATCATGTTTCAGAAACGATTAGACATGCTAAGTTTGATGTTTATCGAATCAGATGTTCTCCGTAAAATTAATTTTGATAACATTATAGATGAGTTTATTGATGGCAAGAGCAGAAAAAAAGATTTTTCAATACCAATTTTATAGTAACGTTGATTTTGTACAGTGTTAATAAATTTCAAACTTTTTCAAAATGTTATGATTATTTTTTAGTTCTAATTTAACGAAATAAAATTTTATTTATTTTAAATATGCTTTCTTGAATGAAAAGATATATAAATACTTTTATATTTGAATAAATAAAAAATATATGAGAAAAAAAATTTAATCTAAGTGCCCCATAAATTTTAATGGCCTAGGGCCCAGCGTACACTTAATCTGGCACTGGAAAACCCCTTCCAAGCTTTTTGATTAAATGAATATTCATTTTTCTGCAACAAAATATAATTTTCCTTGAAAATGGTAACTGTGTTTTCTCTCAACATTATCAACATAATCTCAACATTTTGTAAATGTTGAGAAATCTCAATTCATTTACTGATTATATATTTTCCCTCTTTCTTGCATAATGAATTACTTTTTTGCATAGCATACCTTACAATTTTAAACCTTTATAAAGTGTTTCTTTATTATTTGTTCATCTTATTTGTAATGTTTATTTTATTTACAGCTAAAGGAGAACTAATTGGATGTTTTGGATTAACTGAACCAAATCATGGCAGTGATCCTGGTGGTATGGAAACAAATGCGGTGTATAATGCTAACAAAAAAACATTTACTCTCAATGGTTCAAAGACTTGGTAATGTTCCAGTTTTCTAATAATTTTTTTTTTGTCAATTACATTATCATTCTTTAAATTTATACATAACTATAAGCATTACTATATCTTCATATTTAATCTATGATTTTCTTCTCAAAAAAATTGCCTCATAATTATTTGCTGCTACTGATACATAAATCATAATTTTGTGGATTTTAATGTACTAAGCAACATGAAATACACTTTTAACTTTAAAACTTTGCACTAAAGTATTCTGGAATTGTAAAAAACTTAACTTTTATTTATATTATCATGGTTGTTTGTTTTTATATTTAATGTAAGTTATACTATATATTGAATATTATAAATAAACTGAATATGAATTTAGAATGCATTATTAACATATAATAGAAAGCTAAAATCTTTTTATAAAAGGTTTTTGTGATGTTAAAATACACCTTTTAATGCTGGAAGAAAAGTAAGACATTTGACCATCAATATTAAAAATTAAATATTGCATTAGCATAGAGAACAAGCCTCATAGAGAATCTATTTATTTTTTTATTTATTTCACTACATGTGATTAAGAATAAAACAGAATTAGCTTCAAGAGAAAGGTTTATCTCTTAATGGGCTATTCCATTGTGATATCTCAATGAATAATATCAATTAAGAATAAAATTGCAAATTATTTGCAAAAATTTAAAAAACCACACAAAAAAAAACAATGTTTCATTGATTATTCTTGGATAAAGCACATAATTTTGAATTTGATTTTGTTTGTCATAGTAAAATAAAAATGACTTAATTTGCTTTTATATTAAAAAAAAGTAGTTATTTTATTGTATTTATTAAATAGAATTATTATCTGAAAGCATATAATCTCAGTTTCAAATATCTTAAATCTTTATAAAAAAAATTAGAGTTATCCATGCACAAAGTTATTAGACACATAAGGTTGTGCTATTCTGGAGAAAGTTTCTCTAACCCGTTCTTCAGCATGTTTTATAATGTTGCATACTCAAGACATATTTCATCACTGTATTTTGATTCGTTGTAGCTCTTTGAATGTTATTATAAATTTTTAAATCCAATTTCAGATTATTGTTTTTATTAATGTTACTTTGTTATGATAAATATAGGTAGTATCTGGGGGGAATATTTAGTAAAAAAAGCTATCAATGTAATTTAAATATTATTAAAATTGTGTTATCTTTTCTTTAAATTCTCATTCATAAAAATTCAATACGAAAAAAAAAAATATTCCACAAAATCATGTAAAAAAACATTAATTTATTCTGCTTCAACTTTCATGTAATATAAATTGAATAATAGAATATTGAGAAAGTAATAGTATTATTTAAATAAAATTTTACACTTTGACTCAAACCAATGTTATTCTATGCGGTAAACAGAGAAAATGTATGAATAGATTGATCATTTATAATTCTAAAAACGTATTTTAAAAACAAATTTTTCTTTTTAGTTCTCAAATTATGAATTCATGTTACTAAGCATTCATCAAAAAAGCAAATAGAAATTTATATTTAAAATAGTATTAAAACATTTATAAGAAAAGAAAAAGATTCTTATACAACATTTAGTACAAATTTTAATGCAACAGAAAAGTATTTCCAACAATTAAATCATTGTTTTGTTGATAAAATTGATATTCAGAATGAAGATAAAATTTAACATTGGAAATCGAAATCATCTTATATTAAACAGTTATTAAATAAAAATGGTAAAACTTATCAAATTAAAAACGATCATTCACACTCGCTGTGCCAAATTAATAATTCATATTATTCATTTGGATTTAGAATTAATAAAACGGAAACTTAATAAAGTGTCAAAAAAATTTAAATATACCTAAAATTTTATAAGCTTAATAAACTAGTTTTAATTTTATAAAAAGCTGTATCGAGGAATTTATGTTATGAGTTTTTGCTGTTATGTATATTTCCTTGGAGAGCCAGGTTTAGAAATGACATTGTAGCATTGTGAGCAAATGCGTGAAGTGGACATAATTTTCCTTACTTTTCAAGTTTTACTATTTAATTCTCTACCAATTTATTATAACTTTACGAAATCCAATATACTTGCAAAACTTGCGGTGTACCATTACACGTAGATGATTGTTATACTTTTTATCATACGAAAAAGAAATATTAAGAATTGAATGATAAATAAAAATTTTTGAACTTTATTTATATTGTTTTACTCCCACATCCACTTTCAAAACAATAGCCGGGCTTATGGGGTAATTTTCAGAAAAGTTGCCGGTCAGCAATGTGTTAATAACATCTTTCCTTTTAAATTTCTGTTCTTTAAGTTTTTGATAATGCTTCTTGTTTTAAAAATCAATGATAACTAAATTCCTCTTGTTTTTTAGAACCAGTTTCTGCATGCTAGGGCGCATATAATGGATGGCATAATTATATATTTAGCTTGATCATAAACAAAACTTTAATTTTAAACTTTAACAAAAGTCATCAACGAAAGTTACAAAGATGAATGCTTTCCTAAAAGTACAATGTATTTTAACATTAAGCAAAAGGGTACTATCGCTTTGAATTCGAAAACATTTGTGCGAGTATATTTATCATAATGAAAAGAAAGTTTACCTTTGCAAAAAAAGAGCGTGAAACACTAGAGATGGCTCTGTCACAACCCTTCCCACTCCCCTTTAAATGAAGATTCAAATGCCATGTTATTATAATATTTATTACTTCAAACAGATTTTAGAAATAATGCACAAAAAGTTCTAAAACAACTTTGAAAAAATATAAGGAAAATTTAATTGTCTCATATTAAATCTAAACCAAAATTAAGTGGTTTTTGACTCTAATAAATTTTATCGGAAAAATTTATTGTAAAATGGAATTAAATACAAAAAAGTAATTAATTTGATTAAGTTATATAAAAGGACATTATGCTATAAAATTTAATAAAAACTATTCTGTGAATAAGATTGGTAATTTTTTTTTATGCACTAATTCTCTTTGCTTTGCCTATTTTACGATTGGTCTACTTTTTTCTTTATCTTCTGGGTTTTCAGTTTCTTCTACTGTCCTGAGAATTATAAATTTTACTCTGGATAGAACCACGCAATGTTTTGGGTTAAGTTATGTAAAAATATAGATCTAATTTTTACATTGAAAACATGAAGATAAACTTTGCCTTATCTTTAAGATTAGAACTTGGATTCTATCATTTAATTCTAAAATTTCTATCATAAACTTTAAAACAAACTGCTAATGGAATTGCATTTGAGTAGTCAATTACGAGTCAAAGTACGAGATAAAATCAAATCTGAGACTTGAAATAATAGCTAGAATTACAAATAACATTAAAAGATGGGATAACTTAAGTGTCTATGATTATGTGATGTCATAATTTCGCCTCTCTGAAGAAGGAAGAAAAAAGACCACGGCTAGAGCAAACTTTACTGTTTAGTAACTTTGATCCATGCACAATATTAATTTTATTTTTTGAAAATGCTCGTAATATTATTTTTTTTTTTTTTTGTAGACTGAATTCCTCTACTAATTTTGTCTGAAATTTTATTTTAGGATTACAAATTCTCCTATTGCAGATGTTTTCATTATTTGGGGAAAACTTAATAACAGAGTTAGAGGTTTTATACTAGAAAAAGGTATGAAAGGCTTATATGCACCAAAAATTCAAGGCAAATTTTCTCTACGAGCTTCTATTACTGGTATGATAATGATGGAAGATGTTGAAGTGCCTGAAGAAAACTTACTTCCTCATATTGAAGGTTTACAGGTATGTATGTATGTTTTTTTTAACCATTTTACTATTCGACTAAAAAAAGGTATCTTTCTCTACTGTATTAAAAAAAAACTTAATTAGCAGGTTTTAATTTACAAATTTTGAAGATTTGAAAAAGAAAAAAAAAACTTAGGATGTCAATCCCTAAACTGAGTTTGATGTCAAAAAACAGAAATGCTTCATTATTATTCAGCGCTTGACGGGGAAGCTTTTAGGTCGGTAGAGCTACATAAAGGTTGAAAAATACAAGTAAAAATTAAATTTTAAATTGTGGAAAAAGGGTTATTGTAAATATTTTAAAACAAAAATGTGAAATCTGTTAGTTTTGCATGATCTAATTCTCTTATTAAATATTTATTTTGTTTTAAGAATTATTCTATAATATTGCAGCAGCTAATATGGTTCTTTATATATTAATAGTTCCTATTTATAGTCTATTTACAACTTCTCATTTAATATGACTTTTACAAATCAATAAGTATTTTTATAAGGTTAAAATATTGGTGAGAAGAACAGTTTTAATTTTTAACTAATTTTGCTAACTCATCTACCATTATGCATCAGTTCACAATAGTACACTGTGCAAAACTTAAGCAACATGTGCGTTTTTTGTCATAACTCTACAAGAAATCATCCGATTGACATGAAATTTGAATATGATGTACATTATTTTGTACTTAAACGATGGTAAAAGACTAATGGTGCAGAAATGAATATAAAGCTTAAAGTAGGGTATGGAACAAAAAAAGGCTTTATTTGACATATAGTGGCGTTACACATGATTGCCTGAAGAAGCGTAAGTACAACTGGCAGATGTTCCCATAGTATGGGATATGCCCTCCCTTACTGTAATTGTTGCTTGGCATCGTCTCTCCATGCTAAGCACCAGATTATCCAGGAGTTCTTGGGGTAAACGTCTCCATTCCTCCTTTAACGCATCTTTCAGCTGATGGGTGTAATCAGGAGGATACTGTCGTGTCGCAAGACTTCTCCCTAATGCATCCCACACATGTACTATTGGATTTAGATCTGGAGAGTAAGCTGGCCAATCCATTCGTGTGATATATTCACTTTCCAGTAGCTCTTGAACATTAGCAGTACGGTGTGGCCGGGCGTTGTCATCCATGAAAATGAAGTCTGGTCCAATGGCCCCTCGGAACAGACGCTCATGGGGTAGGATTACCTCATTGCAGTAGCGGTCTCCAGTTACAGAACCTCGGTCGAAGATCTGAAGCTCAGTCCGCCCGTTCAACATAATGCCACCCCAGACGACAACTCCAGGACCACCGTAACGATCTCTTTCCGCGATGTTATTGGGATGAAATCGAGCTCCAACCTCTCTCCAGATCAACTGACGTTGAGAATCGCTTGTAGCACTAAACCGACTCTCATCTGTGAAGAGGACGCGACTCCATTGATGAGGTGTCCAGGTTTCGTGTTCTCTGCACCACTCTAAACGGTGCCGCCGATGGCTAACTTTTTAATATATGCAGCGTTCAGGACATCTAACAAATAAGCCACCTTTGTGGAGGCGCCTGGCCACTGTAAATCGTGATACTTGTCGTCCTGTGGCTGTGCACAGTCGCTGACATATGGCGCTCGCTGACTGAAAACGGTTTCTTTTCGCCTGGAGGACAATGTAACGGTCATCTCTTGGTGTTTTTTTCCTTGGACGGCCACCACCAACTTTCCGAACAGCTGGACCAGTAGTTTTCAAGGCGTTCCAAGCACGAGAAACAACACTTTTGTTGATCCCGAACTCTTCGGCGACACTGGTCACACTACGCCCCTCTTCAAGCTTCCCAATCATTCTTCCTCGAGTAAAGTCGTCTAAATGATTTCTTGAAGACATGTTTCACAAAACAAATCACTTGCACTTGCAGCGAATGTCTTAAACTACGGTGCTCTTCATCTTTTTATCACAGCTTTGACCTGCACGCACCGACCCACAAGGTTATGTACACTTACATCACCTACGACGTTTTATTTCTAAAATTTGCATACAAATAATCTTTCTACTGAATTACGTGCATATTATACTACAATTTCATGGCTATCTTATACTTTGTTGGGGAGCTGTGGCTGAAAAACCACTTGTTGCATAAGTTTTGCACACCACTGTATTATTGCTTTTATAAATGTCACTCGCTAATACTGCCAAGCTTTGCTTCAGCTTACAATAGTTGCTGAAGATAACGTCAGAATAGTTTCTGATGTTAACATCTCAGTATATAGCATCTTCTGCACAAGTGCAAAATAGACTAGTGACATAAATTTTTGAAAATCTCTCTCTCCCATAAGAAAATCTATGTGTTTACGGTATTTTATATGTACACAGAAGAGCCGATATCCGGAGACCTCTTTATGTGAAAACCCTATGCTAGTGTTGATTTTCAATGTGTTTGTTGTAACTGGCACATTGAAAGTTAACACCAACATTTTATTTGCAAATGATGTTAGCTTTCGTGATTTAATATTGGTGTTATTTTTTAAAAGAAACTTAACTATTGTTTTCTTCTCATTTCCAGTAGGCTTTCTTTTTTATCACAATTATTTTTAAGATAAGTGAAATAAAAATTTATGAAAACATTTTTTAAAATTACAGGTGAATAATTAAACAAAAATGAATGCTAAATATTGTAGAATGAACCAGAAGATAGTAATTTTAAGAAAATTTGCAAGAACTAAATCATTCAAAAGTTTACTGTGGTTATTGTCAACTTAGTTAGACCACAAAAAACAAATATAGCTATTTCTCTCACAATATTTTGTTTTGCTTCAATTGACTTATAATTTTAAAATAATTAAAATTTGTGCAATTGAACAGAAATTAAACACATAATTTTCAATAAATTAAGTTGACATTAATTAACTTTTTTTTTCACTATCGGCAATAATTTAATTAACTAGGCAGAAGATTGATAGAATTAATCAACCTATATAAAACAATATCTTTTTGAATATTTTTTATATATATATAATGTACAAAATATCTGATTAAAAATAAATTTATTACATGATTTTTTTAGGGTCCTTTCGGTTGTTTAAACAATGCCAGATATGGTATTTCATGGGGAGCTTTGGGTGCAGCTGAATTTTGCTTAGAAACAGCGAGAGATTATGTTATGGAAAGGTAAATATCATTTTTTTTTAAAGTTTTAAATGATAAAAATAAGTTCAACAATATTAAAATTTCAAATCTATTTTTTCTACTAGTAAGTCATATTTTGAAAAGTTCTTTCTTTTTATTTTTTTAAAAATCTAATCACACAATTCCATCTAATTCTGAATATTTCTACTAAAAATAATGATATTGTTACTATCAAGTTACTTTACATGAAACATAGATATTGTATAAGTTCATAAAAATATATTGAAACTTATAAGATCAATTTTAATTTTTAAAAAAAAATCTCATTTCTATTTTAAAACATGCGAATTACACCTTATACTCGAGAAAAATTATCGAAAATCCTAAGTATATATTTTCTTTAACTAAGAGTTATAAGAAGAGAATTTTCTTAGAGATGAAACAAAAATTATTCTTTGAATAGAACTTAAATTTAAGAAGGGATTTGCTAGTAGATATCTATAAGTTATTTTTAGGTACCGTCAGTTCATTTAAATATGTAAAGTATTTTTATGCAATAATATTTTAAGAGGGAAACAGATATGAAGCTGACAGCATTAACTGGTGTTATGCAATTCATATGCAGTCCAGTTCTTACAATTAAGTTTTGCCTACATTAACAATGGAAAGTACAAATATCTTAAGAGGATTCTTATATAACATGCAAAAACTTGTGAACAATCAACATTTAACCTAGCACAGAACTAAAGGTGAGAAACATGTTGTATAATATTAATTTTATAATATTAATATTGCAGGAAACAGTTTGGATCACCTCTTGGTAAAAATCAGCTAATCCAAAAAAAGCTTGCTGATATGTTGACAGAAATTTCCATAGGCTTGCAGGCCTGCCTTCAAGTTGGAAGACTAAAAGATGCTGGCAAGTATGTGCCATTTAACCCTTTTAATTATGCTACTTGAGCATACTTACTTCAGTGAATTAAAAAAGAGAAAATTAGTTCCTGTGCCGCCATACTCCAAACTTATAGTTAAATCAATTAAATATGTAAAAATGCTATATTGGCTGTAGTTATGACTTTAATAAATAAGTCATCAACAAACCTGTATAATATTCACCAACGTGCGAACGCCTTTCATGAAAAATTTGCCACCTTTGAAGAAACTTTTTACTATTACTAAAAATTAAACCGCCTCTTTAACGAAAGACCTTTTCGAATTATCGAGAGAAAACTTCGTTTTTACACTTTTTTCTACCATTGCAAGCAGTAATATTTAAGAACTAAGGCAAACAATTAATACATTTAAAAAAAAATTGATAAGGAAATTTTTCAGAAACCATCTCAATTTTAGGGAGTTATTCAAAAATAAAAAAAATTTGGAAATTTTTTTTGATTGAACTAGTAGACCAGGAGAAACTGAAAAGTAGTTTACTAGGAACTCCAGTGAAGGTGACATTGACGCAGATCTTAACAGGAGCATTTTGACAACATTAAGAAAGATAACAAAACCCTCGTTTCTTTATGGTCTTTTTCTAAATGACAGAACTTTCTAAAAAAAACAAAATGTTTTGTATACATTGCTTTTTTTTTTAAGTTATTTTATTTGTAACAATGAATTTTAAGAAAATAAAAGAATTATAGAAGTTCTATGAGAAAATATGGAATAGTTTGTAAACTATTTACAGCATAAAATCTTTTATTACTTTTTATTTTAGCTTTTCCAATTTATAAATATTGTGTGTAACATAATAATAAATAGTTCTTCTAAGTATAAACTATAATTTTTAGTTATATTTATCTTTAGATTATCTCCTGAAATGGTTTCTATAGTCAAAAGAAATTCATGTGGAAAAGCTCTTGATATTGCCCGAAATGCTAGAGACATGCTTGGAGGAAATGGTATTAGTGATGAGTATCATATTATACGTCATGTCATGAACTTAGAAGCTGTGAATACATATGAAGGTGAGATTTTTAATTCAAACTGCTGATATTTTAATTGGCTGTATTTATATAAACCTGCATATAAAAGGGTTCAAAACCTTTTAAGGTCAACCTGGCTTTTCCCAAAATTTCACATGCAGACTTTCTGCATCAAAAAACCTATTTTTCTTGTTATTCGATGGGGAAGAAGTGCATAACAGGGAAGCTTAAAATACAGTATGATGAAAACTCCACATTTGTACTGTTGTTAGAATAAATGTAGAAATGATTGTACTTCATAAAATGCAGTTTTATGGCATTATCAGTTTCAAGAATTAAATTTTTTCATTGCAAAATTTTAAAATTATAGGTACATTTCATAGATTTTATAAACTATAGAAGAGCGATTAAACAATAGTTTAAAAGTTTATTGATATAAGTAGATGTGTTCATATTCAGATGTTTTAACAAACCAATGAAAATTAGTTTCTAAATGTGGGAAACTAAATTCAAATACTTTCTAAAACTATGAACTCTTATCATGTTGACAGAAAAATGTTTTATGTATGACATAATCCATTAAATAATAACTGTTCTCACATTTTTAACACGATTTTTTTTAAACCATGTTGATTAATTTAAAGCTTTCATTACTTTTAGATTTGTAAAGAATAAAGAAATATGACAATAATTAGTAATTATAAGTCAATTAAAGGACATCATATATATAATGACAGTGTGATAATTAATGAAACTTTCAATATGCTCTCAGAACTTTAATCTAGGAAGGAAAAAAAAATATTCAAGAGCTTTGTTTCTAGTTAAAAATTAATTGAAAAATTCTTTTTTAGGAACTCATGACATCCATGCCTTGATTTTAGGAAGAGCAATAACTGGGTTGCAAGCTTTCAAAGGCTAAATTTAGAGACAGCTGCAAAATTTTATATTGATTTTTTATAAATTTGTTATGTTTAAATAATAAAACGTTTATTTTTATACCTCACTCCGGCTATTCTTTTGTACTATAATCCCTTCCCACATTCAAATCTATGTGTTAAGTAATTGTTTATAGGCTATTAAAGTAAGGCTTCACATGGCTGTAATGACAAAGAAAACAAAAAATGACTTGGTTACCTCAAATCCAAAAACAATGTTGCCCGTAGAACTATTTTACGTTTGGATTAGGAAATTCATCCATTGCGTTTAACAATTGTTGTGACAAATCTTCCTTTAATATCTTATAATTCACAGTTATTTTATCTTAAAAAAGACTACAATTTTTATTGTTCTAAAGCATCGAACCAAATTACCATTAGGATTGCTTTTTTTTTAATATATATATAAGATTAAACAGTATTTTGAAACTTGAAATTATAAAAGATGTATTTAAATAAAAAGGAATAACACACACTCAATATACCTCCTATTTATCTAAAGTAAAAGAAATTATAAAGGGGGTCATCAAAGTGTACAGCATCATCTGTGTTTTTAAATTCAGCATATGAGTCGGTAATAGTTAATTTTCTTGGTGCAAAGTATCCATAACACTTATTAAGCACTTGTACAACAGTATTTTTACCATCAAATAACAATGTTTAATGAACTGACAAAATTAATTTTTATACATTGTTCCTGTATATTGCTGAATAAAATCTAACATTTTTGAAAAAGCTCTCAATTATTAAATTATCAACTAATTTACCTCTGTAATAAATATCTTCAACCCCAAAATAACTAGTTTTTTGGTATAACATTCTGCACTCTAGATTCTAAAATGCTTATAGTTTTATTGAACATCGTTAAATTTGTAAAAATATTGAGTTCAGGTAACAATCAGACACAAAGTCATGCAAATGACCCCAACTTAAAACCAGTTTTTTACCAGTCAGCAATCTTTAAAAAAAATCAGTATATAAATATTCTTTATAATCTCAATTATTTTACTCTTTTTAAAATACAAGAAAGCTTCTAATTATTCTAAATAGCATTGTTTTTCAAAAAAAAAAAAAGAATTTTATTTAGTAAAAAGTTTGGAAAAAAAAATTTATTTGAAATCACATTTACATATTTGTGACTAAGATTTACATCACACTGATGGTAAAAGCTCCATATATATGTAAGCAAAATGTTTCATGTATGATCTTTGATTTTCAGAGAGCAACTAATGCTGTTGCTGAGTCTGGGAATAGCATATGATAATTTACAACAGGTACATATGCAGCAACTATCACACGACCTGTAAACGAAACAAAATATATTTTATGCATTTCAAAAAAATATATATAAATGAAAAATAAGTATATTTTACAGGTCAAATTACTTTTTTTATTTCAAAATGATATGTTTGCTATATGATCAGGGAATTATACAAATGCTTTATTAATATTAGAAGTTATACTTTTATTGAGAAGTTTTAAATTAATAAAAAGTGTGTGGGACACTTCCATAGCAAAAATTTTCAATTTTTGACACAGATGAAAATATCAATAAAATAAAAATACAATTTTCATTTTAGCGTTTATACTGATTAGAGCAATTTTTTTATAATAATCAATACTCATTAACATGCCTTTCCATTAAAATAATTGATGCATAAGGTCCTATTTGCTATTAAATAACTATGTTATTTTAATCTAAAATAAAACATTTTTATTTAATGCTTATTCCAATATAATGTCTCATGTAATAAAACACACAGATTTGTTAATATCAGCTAATTAAAATGTTCTTGTTTTGACAGTAGAACAATAAATTCAATGTTTATCTAAACCTGAAGCTTCTTTCTATACACAAAGAGACACTAAAAAAAAAATAATTCAATTTGGTATAAAATTTTGATACTAATATGAGTTTGATTACAAACAAGTTTTATAATAAAAATAGGAAACAATAGTCATAGGCATACATTATTTCAATTTGAAGTTGTCGACACTAGTGAAAGAGTAACCACTAAACCTTTTTATAATGATTATATACGAAACAATTAGAAACAAAATGACTATATACAAAGGTTTTATGATTATAAAATTAAACTTTTTTAATGAAAAACATACTTTTGTTAGTTAAGTAACTTACCTGCAAAATATCTTCCATGTAAAGCACTGACAGATGCTGTTGCAGCTGTAAGATTTGGGCACTTTACATAAACATTACCTTCACCCGAGTTTTTATCGACGTAAACATGAAGAGCACCACCATGATTTCTACATTCTTCAATAACATCATTTCTTATTTCTTCGTCCCAGTTAGATGCATTTTCCCTAATGAATAAAAAAATTACAGTTTGTAAAGTATAAAAAAGTAAAATAATATTAATTATTTTTAAGGATTCAGAAAATTAGAAAAATATTTGACACTTGAGGTTCATTTGATAAACTTTTATGTTAAGGAAGAATATAATTCTTAGAAGTGAACAAAATAAAAAGAAAGAAAAAGCTTACTTCAATAAACTGAAATGATATGATAAAAGATAAATAAAACCTTGGAAATGTTGGATTAAATATTGAGAGATGAAAAAATACAAAGACTTACTTGGAGGGATCAAACATGTTAGATAAAATGAAACACTGGGTAGCTACAGATACAGGTGGATTTCCAGCCATTGGGGAAGCAGATGCTTGAGCTGTAAGTTGCAGAGCTTTAACAGCAGCCTGGGGTAATTCCAAACCAGTGCCTAAAAAATTAATTATTTTTATAAAATATGAAACTATTAACATATTATTTGTGTTCATAACTGTAGAATTTTATAGAAAATATTTTAATTTTACATGAAATTTATGGAAAAAACAAAGTAAAATATATATGTTTTAAAATTTTATTCATAACTTTATGAAGTTTTAAATTTAGGAATGGTTATCATTACACGTGATTTCCCACTGCATATAAATTTTCTAACTTTTTTTCTTAATCTTATATTCATATCATCCTATACTATATATAATAATCTACTGGTTGCATGTGGATGCTGTTTCGCAAACTCAACACATTATTCCTGCTACCCTTGACAGCATTGTTCTGAACTTATGGCAATATATAAGAAGAAAGAATTTTAAGTGTAAATTGCAGGAATAAAACCATTTACACACTCACCATTTTATGACCCCTAAAATAATATATTAAGTGCAAATAGTAGGGGTATTGATAAGTCACGTACAATTTATTAATATATATATATATATAGCACCATATTTTTTGTAAAATTAGGTAAAGGTAAAAATTATGCATGAACTCTCTGAAGCTTCCGCCCTTCTTGACCCCCCACCTTAGATTTAATTTGTTTGGATTTTTGGAACATTTTTAAAATATCTTTTCAAACAAACCAATAGTTTTACATACTTGTTTATAAATTTTCCTGCAAGTATTGATTTGCATAATTTTTGCACATCAATAAAATGATTAATGCTAACTGAACAAAATTATAATTTTGTCTTGTTACCCTTTTTTTTTGTGTGTTTCCAAAAAGTAAAGCTAACAATAGTTCGTTCAATAAGAGTTGGCACTTGGCTCCACCTTCATCACAAGGTATCCGACAATAGTATTTCGCTATTTTTGGGAGAAAGATGTGAACAATCCTGAACAAGGTTGCTATTTGGCGATCGTATGACAAAAATATTTATTTCGCAATCTTTATGTGCGTTTTTTAAACATTAAATACTTCATAAATTTGATGATATTTCTTTCTTTTGAGTGAATAGTTGGTCCTTTTGGAAACATTTTGCTGCAATATATTTAATTAGCTAGAGTAACAAAAGGTATAATAGCAGACGATAAAGGGAAGTAAGTGACTGAAAAAGAATTTACTGTCTGCGTTTGGTGTGCAGTAAGGGTTGTCTCAATTTCAAGGGCTGAGACATTTCTTCTCTTACTCCCAGGCTGAAATGATTCTTCATCCGAGGAGGTGGAGCCAAGTCGGGAACGAACTATAATTTTGATATGAAGTAACTTGGTTACCAAACATGAACTACTTTACAAGGAGAAGTTACCCTGGGTATATTGTGAGGAGTTAAACTAATAAGAGTTGTGTCATAATAAAAATATAAACAATGAATCAGAATAGAAGAATGTAGCATTTGTTTGAAAAGAAATTAAGTCAATTAAATTATTCAATGCACTACAAGGAGATAAATAATAGGCATAGTTTTATAACAATGATAATGTCACAGTAGAAATTTTGTTGATAGAAATATTAGCATGAAGATGATTTAAAACTACATGAAAACATGATTTAAAACTACAGTGAAACTTTGATAACTCAAAGCACAAACAGAAGCCAAAAATACTTTTGAGTTATCCAAAGCTTAATATAAAATATGTTATCTTTAGGTTTTTATAACACCTCAGTCTACAAGCCAAAGAAATTCCAAAGTCATGTTGGGTGGAAAGCAAGCTTGATAGTTTGCAAATATTGAGTCATATTTGGATGGTCAAAAAATAATAAAACAATTCTTTTCCACATGAAAATTTTGGCTCCAAGTTTTAGTACCCATTCTGCAAAAATTGTACTTGCCACCCATGTTGTTAAGCTTTAGAAAAGTTTAAAATTAATATTAAATTTATACTTCTGCATAAAACTAGTAAAAAAATAATAATTAAAAAACATCTTAAACCAAAATACTAGCAAACCAGACAGCTACGGAAGCCAAAACCAGAATTCTCTAACTATACACACATTAGAATGATACAACTGTACACGGTCAAATTTCACTCGAAACAATCTTGTAAGATCTAGAATTCTGTGCATCATTTCTTACATTTCAAACACAAGTGTGAAAATGAATGTCAAACATTTAAACCACTCGGAAATAAAAATTGGAGACTAGCATTATAACATCCTTGTACCAATAGAATATAGATAAGGGAGCAAAATGGAATCAGTCACTCAAAGCTATTGCAACAGTGTTGGAAAAGAAAAAAAGAAAGATCTTTTTGCATTTTTATCTTCAGAATTTTTCAGAGTAATAATAGACAACTACAATTTAAACATGTTCTTCTTCATTACTTTTTGAATAGAGTTCTCAGAATAATAATGAGAAATTTTCTTTCTGAAGTTGCTGGTTTCTTTCTACCACTGCAGAGAATAGTTTTGTTAATTTGCTGGAAATCATTTGGAAATTTAGAAAGTTCTTTTAGATTGCTAATGCTTTTTATTTCCTTAAAAACAACCAAAAAAAGCAGACTTTTAAATTAGAATTAACGTTCAGGAAACAAAATTGTCTTCAAATTATCAAAAAAAGCAGATTTGTTGTACTTTAGTTAAAAAGGGAATGTTGCCGGGGTTTCTAATATACTTTGAGTTAAAGACGTTTGAGTGATAGTCCAACTGTAAATGCATTTTTCTTACAAACAAGTACCTCTTTGACACAAATACTCCTTCAATTTACAAACTTTTTTTACATTGCAATATTATTACACCAGATAAAAAAAATTCTTGAAATTATGTTAAGTATTATGAATTAATTTACCTTCAGCTAGCTTAGCCATTAACTGTAAACGACCAGTTGCACCTAGATCAATCCCAGCTCTATCCATCTCTTCAGTATCAAGAAATGATGGACCCTGAATAATGTCAGTGCGATCCGTAACAGTGCCAACTTTCATAGGTCTGCCGGCTAATTCAAATCCATTTAATTGGTCTAATGCTTTTTTAGCACTTTCAGAATCAGTGAACTGAAAAAATATAGATTAATTATTTTACATGGCAATAATGATAAAACTTAAATTTAAATGATAATTTTGTGCAGCTTTAAAATGAATTTAAAATAATTTCACTCAAATAAAACTAATAGCATAAAATCTTACAGTTACAAATCCATAGCCTTTCGATTTGCCTGATTCTGTATCTTTCAGAAGTTCAATTTTATCAATCTAGAAATAGAAAAATAAAGGAGTTAAAACTATTTTCAAAATAATAATAATATTAGTTTATAATTACTATAAACTGAAGATATTTTTTTTTTTATGATGCTTAAAACTTATATAAGCAAAGAATTACAGAAAACAAAAATACACACGTTTGCAGGAAATAAGCATTTACATACACCAAATCATTATTGAATATTTGGTAATAGTTGAAGCATCTAAAATAAAATGTCAAGAAAATTAATACCTTTCCAAGTAAGTAATATGTAGGAGAATGTAATATCAGACACTTAAGCTTTTCTTCGATAAATAATTTTTTTATAGCTCAGTAGATTAAAGTTCAAAGTGGGCTTTCTTGAGATAAATATTTTTCACTTGTCCCTCTAATTGTAATTTCTTAATCTATAGCTTCTTTCAAATTATTTCCTAGCTTTTATTGACATTGATGGATTTCGTCTAACAAAATATTATGCTTAATTATGTGAGGATATTACGTCTATCAACCTTAAACTATGTACAATACAACACGCAACATCTCAGTCTAACACAACACGACAGATAAAATGAAACACGTCCTGAATCACTGTATACTTATGGTTAAACTAAAGGAGATGAGATTCACTCCTTACAACATAAAGAATAAATAGAGTTGCCAGTGATGAATTAAAAAAAAAAAATTTAAAAAAAAGCTTATATTCTATTTTAGGCAAGCTGTCGCAACTAAAAATTATCATCATTCACTCAAAACAGTAGCAAAAAAAATTTTTTTTTAATTTCTGCAACACAAGAAAACATGGCTCTCTGACAAATATGGTGATATTTAAATATTCTTTCATTGCCAAACATGCTGATGTCTGATTCTAACCAAAGATGCTATTTAACCTTCTCATACATAGAATAAAATATGTCTATCTGTAAATTTCCATGTTGCCACAATTAAGGTTTTGGGAAAATAGCCTCAAATGAAATACACACATTTTCCTATACAAAATTGAACTTCTATTTAATGATAAATACTTAAATCTCAACGAATGCCAACATATCTATTTTTTTATTTCACGGATGAAGACCAAATTGGGAAATAAAAAAGTTTACCTTTTTATGGAAATACTAAACTTATAAAGAGATAATAGAATTTTTCAATAAGTATGCCAATTAACTGTTTAGCAACTAAAGAGGGCTAGTTTCACAAAGCATCTCTGTATTCTTAAGCAATGCTAAATGCATTTTTAAAAAAACTTTTTAACTAACAATATTTTTAAATGAAAAAGAGGGTATGAAAACATTCCAGGAGTAAAAAATACTTACTTTTCCAAAAGGCTCAAAAATTCCTTTCAACATTTCTTCTGTTATGTTAAAATGTAGTGATCCTACATAAAGTCTCATTGGACCAACATTGCCACGTTGAACACTCATCATACTAGCAGCAGCTCTGTTCTTTTCAGCTTGGGTAAGTTGAACAATAATAGGCACACCTAGTAACTTTTTGCCAGAATAGTCTAATGCCTAGGAAGAAAAAAAAATCTTAGCAGTTTTATGTACAAGAAATTAGAAAAATAAAGCAAATAATCATAACATTCAAATTAAATACACATTGAGTGTTGCGGGAAACAAGATTTTTTTCCACTCATCTTGAGGGCTTTGATCATTTGGATTGCATATATTTAGATATTTCAAATCAAAATACATTTAAAAGATGTGATGCAATTGTTCTACATGATACAATTCAGCATAAATTATAAGCTCTTTGTGTTTATTTATTGCTTTTTTATGACTTTTTTCAATTATCGATAACTGTTTAATTATTTAGTTTACATAGAGTCGGGATATTTAAAATTAATATTTGTTGAAGTGATGCTTTCAGGATTGTTTTGTGTTTGAATTGAGTAAAATTGTACATGGCACAACTTTGTGCAATTTTTTAAAGTTACAGTGAAAGTTATTGAAATCCATTATTTTTGCATTCAACATAACAAAGAATAAAAGTAACGTAACGTTAAATTATAAAAATATAGAAACTAGTAAAAACATAGAAACTACACAAGACAGACAAGCTAGAATCACATACTTAAAAGTAAAACTATTTGAAAAAGTAAACTAAATATAGATCATAAAATAAATTACAAAATTATTAAAGAACAAGAGAAAATGACAAAAGTTAAAATGAGGAAAACAACATTTCTCCTTTTACTTACCAAGGACACAGAATATGTTTCTTGAAATTCTATGTAAGCAATTCCTTTAGAGCGTCTTGTTTTATTATCCATGATGATTCTAACATCTTGAACCTGTAAGTTAATGTTTTAAAAAATAACTGAAAAAATTAAGTCATTTCACAAGTAAGAAAAATATACTAATGCTTTTTCATAAACGAGCTTTTAAGAAATGTAAACCTTTCACTGTAGCCATAACACAAATTTTAATTATTTATTTATTCAATTTACAAAGTTATTGTAATACTGAATACAGGTCATCTAAATTATTTTAATGGTAATAGTGTGTACATTATTCATTTCGAATTGAAAATTAAACAGTTTAACATCACTTTTAAAATGTTCCTAAAAACATCAAAATCCATTCACATTAGAAAAATTCCTGTTTCTAATGTGAATGGATTAAGTAATATTATTTGAAACAACTTATAAATTTTTCTCATTGGCAAATGTTTTTAGTTGTCTTAAATAAAACAGAATCCATAAAAAAATAAGTTAAAAATATTAGTTTGAATATTAATTTTTGAAATATTAACGTGACAATTAAGAATATCAATAAAATTAATAAATATCAGTTTAAATAACAGAAACAGAGACGTTAAATTATAGATTTTTAAAAAAAATCTTTACCTTCCCTACAGGTGAAAAAAATTCTTCCAAATCTCGTGCTCTAACACGTTGAGACAGTTGCATACAAAATACTGTTCTCATGTCCCTTTCTTCTGGTGTTAAATCAGGATTTCTAATTAAAATAATAAAATAACTTTTTAATAAAAAATAACCATTATTATAAAAAGTTAGTATTTTGAAACTTTGAGAATGCATACCAGATTTGAACCTAGAAAAAAATATATCCTTAAAATTTAAACAAATTGCCAAAAGTACATGGAAATTTCATGTAACTTAATAGAAACAAAGTATTGTCATAGCTCCTAGCAGAGTAACTATAACAGCATATTAAGAACTCTAGTATTAGGCACAAAAAAGATCACTCACTTTCATAATTGTGTGACGTCATTGATATAGAACAAGGATTTCATATAGTAATAGTTTAAAAATCTTACATTTAATTCTAAAAGTAAAGCAAAAATGTAAAATAAGTGCAGAGTAATACTATTTTTTATTAATTAAATCAAAACTCTTAGATCATCTTGATTTTTTTGTTATTCAATCATTTAATGTTCCATGTAAAGCGAAAAAGAAGAAGAAAAATATCTATTACAACAACTTTAATAAAAAAAATTCATGAATGTAGAAATTATAAATTTTATACTGAATATTATGTTCACATATAAGTTTATCTTGCATGCAAGTCTATCTTGCATACAAGTTTACCTCCTGCTTTTAAAGAAATCCACAATTTCCTTTTTCATAAATTTTTCCAGACTTTTAAAAACTAAGAAAACTTTTATTTTAAAAAAAAAATTTTTTAACAAAAATATTTTATTTTGGAATCGTCTTCAAATCAGCCTGTTTCTTTTGCCAATCTTAAATCAATTTCTTATTGACACCAAATTGATGTAAGGCAGCACTGTTATTTGTAGTCTCCTTGAAAGATATAATTAAGTTTAAACCTTGCACTATAAGACATTCTTTTCTTTTTTTAAAATTATTCCCCATAATATAAGAAATTAGAAGTGAAAAGAAAGAAAAAAAGCAGGTGCATTCGAGATCAGAACAAGATAAAACAATTTGCAATAAGATTCGGGGGGTTGTATGAGGAGAGAGGCTTTTAAACGATAGAAAGGCAAGGATAGCTGCCATCACTGGTGTTACAAAACCATTTAATACCAGACAGGGCATTATTATTCACAACTGTCTTTCCTCTGATCGTTTATTTCACATCATGTGGTTTTTCAATGCTGGAACAACACTCCCTGTTTATAGCTCTCCACAGGGAATGGGAATATGTTTTGCAGGGAGATATAAGTAACCGAAAAATGTTACTAACTTTATAGCATGCGAATAAGTTACAATTATTAAATCTTGTTTTTATATACTAAATTTTTGATCTATGCGAGTATATATGCTATTAAATATTAAGATTTTAAAACTTAAGGCTAATAAGTTTATTAAAAATAACATTCATTTATTCAAGAAATTTCATAATTTTAAGGTAAAAAGTAAAAGAAACATTTATTTCAATATGAAAAAAAAGTCCTATTCATGCACGAAAACAAAATGAACTTTAGTTGCAAATTCAAGGTCGCCACTGAAGTAAACATAAAAAAATTATGACTTTAATAGTTCTCAAGGTTAAAAATAATAATCTAAATGGTATAATCAGAAAAATAATTGTAGCCTAAATAATAGTAATCTCTCATAAAAAATAGCACATAAGGTAAAAACGAAAACAAAAATATCTAAAGAAAGCAAAGAAAATATATAACACAGGGTTCTCTCTAAAATTTATCTGCAAGACGCACTGCTCTGTTTAACTACTTGGTTAAAAAAAATTTCTGCCCTTTAAACTTGATTACACACTCTGATAAATGCTTAAACAATAAAGATACATGCCTATACCCTTGTCCATACATGCTAGTTCCCTTGTCCATACACGCCAATTAGCTCCTAACTACATATGCCTTTTTCTTGTTTTTTACTCATTACCACTTTGTCATTTCCAATAATATTAATATTATACTATAATGAGCAAAGAATTTTCTAAACTATGACTTCTTCACCAGATTAATATGGAACCATACCATCATTAATCCATCTAATTTTCGGATTATCCAATCTGATCTGATCTGATTTCTTCCAATAACTTCTTTTTTCATTTCCATACTATTTCCAAAGTCAAAATTTCGAATTTTAGTAATAACTTTTTAACACTCTTGATTAGAATGAAAACCCCTATATATTTTTCCTAATCATTTTTCGGCATTTATTTCTAATTTCTCAGTCGACTCCACATGATGTTTTTAACATTCTAATTTAATATGATTTAAAATGACAAGGGATCTCCAGTTCGAGTGATCACTTTCTAACGTCTCCAGTTTGCAACAATTTTGCCATAAATCCACATTATTTTATGATCTTTTTTTTTGGGGGGGGGGCACTGTTATTTGTGTTTTTTTAATGTCATTTCCATGTGGTTTTAAAAATTGCAATATTTTGATATGAGTTTTGATAACTAGATTCCACATGACTCACTAGCATAACCATAATATTTGAAAATAAGCATCTTCTAATAAGTAGTCAACTATTTGACAATAGTTCCCTTTTAGCTATTTTTTGTAAAAAATAGAAACCAAGTCATAGTTGTCTCGCCTTAATTTTATTAGCAAACAGTTAATTTCAGTCGTCAGTAAAAACTGCAATTGAGACAAAAGAATGTAATAGAATGCAATTCAGACAAAAATATTTTAAATTAACCTTTTAACAAACTCGCTGGCAATTTCATACAAACATTTCTCGGACAACCACAATTTTACGGGCAAATAACATGGAGGGAAATGGTTTTTTACGTGAAAAAACAAGGTTGTAATATGTTTTTACATAAAAATAAGTTCAAGATCAACAGCTAAAGGTTAAACAGAAAAAGAAAAAAAATCTTATAACAAAAATAAAATTCGTTCACATACCTGTGCAGACGAGCAGGTTTTCCAAATTCATCTGCAGAATCATTACTAAAAGAGAAATCCACCCATTAAAACTTAAAAAACTATTCATTCATAAAAATCAATATCATAAAGCAGAATATTTATATGTACGTAGGTGTACATGCATGTATCTTATACAAATCCCCAATTCTGAATCAATCTGCACCAAATTTGATGTATATATGTTTAAAGACACAGCAAATCAAACAGTCTACCTTAAAACTGTCTACATTTTTTATAGCTTGTGGCTCTAATTTATCAAAAATTAGTTTTATCACACACTTGTATAATTTTATGATGCATGGTAATGAAATCATCAAATTCAGATTTTAAAAGGTAAAAGGGGCTACTTGTTTCTTAAATAGATACTTAAGTTTTTAAGGCATGTCACTATGAACTTTGATAGAAACTCAACAAGAACTAAATTAAAATTGTTCTAATGTAATGATCTATTTAGCCACAGGGAAATTCTGAACATTACAGTTTATGGATAGTTAATCTTCATTTCAGTGAATTTCGGTTATATTATGGCAAATTAAATATTATAAAACCATGTCAGAACAATGCAACAAATAAAAAAATTAAGGTTGGGTATTAGGAGTCATGTATGTGTAGTATGGAGATATTAGGGTACTCAAATGTTCGGATGGGGAACAAAAACCGATTCACCGGTACCTATATTAGGAACCTAAGTTGGTATAATAGGTTCACCTTTATCACAGTATCTATAATATGAATACTTATAATATTTAAAGACACTTTTAATTAACCATCACTCATGTCAAAAATAGTTCAGTGATTTTTTAGGGGTTTGCAAATATGATTATAAAAATGTTAGTATAGTAACTAATTATTTTTGAGAATTATAAAAATTGAAACAAAAACACTAGGCATTAAAAATCTAAAATAATAAAATGAAGAAAATGTACTTATCAAATAATCAATATAATTTCAATATGTGAACTGTGAAAAATTGCCGAATTGTTATTGACGTTAATGATGCTTTTAAATTTTGTAATAAGCACAAATTGAAATAATAAAAAAAGTTTTTTTCTAAAATGCTAAATTAATGGAGAAAAGGTACATTATTGGTCAAAGATTTTCATAATTTACAGCCGTTGTTACAGCCTTAAAGAAAAAATTTTCAGAATTAACAGCCTGTTGCAGGCCAAGACTGTCTGCAAAAATTTAACTGTTTTATATTAATTATTGTTTTCGATACGTACTAAATGTACTTATTTTGGTACCAAGATACATAATATAAGTACTGTGGAAATAGGTTTCTATGGTCCATCCACCAAAATGGATAAAAACTGAAGAAAATTGCTGATTATGGTAATTTTTGATATCCAAGAGTTGACCTTAACAGATAGCATTATGTCAAATGTCGCAGAATATAATTTATCTTTATTTTAATGGGATGAACTTCTAAAAACAGGTTTTGCTCTTTGTTAACATAAAGCCACCATTATGGGCAAGAAATAGTTACAGAAAAAATTGGAATTGTTTCAGCTTAATTAATTGTGTCAGTATACGTTTTTCAGTTTTGTGCATTATTTTGTAATGTTAATTAGAGCCGATTTATTGATGGATTTGATCATCCATGGCTCGATATAGTTCGAATTTTAATCGCAGGTTTGAGTTTTATCATCCAAAACAGTTCTTCATCTACCGAACTTAATTTTTGGGAGTCATTCTGTAATATATTAAGTAATATAGTCAATTGTCGATTGTAATTAAGTTGTAATATGGCCAGTGATTTAATAATTGTTATATTCATGTAAGTGTTTCATTCATTTTCACTATTAGGTACTTTAATTAAACCACAATCTTACGGCAAAATTTCCTTATCCAAGTTAAGATCAGTTAGCAGTAATAAACAGATACAACAATTATTTAGATAATGCTTTTTCTAGTATCCTACTGCTTCCCAAACTTTGGAAGTCTATTTTTATTAAATCTGTTGCACTATGGTATTCTTGCTAAATCCTCTTACATCTGCTTCATATCTCCCCTTGTTCCTGTGCATATTGGTTAAATCTTTTTGCATGTAATTGACTTACTTCTCTACCTTCATTTGGTGTTTAGATAATGAGGAATGCTTTTGTTTACAGAACTGAAAACAAAACTATAGTATGCCCATTTCAGTACTTTCATTTATGCTTTGCTCACATTGACGTTGTTTTTTACTTTAGTCTACATAGCATAAAGTATATCCTATCCTTTTTGGATAATAAAATCAATATTTAATATGAGAATATAAATCAGAATATTTTTATTTAAAATTTCTTTTGAAAGAAAAGCATTGTATTAGTTGCTGATACAGCATTGTATTAGTTGCTGATACAGCATTGTATTAGTTGCTGATATGAAAAGTGGACAAGTGTGACAGCATCAGAAATGCAGTAAATATAGCAGCATGAGCATTTCAGGTTATAAATGAAAGAATACTTTATAGCAGACGGCATTATGTCTTAATTGTCCCATTCACATGAGAGTATTTAAAGTGAATATCAAGTCATGCTAAGATGGATGCCTTGAAAACAAAAAGTGGTATGATTTTAAGTGACAGAAGGTGATAGTTATAGACTAGAAGTTACACAGATACCCCAAGTCCTAAATCTTTGATTACCAATATTCCAGCAATAGGAGCAATCAGGGTTGCCACAGTAAAAAATGAACAAAAATAGTTGCTTTAAGTAGTCTCAAGCATGAAAATAGTTGCCTAAAACTATAAAAATAGTTGCCTGAACAGGAGCAAAAATTTATCAAAAATAGTAGCCAAATAATTAAAATTGTAGCTTAATTGTCGAATACTATGATAAGGACTGGTTGATGTCAGAAATTTTAAATCGTGATATATCGCCCGTTTGACATCGCGATTTAGCATATGTTCAGAAATTACCTATGGGAAATCAATCAAAAATAAATAAAAAGGAATAAATCTATTACAAAAGAAAATATTAATTCTAAACATATTCTACTATAATAGCAATATCATTGCTTAATTTTTTCAATTAAAATAATAAAGTCAAAGCAAAAGCAAACCCAAGATTTATTTCATTTTTCTTAAATTAAAAATGATTTAAGATTTATTAGTTTAAAAATAATAATACTGTGACAAAATATTTTACATACGTGCAGTAAAATTAAAGAAAACGAAAGTAGAAAACAAACCAAAAAAATGGTCACCAAAAAAAATGTTTTTTAATTATTTGTTGGAAAAAAAACCATGCTTTTGAAACATCATTAGACCATTTTTTATTCAATTATTTAAAATAATATAAAGCAGTATTAACTAATGGTCAAATTCTGTACTGAATAAATGTAAAAATATTTTTACTTATTTATTATTATTTTCGTCCTTGAAAATAAAATTGACTAAAGATTTATTTCTTTAAAAATGACACTGACTATCTAACAAATTATAAAACAAACAAGTATTGAAAGAATTTTAATAAAATTTAAAAAAGAAAAATACTTTAAGTACTAATGTTAAATTATTAAAAAGCATCCAAACATTACTAAACTCTTTATTTAATTTTTTTAAAAAAAATTTGTTTCTTAACTAATAGCCAATTTTTTTTAAAACTTTGTTTTCAGTTTCTCAAAAATAAAAACAAATTAAATAAAGGTAAGCTTTATTTTAATTTTTTTATAAATAAAAACAACTGAACATTTATTGGTGTAAAAATAATCAAATTATTATACTTACCTATATTAAATAAATTTGAAGAAAAAAAAAACTAACTTTTTATAACAAAATTAAGTACAAAATACCCCTATTAAACTGTATCCCTTAAAATGAAAAATAATAATTGAAAAAAAAACCAATGAAGAAACTTTTTCAATTTATATTTTCTTTTCATTGATCTATTGAGTTCAGAACAAAAGTTTAAGATAACAGCGATTGTGCAGCAATCGCAAAGTAACAGTAGGTCTACGAAAAATAAGTATAAGTATAAAAATAACTTTGCTAAGAGTAAAAAAGTCTCACAATAGTCGCCTATTCCTGAAAATAGTTGCTTTTTTAGCCTTTTCAGGCAAAAAAAAGACGCCATAGTCGCCTAAGGCCGAAAATAGTAGCAAATAGTCGCATTTCAGTAGCCTGTGGCAACCCTGAGCAATGGGTTCATTGAAAATCGCATTGTTTGCTTGCAATCGGACTTAACAGGTCTGGTACTGATGCTAAGCATTCTCTAATATTTTACACCATAAACAGCCATTTGACAATGAAAGTCCACAATTCAATAAACTTCAACTAAAATTCTCACTTCTATGAGTTCTATTCTGGAAACATCTTTTTTTTCACAACCTAGCATTTACTTTTAAGTGCTCTTGTGTTAACTGGTTATGTGCAATCTTTGGTGCTTCTGAGAGTTTTGCTACAAGATCTATATTTCCAACGCTATCACATGTACATTTTAGAGAGAATGCACTAGAATAAATTTATCAGAGAATAGATATTTATTGCATGATTTTCTATTTCCCTGGAAAAAAAAAGACTTTCCTTGTTTCCACAGAGAATGGCCACCTTAGCAGGTTTTTAAATAATTTTAAACTAGACTATATAGAGAAACAGTATTTTAAGTGTAATAGATCCAATATTTGTTACTTTTCTGATTTAATAATAGAAAAATAAATTATAGAAGAAATACATAATTGAAAATTGAATAATGCATTTTTCAGTTTTAGCATCAATGTTTGTTTTTTTTTTAAATTAACTTTCAAGAATGGTATTGGTATTGTGTTGTTCTAATTGCTCAGAAAGAGCAAGAATAAAAAAATAATAAAAAGAGTATAAAGATGCTAAGCACTATACGTTGGGAAACAGTAAAAATGGAAAAATTTGGTAGCTAAAAATTTTAGAATAATTTCAATATAATACCCCTTGTCTTCCCGTTTTGGTGAAGGTGAGTGAACTCTAGTTTTGCTGGAGCGTCTTTTCTCTGGACTTCTAGTTCTAAAAATGAAAACAATTTAGAATTACAATGTAAGTCACACAATAAAAGATAGTAAAAATAAACTTCACCATTTCTAAATTATCATGGTGAAGATGCATTTCTATCATCAATTATATTATTTGTAAATGAAATTAAAAAAAAAAGGTTTAAAAAGAGCAAGTAAAATTTTAAATTATTGAAATAGCAAAGTATAGCACACATTCTCCAGATATCAAGTAAAAGAAAAATATAATCAAAATGTAACCTTTGATTTCATTGAAGAGAAACTGATTATTGGGTTAAAAATATAAAGCAAATATATAAACGATAAATGATATATAAAAATTACAAAAAATATTACCAATAGCAGTACTTGCAAACATTGTCACAATTTTTTTTAAAAAAAGGGGGTTAGATTAAAGAAAACTAGAAAAAGTGTTAACTTAATATAATTATTTTGTAGCATAAAATTTATTTATAACTTTATTTTAAAATTGTGATTTCCAGTTTTTCTTTCCTTCTTCCCCCATAACTTCTTAAAACATTTGACATGCTTTTTTCTTCTTTTTTTTTTTGCCTCAATAAAGTTTTTAAAAAAAATTTTTGGAAAAAGACAAGATTGTCCATTAATAGTTGGAATGGCAAGAGAAAATCATTCAGGGGGAAACATTTATTATCATCGATATTGGCTTTTCTTACCAATTATACTCTACACGAAAAACTGTTATTAAGATTTTAAGATTGTTTTTAAGATTTTTATAAAGAGACAATTGATTAATATATTCCATCAAAAAATCAAACTAATGCAAATATGAGTATATTATCTTAAGTTTCATAATTTTTGCTTTAAAAATATGCATCTATATTTTTAAGTTAAGATTTTAAAAGTGGAAAAGGTAAAAGTAGGAAATTGACTGGTTAGGAGCTTGACTATGTCATTTCAAAAATTAAAAAACAAAACAAATCCTTAAACTTACTTTCGCAATAGAGAAAATCATAGACATGGTTTTCTTTACTCATTGACAATGTGGTTTTTCTTGCATTTATATTCTACTCTTAAGATATTTGTAAATCTTCCTGCATAAAAATATATTCCCATTGTAATAGATGGAAACAGTATTTTATAATAAATGTTCTTCCAACAATTAAATTTTCACATGTTCTCTCCCGTTCCCCACAGCGTATTCAGTATTACTCCTTCATCAAATGAAATTAAAAGGGCTTTTTAAAGTCGTGCCTTGTAAAAATATTTTATTACTAGACTTGTGGAGACATTTTTTGCAAAATTGTTTTCTATAAGGTATGAAAATACTTTTTATTCATTTTTTTCAAATGCAACCAAAAATTTTATAATGGGTTTGGTAAAAATAATTTAGGATTTTACCTAGAACACTTTTCCCGTAAAAAGAAAGATTAAATGAGAGATACTATCTTTAGCTGAAAGAACTTCACCAAGATTCTAAAGCAAAATTTCATTTTCCTTGTCTTCAAACCAAAGAAATATATATATAAAAACATGTATTCAAAGTAAAATTTGGAGTGAAACACAAATATATCACAGAAAGTCTATATTTTTAACTCTTAATATTGAACATTAAACCTTCAAATAAAATTGCATATAATCCTATTTAAAGGAATCCTGAATAGCTTTTTAATAGCAAATGAATAATAACACACAAAACAAATTTGCACTTTAAAGTTTTTTGTGAGAGAATTTCAACATTTTCACAAAAATCAGACTAACAAGCATATGAACAACAGGGATGCACAACCATATTTGAAATGGTGGACAAAACTTTAAAAAAAAATAGAGAGGGGGGCAACGTAAGCAATTTAAAGCTGCAGTCGTAAAAATCCAGGATGTATTTAGATTTCACTTAAAAGTAATAATTATTGAGACTAATTCATGAATAAACAAAAGAAAATTAATAATTTCTCTTTAACCTAAAAGTTAATGTCTTCAATTATTTAGAAAAAAATATTGCTAACACAGTATCAGATTACAGTTAGAATTTTGAAATTATAATTATTTAATTTATCTATCTTTTTGAGTTAGAAAATTTTCTATTTCTATTTTTTAAAATTTGCTTAGGCAAATCAGTAAGAAATTGCTTCTCATCGCAAACATTCAACACACTGCCATAAACAATGTGAAATATCACAATCTAATAAAAGCTGAACTCAATCAGATACTTACTGTTATGGAGAAGAGCTGAAAAAATAATTTTTTTCTGCTACTATGATATTTCCTTACATTAATATTTAAATTTAAGACAGTTTATACTTCAAAAGGTTTTGTGGTCTGTTTTGGCTAGCAAGGAACAAGTTGTACATCCCTGATTAACAGATTGTTATGACTAACTAGCAAAAATATGAGAAATATTTTAACACAAGTAGTACTCCGTTTCATTATAACTATTTTGATTGCAGGAATTCAGGGCAAACAAAAATGCTAGGGTTTCCTTCAAAAATGGCAAAACTTTTCATGGCAAATATTGTTATTTTTCAATCTGTCCTCTTTTTTCTTATTTTTAAAACAGCAATTACAAAATCCAATAAGAGGTAAAAAAATTTTCCTCTTATATGCTGCCTATTATCTATGACAGATAAAAGTACCACATATATTATCATTTTTAGTGATCTCTTTCATCTCACAATACAGCTGATTTTCAGACCGAATCTTGGTTTTCTGGAACACTCATCATGAATAGGTAGGCCATATAATCATTAATAAGTATGACATTCTCTGATTTCTGAAAAAAATTATTTTTAGATCGAAAATTCTGTACTTATTTTAAAAATTTCATGTATTATAGAAATATGCAAATAATAATATAGCAAATAGAAGAAACTACACAATTTATTTGTTTATTTAGATAAAAGAGGAAAAAGAAAGCAAGAGGAATACATAAAGCACCTACTTAGAAAATTTAAAATTATGTTTTATGAAGAAAAAAAAAATTTAATTATGAAATTGGTTACTTTTATGTAATAAGTTTTAATAAATTTAGATTTTTAATTTTACTTTTCAAGAGTTAAAATCAAGAAAAGTTCCTCAAATATTTTGCAATTGTTATAAAGCTTAAACTTTATATAAAAGTAATAGTTCTAACAAAGTTAGAATATTTGAGATAAAAAAAACTATAATGTAATTACATTTGTCAAAGGTAGTTCTTATTTTCTTCAAAAAAAAAATTATACAGTTTTTAATTTTATACTATTATGTGACATCACATTTCTGAAAAAATAGGTTAAAAGAAAATCTTTTACAATCTATTTTCATCACTACTGTGCTCAAAGTATCTTTTTTGTAACAAATTAGATGCTTTTGCAGTTGATTTTTCAAAAATTTTATGCTTTAAAGCATTGTAACTGATGTACATATGTGTTATACTACTTATAAGATAAGCATGCTGACAAAGTATCTAGTAAACAGTAGATAATTTTTTTATTAGGAGCAACAGTAACTAATAATTTAAGTCCTAACTTTACTTTGCAATTTTTATTTGATTATGTGAATTATAAAATACAATTAAAAAATTTAATATCCAATGAAGATTACTCAATTTCAGATAGATATAATAATATATTTTAAATCTATTAAAATATTAGGTCCTAACATTTTAATATTTTAAAACTATTTAATTTAACTTTAGAAACTATAAAACTAATATTTTTTTACTAAACTATTCACAATTGTTTTTCAAAAAACATGAACTGGAAGCTTTTAAACAAAGCAACTAGTGACTTTCATTGTTTAAAACATTCTTTTAAAATTTTTATAACAGAATACCTCATTTCTTCAACTGCAACAGATAAAAATAGCTGGAAAAACTTTAAAAAATCTTGTTTAATAAATTGCAGGCTTCTTCAATTTTTTTAAAAATAATGTTCTAAAGTGACAGCAATAAAATTTTAATAGACAAAAAGAGAATCAATTAGTTCATAGCATCAACATAAATAAATACCAAACTTCACAAAAGCCTTTTAATTATATTAAAAATAATAATAAAAATTTTGTAGTACCTGCTCCTGCGTCGAGGAATATCTCTGTGAGTACGTCGACTTTGATAATCCCTTGCGTTATAGGAATTTCTACCACCATAGTTACTTCGATAATTGCGTCTTCGATCAGGGCTGCGGCTTACTCGCCTTCTTTCTTTTTCGGGATACTCATTTCTTCTGCTTTTGGATGAATCCTTCCTTTCTCGACTATGACTTCTATCTCTTCTGCTGCTCTTATGGCCGTTTTTAGAATGACTTGTGTCTTTATGCTCCTTGTGAGAATTTTTCCGTTCTCTACTCCTACTTCTGCTATGTTTCTTTTTTTTACTTTTCTTTCTAAAAATGAAAAAAAAAATAATGATAATAATGAATTTAATAACAAAACCTGCCATATTTGATTGAAACTTATAAAGTTCATAATGAATATTATATATGTAAACACAATTATTAAGTATATAATATTTTTACTTTTCTTTCTAAAAATGAAAAAAAAAAATTATAAGGAATTTAATAACAAAATTTGTTATATTTGATTGAAACTTATAAAGTTAGTACTGAATAGTATGTATGTTCTTTATAACACAATTTATAAGCATATATAATATAAATAAAATAAAAAATTGTCTGCAAACAAAACACTTTCTGCAAGAAATTTATCAATCCTTTTGTAGCTAGTTACCCAATTTTTGCCAAAATTTGCTCTAATATAACTATTTTTTTTAAAAGTGTTTAACTTTCATAAAATTCTATATTGATTATTATGTATACCAGCATATATTCCATTAACTCCAGCTACATTGACTTTGTACTGCATGGCTAATAACATATTTTAGCATTTTGTGCATGTTTATGATTACTTGCAAATACTACACTAATATTAATAACTATAGTGTAGTTATGAAGACTTGTACCTTCTCATCTCCAAACAATGGCAAATTACTTTGCTTTAGCGATTGGAAAAATCAATGTAAGTTTCAGAAATTTTTTTAACCATAAACTTTAGATTTTCTAAACACTTAAATGACTTTCAATGTTTTTTTTTTTTCAAAAATAATTAACTTTATTTTATATCCAGAGTCAATAAATTTTGAAATTTCATCCTCTAAATTTTGTCATGGAAACCTTTTTTTATGTGTTTTGCTATGTACATATAAAAATACTTTTCCAAGCATCAATTCATCAATATCAATTGAATATTTTCATAAATAACCTTTTCCAGCATACAAAACAACAATAGCAAAAAACTTAACTTCTTTAAACAAATCCTAAAGGCATTTACACTTTACTTTCCTAATTATTTTGATATGTGTTATATAATCAAACTTGAAGGTTGTTCTTTGAAATGCTTTTTTTATAATTTGAAATAGCACTGTTTAGCATATAATATGTTGTTTTATAGTTATTCTGAGTTCAACCAGGTATTTGCAACTGATAGGTTATACTGTCGAAACTGCTTATCTCGAATCTCACAGGAAAAGCAAAAAATTTGAGATCAAGAGGTTTTAAGTTATACACACACTTTAAAAAAATTTTATTAAGAAATTCTATTAAAAGTGCTTTAATTGTTCTTAGTAGAAAAATACAAGCATTTCTGTAAATTAATTATACCAGATACATCTATTTGCAAAACATTTTTTAACATACATTTAACACTGAAAATAATTTTTCAAAGAGTTTTGACGTCTAACCTTCTTTGTTTTGATTATTCTTTTAAGGTCAGAAAGAGCAGCAAATCCCTCATTGACAACATTTTCTGAGATTCAAGAATATTTTGTAAGAGTTCTACAGCTTTTCTACCTCTTTAGCACTCACTTTTGATTCATCAATATGATCTTCAGCTTCTTCCTCTTCATCTGCTATTCCTTTGACATTATCTATGATTTCCGCATTTGTCAATGTTCCGTTCCAAATGTTGCCAGGCAGTTGTTTACTTGTAAAAATCTTCTAAATTAATGTCAACATTAAATCCCAATTTTATTTACTTGAAAATCTGTTCCTGCCTTTCCAGTGTCAACAGTTTCTTCACAGCTTTTCTCAAAAGCAGCCTTTTTAAAACCAATTTGGATAGTTTTTATAGACACATTTTCAGGGTATAAGTCATTCTGATAGCCTCCAACACATTTATTTTTGGAAGAGAAAGTTTTTCATCGATGCCATCTACAAGCTTGCGTACCAACTGTTTTCTCGAATTCACTTTAAAAGTTCCAATTATCCTTTAATACATTGGTTGCAAATTTGAGAAAATGAATTTCTACTCCTAACTTTCTTATCTATGTTAAAAAGCTAACCCCTGGTGGTTACTCTGTCCTATTCATCAACTTACTGCTAGAATCATCGTATTTCTTGTTAATTAAGGAAGTGCAGGGATTGTAATCAAAATTCGTAGAAACACCCCTAACCTGCTCATCCCTACTTCCAGTGGGTTCAAGAAATTTATGTTTGTCTGCAGGTTCTACTGATATAGAAAGTTTTGGCATTTGGATATTTGTGCTCTATTATTAGAAATTCAAGAAAAGGAGGTTTTTGGAGAAAAAATTTCGACATAAACGCGGAAAATACATTGATTTCAAACAGTAAATGTAGGGAATTTTAAACATCTTGAGATATGGAGGTTTTCGAGATAAAGAGGTTTGAGATAAACAGGTTCAACTGTATTTTATCTAGCTTTAGACAGCACTTTTCACGATGATTAAGAAAATAATGCAAAATGTAAAAAAGTCACAGTTTCCATTAAAATAAAAGTTTTTTTTAAATCAAACTTGAAATTTTTTTAAATTACTCCACCTTTGCATAGCCTATTTTCATAAAAAAAATTGCAAAAATTGATAATCATTCTTTATATTATAATGATTCTTATATAAAAGAAAATATTGTCAAAATTTTAAAGATCAACAATAGAAAAATCTTAACAGGACTATTTAAAATCCCAGACTATTTTACAGATAAGTAGACTGCAAACAGGTGTTAAAAACAGGCTTAATAAAATTTTAAAAATCAGACCAAAAAACAAACTTACTTTTTGTCATGATCAGGCGATACAGACCTGGCATCCTGCAAAATAATAATAACTTTAAATAAATTTATTAAATAAGACTTAGTAAAACTTAATTACGTATGCAATTTTTATAGCTCATTTAGAGTTAGTACACTATTCTTAAAAAATGTATTTATAGGTACCAAGTTTTACCAGCAGCCCAATCTTGTTAAAATGTACTCTCGCCCAACTTGTTTTCATGAATAGCCACTAATTTAATTATACAAGCTTAGTTGAAGTAAAGTAGACTTACTAAAGTAGAAACGAATTCATTTAAGTCATCCTTTTCCTTAAATTGCTAATGGTTTGTCCAAATGCATCTCATTAATTTTATCTGTAATGGCCAGCATTAGATTAGTGTGTAAAAACAATAAACTTCAAATTTATATCTAGAAACTTAAATATATTTATTTAGAATTACTTGTAATAGAAGTTAATGAAACAGCAATGTGTTAGATTTATCAAATAAACATTTAAAATATTTTTTATGCTAATTATAAAAGAGAATATTAAAAGCAATAATAAACCTTCATAATATGATTTAAATGTCCAAAATTTTATTTTTGAAATTCATTAAGCATTTAAAAAAAGTCCAACATGAATTTAAAATAAATTTAAATAATTTATGCAAAGGAAATATCCTAAGAAATCTTTAAACATGAATATTAATATAACTGTACCTGTTTAGCAAAGGGAGCATCTAGCATAGCTTCCACATCTAACTCATCATCCATGACTGTCTAAAATATAACCTCATTTTATTCTCTTTTTATTTAGGTATATACAATAGATAAACATTTGGGTATTTTGAAACTTCTGCAGTATAGAGACCCCAAAAATTGACTAAATTGTAAATTCGAATAGCAAATTGTCATTTTCGTAAATTACACACTGCAAAAAGTAAACTAATAGAGAAATTTCCAAAATATTGACTGAAACTGTCAGTCTTTTGAACTTAGAATGGATAATAATATAGATAATTATTTATTTATTGTTAACTTTCCCTTTTCCATTCTTGTTTCTAGCAGATTATTGCCTAAACTTGGCATTTAATTTCGCAACTAAAATCTTCAGAATTGTATATTCAAACTCTATTATTATGATGAATGAAAAACTTAAGTAGAATTAAAGTGCAACTGAAAGTTATTATAAGTAGCTAACTACTCTTACTATAGCAACGTAATTTTGCAGGGGTTTGTCCAGGCCGAATTTACTACCGTTTATCACCCACCTTCACAAATTCAACTTAAGAAAAAACGGTAGTTTCACAAATTCAACTATAGGAAAAACGGTAGTTTCACTATATACTTCATATTAAAATTTTATTTTTTTATCCCTTAAAAAACAATAAATTCATATTTTTGGGTTGATTTTTAAATATATTTCTTAATTTTTCACAAATTATGTTTAAATTTTCACAAAATAGGTACTTCTCAGAAAAGCCTAGACAGACCCCTGTTTAAATACAGTGTAAGCAGATTGTGGCATAGCAATTTTCTTTTTTTAATATTGCATTTAGTTAGGGTAAAAAAAAAACAATCAACGCAAAATAAACTATCTCGAACCATATTGAAAATTAATCTCAAATAAAGCAACCTACAGCAGTCAATTTCGAGAACTATCTAATGACATGATAGGTTTCGAATACGAAAAGTAAATTACTTTAAATTTAACGGTTCCTAATAATCATGTGTTCGCAAATTGGTCCAGCACACGAAAAACGCATTAGTATTAAAACTAGCATTTCTCAACTTTAATTTTAGTTAGTACAAATAATCATATAATTAACTAAACAACACTACAAAATACTATCACAGTAAGGGTACTTTAATTATTTAACCAATTATAGTTACAAGAGGTAATGCAAGCATACTTGTTTTTTTGAAGGCTTGTTTGTAAAAGTAGATTCCAAGTCAAATGAACTTGTCTTTTCAGTAAAAAATTATTCACATGTAGCTAATAAGCTGGTAGTGCATGAAGTGGTTACCTAAAATATAGATTTGTTTTTAATTAATCGAAAATTCGCTTCCTTATACCACTAATATGTGATTATTGTTATTAATTTTTTCTGAAGGAGAATAGAAAGTTGTGTTTTGTTGCCATTTATAAAAGTAGTAATAATTTAATTTTCGTTGAAAAACAAGTCCAACTCGAGATTAACTTTAGTCTCTCGGCTACACTGGCCTTAAAATACTTTGAATTAAAAAAATATTTATAAAGGTAGAAATGGCACTAAGATAAAAACGTCAAAAATGTCCGCTGCTAGTGCTAGTTTTCGTTCCACTTCTCGGACGGGATTATTAGAAGTATACACCCGTCAGCAATGGCAAAAAGTATTGGTTACATTAGAAGAGGATTGCTTAAGTATAAGCCTAGATGAAAGTTATGAAATAAGCAATGGCCCATCAAACGGTCTCTCAGATTCTGAACCTCCTGATATACCGGAAAGTATAGCTAATCAAAAAAGAGTAGTTCGCGTTGTAAAACAAGATAATAGTGGATTAGGAATAAGTATAAAAGGTGGTAAAGAGAACAAAATGCCCATATTAATAAGCAAAATATTTAAAGGTATGGCTGCAGATCAAACTGAACAATTATATGTTGGAGATGCAATTATTTCCGTTAACGGCGAAGATCTTCGCGAAGCTACTCATGACGAAGCAGTGCGAGCTTTAAAACGTGCCGGAAAAATCGTTGATATTGAAGGTAAATGATATGCACAATACAAATCTGCTCTTTCTTTTATAATGATGTGTATTAATGAGATATTATTACATACTTACTTGTATTTTTGACCCTTGGGAGTGTTTTAATTTGTAAACCACAAATTATTTAAATATCATCATTTCTAAATTCACTTCTCACTCAACATATCGCTTGTAACTAAACGGCTTTTCTTAAGGCTTGTTCATTCACTTTGATTAAGCCTGAAAGAATAAACCTTTAGGGCATACCAGTCTTGCCATAGACAATTCTAGAAATATAATTTTTCTTTAGAAATCATCCGAAAAACTGCTTAACAAAAATTGCTTGGCTGTGCAAGAATTGCTTGGAAAGATTCCAGTACCTACACCAAAAAAATATTCTAATTTTTGGCAACACTTGGGCAGTGACATTAGAACAACATCACAGAACGGAACCAATAGAAGGGTTAGAACGCAAACTCATGGCCACTTTTGTACAATCCTCTACATATAATTCTAAACCTTTTTTAAGTTAAGTTTGAAATCCCTTTGGTACCTTTAAATTGTAATTGGTACTGATTTGGAACTATCCCCAATTTATTGTATACTTCACTATCAAAATCTCACTTATCTTATTATAACGTTGATATAAAAGATTTTAAAAATCGAATTCCATTTTTTTTGATAAAATTCAACCAAAAATTACATATTGCATTTTTTGTTCCTACAAATCACCTATGCCAAATCTGACACTTTCATGTCCCCCTTGAAATCTCTGTGTTTTCAGCTGTGCAAGCACGTCATCGAGGTATTTCCATATCGCGATCTGTCACGCTAACTACTATGTGCCAAACAGATCTTGAAATTGCAATTTTTTTTTTTAAAAAAAACATGTAAATGTTTGCGCAGGGGTGGCTACGAGTTATACCTTTCGAGTTGGTGCCTTTCTGTGATTTTTTTTTTTTTTAGTTTCTCATATTAAAGATCTTGTGGATTTGTGAACACATTTCATTTTTTATTAAATAATTTAGAAATTATAATTATTGATGCACTTATTATATTATTTTCTTATAATTCTGAAGACTTTATTTTTATTAATCTTTTTTTTTTTGTTAACCATGCACGCTAATTCCAATATTGCTTATACGCTACATGCTGTGTTGCACTTACACACCTGTTAACAGTTTTTAATTTTTACTCTTTTTAAATTTTAGAATTTAAAACTTTGCTTATTATACAAGTGCATAGATATCACACACACATACTGAAGTGTGAGTCATATTACTATGCTGATGTGAGCGGTGATGTCCTATATTTGGGCTGTGCTTCTGAAAACTTTTGTTTTAATTTTGTTTTTATCGAGGTACAGCTCTTATGGTAGTCCAATGCTTCTGCTCAAGAGTATGGTAAAGTGAATATTTTTCTGTGTTACTAATTCCGGTATTTTAGACTTCAAATAGTCTATCTTTTGCAAACCTGATTTTTTTTTCTAGGAGGGAGGGTAACTAGCATTTATTTTATTTTGGCCAGATTCTCAAATAATAAAATTTTTTTTTTTTTTTTTTTGGGTATAGTTGCCAGAAAGCCATTCTCGTGGGGGAGATAAGAACAATTGAGTACTTGCACTTCTAGAAGAAGTTCCATGCTCACACAGGTCACTTATAACGTCAGCTTATTTTTATCAGCAAAATGGCGTATCGAAGTCAAGCTAAATTTCTCTACATAAGTTAGAATGCTAATTATCGGAAAGTTAATTGAATATAGAACCGTATCGCACATCGAATTAGTTTAAATAATTCTTCCTCATCTGCACCTTTACTTTATTTAGATTTATTATTTGTTTATGTATTTTATTGTGACCACCATAGATTTTTGTTTTGTGTACCTTGCAACTTCGAAGCATATTTAGTTTAGGTTCCAGATGGCTTCGTACCTGTCTTTGTGTTAAGTCTCTGTGTAATTATAGAGTAAAAGTATTGAAATCTTTGAATAAGATTCTTTGTGAAGGAATTTAGAATGTGTCACTTAAAGTAGTTGATACTTGATGGGCTTGGTTCACTCAAAATAGAATGGAAAGAATAGTTGCTAATGTAAACAAATACCACATTACAACAGCCAATCAGGATAGAGATATTCACATTAAGTAACGTGCGCATATCCCATTGTCCCAGATCTAGATTTACTGAGGATCTAGTCAAATTTCTTCTTAAAAATTTATTTTTTAATTAGTTTTTTATATAAGAAATATAGCTAAATATTTTTTGACAATGCATGGAAACTACTATTTTGAATAAAGAGTCTTCATAAATTTATCATAATTAGAAAATAAAACATTTTGTGAAGTGAGGAAGCAGCATGCACTTAATTTCATCCTGAGGCTTTCAAAACTCGTGCCCCATCTTGGTTGCCAAATATATTGGTTTTTACTTGTTACAAAAGTGATACAGTGAAATCGCTCCTAAAGATTGTGATCTACAGGAATCAAATCAGTTACCTTTCTGTTGCTATATTTATTACTACTTACGACTTCAACTTAAATTTCATTAGCTTTCATAAGTGGTTAATAGTAATATATTGATATCATTAATAATTATTTACTTTTTTTTAAAAATCTTTTTTATTTTTTAGTGAAGTATCTAAAAGAAGTGACTCCATATTTTCGTAAAGGAGCTGCATTAGCTGAAGTAGGGTGGGAGTTTCAACAAGGAGGTTTCTTGCCATCCTCTCAGTTGCATAGGAAAAGTGGAAGAGCTGATATTAGACAAGTTCCTCTTTTATTGTGCCACCTTTGTCGTAATCTTACTATGCCAGATGCTGACAATCGCACATTAGAAATTCACTCCCCAGATAGACGACATTCATGTGTTTTAAGGTGTCCAGATGCTGCCCAATGTTCAGCATGGTTCAATGCTATCCATTCTGCAGTTGATGCCATGATGTCTAAAGCTGTTGTAGAAGCTGGCCATCTTTTAAAAGATGTTTTAGAAAGAGCAGAGCTGAGACACATGGGCTGGCTTTCTGAAAAAGTATTTATATTTTCATTTTATTTGTCTAAAAATATTTTAAAAGGAATAGTTAAACTATAAAAAAGCTGAATGGTTTTTTCTGTTGATCATATTTGGTATTTGTCTATGGACAGCATTTTTAAATTATTTTATATTGAATTTAAATATCAACTGTCATGTAGATTGATTCATTTAAAAAAGTTTTCCTAATTGTAAACTACATTTATGTTTTAATGTATAAATTGTATTTTTAAATTTTAAAGATGATAATTTTACCCGTTATGATAAAATCATTAATTCAGACATATATAATATAAAATTTATTAGTTAATCAGTTATGCTTTTAACCATTGATAACAGAGCTAAATTTTAAGAAATTTCTGTATCAATACCTGCTCTAAAATAGTTGCTAAGATATGGTAACAATCAAACAGCGACATAGAAGAAACTAAAAAGAACAGGGCAAAACCTGAAGGGTAAAACTTGTAGAGCACTTAATATTTTGTACTAATTTGGAAAAATAAAAATTATAATGCTAGCTTTTGTATGAATATAGAGATATTAAGTGTTTTCATGAATATTAAAATGGTTTGATTTAGAGTTTGAACCATATTCTTAAGATCTGATAATAGTGTGATCTGATTATAATGTGCCTTTTTTTTAACATAATCACATTTATATTTTTTTGCTTTTAAGAATGTTTTATAATGTTTATTTAAGTTCTAACTTTTTGATAACTACAAAATATTAAATTTGTGATAATTTATAGATACATGATGATACTGGAGTTGTTCAGTGGAGACCAGTATTTTTAGCAATAACAGACAGAGACCTCTTGCTTTATGACTTGGTGCCTTGGACAAAAGAAGCTTGGGCTGTACCTGTAAATAGTATACCTCTTGTACATACTAGGTAAAATAAGTTTTATATTTTGTCTTATTGAACAAGAAAAGCAGTTAATCTTTTCTTTAACATTCCATATATTTTAATCTCTATATTTTATGGTCTATTACATTTTGTAGAATTTTCAATGGTATTCCCTTTATAGATTTTCTTGTGATTTAAAAAAAAAAAATCACTAAATTTTTACTGGAATTATATTTCAGAGGGAAATGGTAAGGCCTTAAAATGAATACTTCTGTTTGTAGAGCAAATCTTAAGCTTGGGACTTTGCATTACATAAATGCTTTTTCTTTTTAAATTATATTTAGTGAAAATAAGTAAGTATATCAATAACAAAATTTTTTATTTTATAAATTAATTTTGAAGTNTTATAATTTCTTTTAATTCACTAAATTTAAAAAAGTTCACTTCAGTATAATCTAGAATATCTATTACATACACAAAAAAAATTTCAAAGCTCTAACTACGATACTTTTTTTAAAAAGGTACATCGAAATATGCCATTTTAACATTGTCAGCATACGAGGTACCGAACCCCCTTAAGCTTGGGATTTTGCATTACATAAATGCTTTTTCTTTTTAAATTATATTTAGTGAAAATAAGTAACTATGTCAATAACAAAATTTTTTATTTTATAAATTAATTTTGATGTCTTTGAAATAGAAGCATGTAGTTTTTCTATTAGGAAACAATTTATTCGAACTGTTGACTTAATTAACAATGTAAAATAACTTTTACGACTCCTTATTGCTTATATTTTTTGAACAATCTGAGATATAGGAGTTTTGAGTTTTTAAATTCTTTCAATGAGAATGAAATATCCACTAACTGTCAAATATTCTTTTTTCGAATTGCGATGATTTTCAAGGAGTGTATGATGATTTCCTCATTCAATTCATATATTGCTTGTATGTTTTTTCTTAACATAATAACCAAATATTTATTGGAAATTACCTCATTATACCTGAATTCTAATTAAATCAGGCATGCAATGAGCACAAGTTTTACCTTATATACATACCATTAATAACCTCTTGATTTAAACTTTCTTCCCATTTTTAATTTTGCTAGTTCAGAGGTGATACACCTTGGCCTATGTGATTAAGTTCTCTTTTATCAGCAAGTCATTTCAGTGTGACTAAATAGTATTGTTATTGTAAACTGTTTTTTGAAAAAGAAACTAGAGATTTTTTTAAACTGGTATCAATGTCTTGCATGTGTGTTTTGAAATCCTTTTCGTGATAACAAATTATTTTTTTTTTTCAGACTTGTACACTCCAGTACACCAAGAAGATCTAGCGGTGTTAATGTTCCTGGGATAACTGATGTGACAACCTTTACTTTAAGACTAGGTACAAGGCAAGGGATTGAATCTAGAGTAATGCGAGTGGAGACGCATAGGGATCTTGCATTTTGGGCAAGGCATTTAGTTCAAGGTGCTCATAATGCTGCATTTGCCATGAAAGAAGCTCATTTCTGTAAACAAATTTTTCTTTATCTATTCCAAAAAATTTTAATTCCTAAATTTTTCTTTTTTAAAGTTTTAAATATTTTTTTTTTTGTAGATTAAAGGTCTGATAAGATGTAGTTAACTAATTACTTGAATTGCTTTAAGGGGTTACATGAAAGTTAAAATTTGTATCTTTGACAGTTGTAGGTAAAAAAAATAATTTAATTTTAAAATTTAAATTGTATGTTGCCTTGTAAAATAAGTTTGGCTAAAAAATATATTTCATTCAATTTAATTTGAAAATTAAATCACTAATCTTGTCAAAACTTTTCACACTTTTACTACATAAAATTTACTTGTATAAAAAAAAGAAATGAAGTTTGAAATATTGTCAAAAACAGATTTGACATTTTTCATTATCTGAGATTTTGTCATTTAAGTTGTATGCAAAAAAATATTAATTCTTATAAAATGTAGTATAAATGCATCCTGAGAATCCCTACTCAAGTTTTTCTCTGACTACTTTAAGATTTAATAATTATTTAGAAACAATAGAAATTCTAAGTATTGTTAGCATTTCATTCTCTTTAAATATTTTTTTTTTTTAAATCCATGTAAATCCTTTGAAATGAAAATTGCACCTGCTAAGCTTTGAGAAATAAAATGCTCCTTTTATTTAAAAATTATTTATAGTTTAACTTATTCAAAACTGTGTTGATACATAGAGCTTGTTATGATATTAATATTCGGATTATTGTTTTCAGTTTAGCCTCACTTTGCATGTTAAAAAAATTCCAGTATGTGCAGAAAAAGTATTGAAATTGACATACACAGTGTGGCCTTAAAGTATTTTGATTGTATGCTCATTTAAAACTTTATTTATTTGGATAAATATATTATTTTATTGTATTCGCAATGTAGTACTTAAGTTATCATCAACCTTAATTTGATTGGGATGTAATACAGATATGAATGAGCAAATGCTGTTCATAGAAAATTTGTCACCATCCCAGAAAATTTTTTACTATTACTCTTCATAAACATGAAACGGCCCAAGTTTTCCTATTTTATCTGTAGTCAATATTTTTCAACATGGTGAAATTTTTTTAATAATTAATAAAAAAAGGAAATTAACTAAAACTTCCCAATAATGACCCACAGGTTAATCTTGCAGAGATTGATATAAGAATTTCTTTCTCTGCCTTGTGCGACCACATTTTTCCTGTGATTACGTCATTACATTTGATTTTCAGGCATGTTTGGTATGTATACAAGGTTTTCAGACAACATAGATTTTTATAAAAGTTAAGAAATTTTTTTAAAATCTGTGATCTTCAAATTTCAAAAAGTAGAAGGTCTTCAAATTTCACTTAAGTAGTAAAGGACAAAAGGGTTGAAACTAGTTTCAAGATTAATATTTATTTTGATATTTATTAATATTTTGATTTTCAATTATAATTTTAAAAAGAGTTGTTTTGTGATCACAGAAAGTTCTCCATTTTATCTATGTCTGGTATAACAGTGAATATAACGTCAATGTATGACCCATTGTTAGTATATTGTAACCCCTATATTTATATTTCAAAAGTATACTTCCCTAAATTCTTTTTCATTATTAAAAAAGAATGAAATCCTAACAGTTTGTACTTTGATTTTCAGCCTGTTTGTTTCAAGGCCAGGAATGTGTGATTACTGTTCATTTTGATAACGGCTTTATTTTACAAGATGGCAGACACCACAGTATCTTGTGGCAATACCCTTTTGAAAAATTACGCATGTCAGCTGATGATGGTATGCGTTTAGTTTGGTTAGACTTTGGAGGAGAAGATAGTGAAAAGGTAAACAGGTTTTATTGCTTTGTGTGTCAGATAGAGGCTTTTTTTTAAAATTTATATAACTTTCTGATTTTTAATTAATGTTAGCCTTTTTAATCAAAGATGATTTTTTTCACGTGTCATTAATGCCTAAAAATTAATGTTAACAAATTAATGTTTGTAAAAACAAAAAAAGTTTAAAAAAAGTAATTTAATTTTTATCATTGCACTAAAAGGTTGAAAAATAAATTTTAATATCCACTCCAATTGATACCTTTGCTTATTGCTCTCTCTAATCATATAACCATTTGTTTTTTATTGCTAATACAGTGAAAACTGTAAAGTTGACTAATTAAGTTTACCACCATAGCTGAGGTCTTCCCACAGCATTTATGAGCCTTCACATTGTTGCTGTCCATTCAGGAAAGATTCTCTTTTTTTTCTCATCTACTGTTTTATTTTAAATATCCTGCAAGAAATTAGCAGTAGTTTGTCAGGGTGGCCACCCACCTGGAATTATCAGGGAATTTTTTTATACTGGAAAAAACCTGGAAAAATCAGGGAATTTTAAAGAAAAGATGGAAATTTTTGATTATTTGTTTAATTTCATTAGTTTAAATTATTTCATCCATTATACCCACTTTTTTTAGACGGAAATGTATCTCCAAACAGTTGAAATATCATCAACTTAGCGATACTTTGCTTGCGTCAAAATTTGCTTCATTACAGCTCTGTTAAACTAGAATGCCACATAAAATTCTCCCACTGCTTCTAAACGAATGTGGAAACCTTTGACCGCTATGCAATTTAGGAAAGATTGTGGTGGAGGTGGAAGAAGGGATTTGGATATTAGCTTCTGTTTTTAAATTCTGTCCTTGGGCTGAATCAATTTATTGCTTAAGTTTGTTCCAATGATTTTGTAATTTTTTTCCATTTTGACAAAATGTTTTTTTATTTTTAACTTTATAAAATTCTCCAAAAATTATTTGGTTATAATTTAATAATATTAATAGATTTTATATTGCACTCTTTTTCTGAAAGCTTTTGTATTCCCATTCAGAGAAATTTGTGAATTAATTTTTCTCAGCAAACCAACCAATCACACATTTTTTTACATTCACTAACAGCAATGTTTGTTGACAAATTATTACAATTGTTGCATTAATACTAATTTTTTCTATTTCATTTTAACCTTTTATAGCTTATTTAGTTTTAAATAAAAAGGTTTTTTTAAGAACTAACTATATATTGATATTTAATTTTACTCTTCTGTTGGTCAAAATTTGATTTTTGATTCAAAATTTTGTACCAAAACATTAAAAAATAAATAAAAAATCTTGCCAAATTGTCGAAATAAGTTATTTTTTTTCAAGATGATATGTTAAAAAAATAACATTTTGAATAAAATATTTTATAATGTAGACACTTTTGTTGTACACATCATACACTTTATGAGAAGAAAGAAACAAAAACCTGGAAATTTTAAGATTTTTATCTGGAAAACCTGGAAAAATCAGGGAAATTTAAAATCTGATTTGAGTGGCCACCCTGTTTGTGTTGAAAAATGACCCAGACAGTTTTGTTTGCTATTACTGTGGCGTGAAAAATGAAGAGAATTTCATTCTCCATTATAAAACAAGGTGGAGGCTCATTAATTGTGTGGGAAGGCTTCAGATATGGCAGTAAACAATGCCCAGCCTCTTCTTCAGAATGTTTGGAGGCTGCCGTCAATCAAAAAATTTTAGAAATCCATTTATTTCCATTAGCAGAGAGAATTGGTTGCCCAAGTTTGATTTTCCAGCAGGACAGTGCCCCCATTTAGGTTGCAAAATCTTTGGTGCGTTAGTCTTTGGATAATAAGGTGCATGCCATGAATGGCCTGACCTATATCCACTAGAAAACGTGAGGGCTATCCTCAGTAGGATTATATGCATAAAAAAAGTAGTAATTTCAGTTTGTAACAGTATAGTGCTATCATTGAATCATGGAATAATACTGATGCAAATGTCCACTAGGCTTTAGTAAATAATCATGCATTTCAAGTCATATATTAAAATGACGGATATATTAGCTTTAATCAGAAGTGGCTTTATTTTGATGGGACACTTCCCCCCCCCTTCACTTTTTACTTATTCATTGCTTTTTTCCTGTCCGTTTGATTTTATTTGGAACACACTGCAGAAGTTTACTATTTTGAGTTTACAATTTTAGATTTTTCTCTTCATAAATGCAGTAGAGAGCCAATTGTCCGGGATGCTCGAGACCATCGCTATCCCGGTTGTCTGAATTTCCCGGAAAAAGTGTCGTTAATTTATATTTTATCGAACCCGAACTACATGGGAAAAGTTTAACGCTTGAAGTAAGAGAAAAAAGATAAAATAAAAGGAAAACTTATTTATCTAAATAAAAAACACTTGAAAATTATCGAATCAAAAAGATAGTTAAAAAAGGCACTAGCATAAATATTAAATCCCAGAACAAGGCAAGATAAACGGAATTTTTAAAAAAAACCTAATGATAAAATTTATGAATAAAAAGAATTAATTTATTGAGTGCGAAATTTATTGTGAAAAGAAAAAAAAAATTCAAAGGTACTGGAATCAGAAAAACAAAACTGCAATCTGCTTCACAAAATAATTCTATGTTTAAATTAATAAACAATTTTACTTTTATTATGATTTTTTTTGATAAAAACACGATTTTTAATTATAGCAGATGTGATTCCACATCAAGAAAAACTTGCAAATGATATCGCACTTCCAAAGAATCAGAATTTATTCAAAAGAAAAAGGTTTTATTTTTACTAATCGATGTCAAATAGATAAATATATTTTTCTCTTTCATCTTCTGTTCACTGATATGCATGTGCAATGCATTTTCCCCACCCCCTCNGTAAATCAAATAGAAAACGAAATCAGCATGCCACACCCTTGAGTTTGATTGGCGGCCTAAAGGAGAAAATAAAACATTCTTCCCTTCCCTGCCTCCACTCGATCTTCAAGGTTACGGAGGAAATGACGTTTCTCTGGGTAAACGGGGGGGGGGAATTCTCCCCTTCCTTACATTTTCCTCTACTCAACTTCAGGAATGAGTCCAATTTCCGCTTTTTTTCATAATCGTTCTAGTTTAAAATGGAGGGAAAACCGAGCAAAATTTTTTCCGGTTATCTGGATACCGGATAAATGGTTCTCTACTGTAATATCTATATATATATATTTCTCTTACACGGCACCAAAAAAAGCCTCATTACTACTCCCTGTGGCAACTTCAGAAAATCGACCAATGATTGCTGCTAAAAATGTCACATGGCATATGTCACTTGAGGTGGCTCAACATATAGCACTTTTAAAAACGGAAACAATAACCAGAGTGAGCATTATCAGGTTGTTCAATTCGGATTCATGCCCTAAAAACATGATAATACTCAATTAGGAATTAATTAGGCTGGCCTTCTCCATGACTATAAATAAGTCACAAGGTCAGACTTTTGAGAAAATCAGTTTAGTATTGACTAAACAAGTTTTTAGTCATGGACAACTTTATGTTGGCCTGTTAAGTCATTTGACAGCCTTTCAGTTATTGCTCCAAGATGCCAAATCTATGATTGTGTTTTTAAGGAAATTCTAAATGCTTAGTGTTAATTTTTTAGAGCTTTGCAGAAAAAAATGTTTTTTGGAAAAAATTTAATTGAAACTTCTATTGGCAGTAGGCAAGGGGAACTGCCAAAATCAAAACTCCCCGAGTAGAAATGCAGCATGGCGACATCCACGTGGTATTTCTCGGGTATTGCTAACAGCCATACATTTTAATTTATTGTATGTAAAACATCCTTATTTTGTTCTAAAATGCTATGTACTTTATCACAAATGTTAATTAATATAGAAATTGATTTCAATAATGCTGATCACCAAAAAATATTTCATTTGGCGATAAAACAAATTTTTGTGTTCTTGAAAATGAAAGACTTTTTGAGGGTTATTATCTCACAAGGAAAAGTTAGGGTTTAAAGTTTATATTTTTAAATAATAAAATTTTTTTCTAAAACTTTCAGAATTTCTAGCATTAACTAATTTATTATACACATTTAGTTGAATTTAGGTGAGTAACTGCAATATTTGATAATTTATTTTGCTAATATGTTTCTCATTTAGCTAATGTTTTGATTTTTTCACCATGTACAATCTAAATAGCTAATATACTTTTTTAAAAGCCAATAAGAACATTGATAGAATTCTTCTACATAAGTACAATACTATGTCTTTGATGATAAAATACTGTGTCTTTGATGATAATATACTATGTCTTTGTGCTAGAACATTGTGCTCATTGGCGAGCGAGCGCAGCGAGCCATGGTTCACGGCGTGAACCACATAGGATTGCTTAGCAATTCTCGGGGGTTAGCGAGCAGGGGGTGGAGCCTCCTAGTATTTTATAATATAGTTGGTTGAAACTAAACTTAAGTGAAAGTCATTTCAATATTAACAATGCTTTGGCACAATTGCAGTTTTTGTTTAGACCATTTCATATGTATGTATGTAATAGTGTCACTTTTCAACAGTATGAACTAATTAAGTGATTTCTGTTTATTTTTAGATAAATTTTACAAACATATTTTTATTCTTTCTTTAGGAATTAGATTTGTTGCAATCACCTAAACCTTTTATATTCACCTTACATACTTTCCTCTCAGCTAAAGTAATTAGACTTGGCCTTGTTGCATGACAATTACAGCAATGGGAATGCGCAGATGAACCTTATGATGACATCTTCGGTCCCTAGTTAACAAAGTTGACTATTACTTGCTTCCTAAAATAAAGGCTTCCCAGTGTTCGTTGCTTTACAATGCAACAGCATTTTGCAATTTCAATGAAAAAAAAAATCAACAAATATCTGCACAAATTGTTCTTAGCTTGCAAAATTGATCTTACTGAAGAACAAAAACAGTGTTGTATTTTCTTGTTTGAATATTGAGTAAAGTGCCCTGCTACTGGTGTAGTTTTTCATCAAAGCAGATGAATTCAAGTCATTACGTATGAGTGATTTTTTAATACTTTTTTTATCAGAATGGGATGTGTCTCTTGTTTAAGCCTAAATCATGTACAAAGTTGATAATTTTTTTTATTGAACTTCATCAGAATTTCAAACGTCTATGTTTCTGCGACTCAGTAAGTTTATATGCTGGTTGATCTCATCATTTTATTGTTCATCATGAGACCAAATTATTGTACACAAGTCTTTAGGATTAATTAATATTTCTAATTAATTTTAAAAAGTTCTTTGGCAAACCAAAACACTATTAAAAAATTATAAGAAAATAATACAATTTCTGTTATATTTTATATTATAAATGTTCACGTGCTTCAGTAAATTTTTGCTTTATTAGATGAAATCTTAGAAAGCAAAAAGTTGTTTATAGGTACTTGAAGTTTTTTTATTGCCTACATTTATTCTATCATTTAATGATTATTTTCTATGTTTCATTACTCTGTATATTAGAAACCTGTAATGTATGTTAACTCAAATTTAGCTGCGATGAGTGTAAAATAAAATAAAAATTATTAATTGCGTAACTAAAGTTGATCAATGAAACAAATTATTTTTTAGATTATTGTAGCTTTTATTTTCAATAAATAAAATTAAAATTTCAGAATTGTGTTTTAAGTGCTGAAACTATGTCAAAGTTAGTCATTTTATCATACAGCTTTAATTTATAAGATATGTGTAGAAAAATATTAACATTATTCAAAGGTTAGAATGTAACTAATTATACATAATTTTAAAAAGATTTCTTTCATTTTTAAACAAATTTTGATGTGTTTACACTCAAAATTATTTTATGTTTATTACAAGAAATTTAAAGTGTCTGTCTGTGTAAAACAGAATCAATAGAAATTTAACATTAAAATATAAATAAAATGAACCTAGAAACCTAATATTTTATTAATTAAATTTTGACAGTGGTTTTATTATCTATTCTGAAATTATAATTTTCTGATTTAATGAGATGAGCTTATCAATATGTATGTATATACAAGTTTGTATATGGAACATACATATGTCTGAAAATTTTGATTGAACAAACTTAAATTCTTAGATATTTTTTAAAAAAATAACTCCCCTCTTTTCAAATTTTTGCTAGTTAGCTAATTGTCCCAATTTCAAACTTTACATTCTCGTATACAGTATTCATTTAATACAAATTCTAAGCACTATTGTATTTTTAAAATATTGTAATAAAATGTGCCTTTATTAGACGGTATTGATACAAATTGTTGTAGTATTAACATTCTTTGATTTAGTTGTACTTAAATTATATTTCAATCTACCTTTACTTATGACCAAACTTTTTAAACTTCCAACTTCATGTTTTAAATTTTTGATTTAAAAAATGTACCTTTGTATCTTAAAAGAAATTCATTCCAATGACAAGTGTGGAACCTTTAAAACAAATGATAGATTTTATAGAATATAATATTAATACTTATTTGAAACCTTAGATGTTTTCTCAAACAGTCAAAGGGAAAATATTTTCGCAATGTTCAGGTGAAAAAGTGATTTAAATTTTCTTTATGACTCATTAATTAGTTAATTTGCATCAAATATATATTTTAAAGAATAAATTTCTAAAAATACTATTTTTTCTTAGAATCTTGTAATGTTTTATAACAGATTGTTAACATTTTGCGTTGTCCCAAAATTTTTCAAATGAAGTAAAAGGTTTCCTTCACTTTTCTATGTAGTATTTTCCAGTTGCTTACAGAGCATTCATTAATTAAGCACATTATTGAAAAATAGGATATTGGTAAATAAAATTATAGACATCTATATTGATTAATTTCTTATATGAAATTATTCGTTTCAATTTGTGTATATGCAAAATTCACTTGCAAAAATTCAGAAGTTAATATTATTTTAACTTATACAGTTATTATCTAATTTTATACAGTTAAGACTTTCAACGAACTGTGAAGAATTGTACTTAAGTAGTAAACATTCTTAAACAGACTATTGAAAAATAACATTTGCATTCACACATTACAAGCGAAATATTTATTAAAATAAGACAACTGCATAAGAAAAGGCAAGAAGAGATGTGTATGAAAATACAAGATGATATGCAAACTTATAATCATTCAATTATGAAAAATAAAAAAGCTTTAAGATGAGTTGACACATTTTTAACGTAAATTTTTTAATCTTTTATATACAAGTGAGTAGGCTAGAAAAAGTTTTAGTTGAACACCAGATGAAAACAATTTCAGTAAAAATGTTAAAATTTAAAGTCATCTTACGTATATATCATAAACTCACAAAATTCTTCTCAATCTTCTTTATGGCACCAGCTAGTAAAAAAAAGATTTTTTTCTAATTTCACACATTTATAAATTTTAACTTGGTTTATAAATTATTTTATCTGATTTGGTGCTTATATTTTATTGTTATTAATAACTGTGTATCAGTCCAATTCTTAATTGTTATTACTTCTCTATACCTTTTTATCTCACTATTCTATAGAAATTGTCTAGTCAATTGAGTGATTCATACTCAAAGTCAAAATTTGACTGTTTCATTGATTAACTTTTTACCTCTCAGTGCCTTATTAGTATACTATATATTCACATGTTATGTATCATATATTTTTCTTATTTGTAGTAAATATTTTAAGTAAAATATATAAGTAATACTGTGACTTGTTTGCGTGTAAATTCAGAAGGAAAAAAAAAAGCTGGCTATTAAAGAGATAGTTGTGTAAGTAGCTGAAAGTGCCCTTAGAGATCAAAACTAAAATGCCCTTAATTAAAGTATAAATATTCTTAAATAATTGTTTATAATTAATTTACTGCTTCAACTAAAAATTTTCAATCCAAATTATTAATACTTAGTTGCATAAAGTAACTTATTTTGGTGTTAATCCCATTTTATTTCATAATAATAAAAATTTATTATTTATTTTGAAGAAAAAAATTTCAGATTATCCATTTGGATTTTTATCTTTCATACTTGATTTTTTTTTAATTACAATTACATTTTATTTTTCATTCAATTTATTTTTGTAAAAAAAGGTTTGTTTTATGTATAAGTTTCATAATATTCAATCTGAATGTTATATTTTAACCTTATAAAACAATGCTATTTACACTATGTCCAAGACCTTTCGAATGATGAGCCTCATACATAAAAATGTGACCAACACCAATATAGTTTACATATTAGATTTTTTTCATATTATGGTACTTGTGTGAAATCCTGCTGACCATTTTTAGCAAAATCAAAAAATGGTACCTAATAATTTTTTGCCCACAATGGAAAACTATATACCAAATGCTTGGGGGTTTTTTTAAAGGTTTTTTATTAATATAGCTTTTTTTGTTGTTATTGTTAAAATATAGGGCAATTCCACGGAAGTGTCACCTTTTAAGTGAAATTTTTTTTTATTAATTGCATATTTTAATTTTAAAAATATGTTCAAAAATAGCCAAAGTCTACATATTGCCGTTTCATTTTTGATAATTTTAAATTTTTTGAATCGGAGGGCATTCTAAAGTAATCACATGGCTGACAAGTGAATTGTTCACATTTGTGCTCAAATTCTTTTCTTGAAAAATACTTATAAAATAAAAGAAATGTATCTTTCTTTTGCAATATTTTGATAAAAATATGCATATAGTACAATATTTAAACATTTAAAACATTATCATTTTAAGTTTAATATATAAAATAAAAGTAACTTTTACGTCATTCCGTAACATGTCTTAATAATGCATAAATTTCCTGAGAACGAAGATAAGATGTGACATTGGCAAGTTAGATATAAAACCTCTTCAGAGACAACCTAGTTTTCAAACTGTTGAAATTTTTACTAATTCTTACAAAAATATTAATCCTGTTTATCTGTTACATTCTGTTTATCATTTACATATTAATAAAACATTTTTTAAATGAAGACTTTCTTCTACTAAATTTTTGTCATTCCGTCACAGCAAATAGATGTTAATAACTGCTAGCCAACCTGAGGTTAATTTTCCAAATTCACATTTTACATTGCTTACACATTATACTAAAAGTATAAAATAGTTCAGAAAAATAATAGCTTCAAAATTTGCAGAAACTACCAGTTCTAAGTGGCATGCCAAAAGCTTGGTTGCCAAAATGTCATTCCGTCACGCAAATAAAAAGTTCGTAAAATTAAAAGTAAAAAAGATAGATAATCCTGTTTCTTTTAGTTTATGAAGCGCATTATGCCAATAATAATGATATGCATGAGAAAAAATGTTTATTTGAAATTAGATACATAGAAACTTCAATTAATTGTTATTTTGCAAGTCAAAATGTCATTCCGTCACATATGGAATTGCCCTATAATTAATTTAGAATACTTATGTTTAGTTATTTTTTCAAATGAACTGCCTCAATTTTTGGTAATCATGTTCTAAAATATTAATTTCAACAGTTTTTACTTTAATTCTTATTCTCTTTTTGTTGTCAATTTGGCAGAATTTGTGCCAACTTTCCTGATTGATGCAATTTTACACAAGTATCCATATTATATACAAAAGTGATTTTGTGGGTAAATATTTATTTGTACTTTTATGTTGTAGATTTATAAACGAATTGTATAACTGTTCAAAATCAGGTATGTAATTCTCAATGTGCCACTTAAATGTATTTTTGTAAATGAATTAGAAAGGGAAAAAAACTAACCTCACGTTCTAATTTTTTTCTAGCTTACTTTTAAAAGTTTTATGAAATTAGGAATTAATTTAAGTGGTCTGCAAGATCGTGAATCACCAGTAAAAAGTGTATTGAAATATATTTATGTTAAGTTATTAATATTATCTGTTTTGAAAAAGCCTTCTATTTTAATTTGCATTAATTTATCTTATTTTGTTTTTAAAAAATGTTACAATTGTCATGTTGCATTTGTATAGACAGTTTAAGGTGATGCACTATTTAGGGACCTCAATACACAAGTTTCCATAATTAGAAATTTAGGTATGTATTACTTTTAGTTTGAAAATAGATATTTTTTACCATTAAGGATTAATTTAAAAAGTTCTTGTGCTAAAAATATGCTTGTTATATAATATTCAGAACATGACAATAATATATCATTTTATTTATTTTTGATTGAATGATGAGGAATGTTTAATATAAAGGTTACTACAAGTTTGATTTAACATTTCAACTAAAACATAAATTATTTGTTCTTCTTGAAATAAAAGTTTCATTTCCAAATCACATTGTTGCCACAGGCGACTAAAATGCAACTATTTTCAGCATGAGGCGACTATGGCAACTTTTTTTGCCTGAAAAGGCTAAAAAAGCAACTATTTTCAGGAAAAGGAGACTATTAGGAGACTTTTCTGTACTTCTAGTAATGTTTTTTAGCATAAATTGGGTTGAAAACCTGCGAACCGCAAAATCTTCTGAACACACGGAATTTCTTTTCTTAAAAAATAAAAAATTTAAAAATAAATAAATACAAAAAATAAATAAATAATAAAAAAATTTAGATTGCAAATTTCAGTCATCACTTTTAAATGCATTCAATTTGCACAAATTCTATTGTAAGTCTTTCGTTTTTCGATTGCCTTTTCAATGGTTATTGCTATGAAATTCTGCATGATTTAAAAATAAAAAAAAAACAATTTTTAATATGATATTACAATGCCTGAATTTCGAATCTGAGTAATCACTTTTCATAATATATAAATATTTGCTAAATCAATTATTGATAAAAGGGAAAATTTCTTAGAAAAAGTGTTTTTTTTTTTTAATGAAAAATAATTCTTTGAATGAATTTTAGTAATTAAAAGTATTTAATTTTCTGCAAATATGCTAAATTTTTTTTATAAATATATAAATTTAGTGCTAGAACACTAATGTTTATGTAAAAATTATCATATTTGCCACCAACTTGACTAAATGGATCATGGCGTATGACAATTATGTCAGTTAATAACATTTTAGTCTTATTTTTACTGAATTTTAGTTTTTATTTAGGCAACTATTTTCATGCTTTAGGCTACTAAAAGCAACTATTTTGTTCATTTTTTTTCTGTAGCAACCCTGAAATCAGTAAATTAGCATCTCACAAATTATATCTGCTAGTTATTTGAACAAATTAAAATATAAACTGAATAATGAGTAAGAAAAAGATGCAATGATGATGAAGTTCTTAATCAATCACAAAAATTTGTGTGGAGTTAAAAATGTTTTATAACTAACATTAAAGGTTACGTTAATGAAATCAATCTAAATGCCTATAATAATGTTCAAACCTATAACCATATTTATGAAAATTAAGTCAAGAAATGAAAATAATTACATTTTTTGTGAGTAGAAAATAATATACAATTAAAAATATTACATATGTAATAACTTTTAGTTTCTATGAGAGATTTTTGTTATGTTGAGGATAATTGCAACTAGAGTTTAATTTGGTCTGTTTGCTGATTAGATCTTTGATATATTAAATTAAACGATTTATATTTCATGGTACTCAAACCTACTTTAAATCAAATGTTTAACATGAAGTTTCATTTCCACCAATTAAAATATGAAAAGGAAATCTCGAAAAATTTGTTTTAGTTGGCAGATATCATGTTTTGGCTTGTACATACCTTTAATATCAAACATTCCTCACATTATGTACCCCTTTATGTATATGTGTGTTTATTCTTTTGTTTAAGACTAATTTAATGTTGAAATGACTATATATATACGCAGTTTATGAAGTCCTTTAAATAAACTTGTTATGTATAAAATTTCTTAAATTTGATTTGTAAATACTTTCTGGTGATATTATATTAAGCTACATTATAAATTGTTAATTTTATACTTACATGAGCTAGTCTTGGAATATAAGTTTTATTGAGTGCATTTATATGAAAATATAAACAGATTTTTTTTATATTTCTGCCTGTTACTTATATCACTATAACACCGCTTGGACATAACAAATTTAATGAAACATACCGAAAAAACATTCGATTTAATTACAAATTTTTATTAGTTTTCTGCCAGCTCATTTTTCTAACAAAATTGATTAAAAATAAGAAAATTTGTACAGAAATCAGAGTGAAATTTATTAATATAGTCTGCTCTCTAACACAAAATATTTTGTTTCTTCAAACGCTAAAATTATTCAATTGTGTAATCTTTTTCTATTGTGTGTACTAATTTCCCAAGTCATGCTCACATTTAAATAACTCAAATCACATTGTTTGGGGTACCATTCGTTTCAGAACATAGTTTAAAATTAATGTAGTTCTCACACCAAATAGCAAATTTTGTGGATTGTAATTTTATAGTTTTAATAATGCAAAATTTACTTAAATTCTATAGTTGCACCTTATTTTAAAAGTTCTTTAAAAAGTAACAACTATGTTTCTTTTTTTTTATCAGCCTTTATGATCAATTACAATACAATAAAAATATTTCTCTGGCACCACTCTAATAAGATGACAAATCAAATGGTTTCTTATTTTTACTTAAAAAAGAGGGTAGTTTTGTTTGGGGGGGGGATCAAATGTTTATAATCACCTTGATTTCTTTCCATGCAATTCTCACAGTTTGAAAAGTTTAATTCACTAATTAGATTTGCTAAAAAATATGTATAGATTTCTAGATTCAATTATTAAATTCCTAAAATCTGCCCACAAAAGTAAATACATATTTATAGAACACTGAAAAAGAGTGTTAAGTTTTATTTTGCTAGGATGATGCGATAGAAAATTTTTTAATTTATTTCTGAAGAGTAAATATGGAGTGTGGAAAAAGAAATAAAATACATGCCCGACAAGTATTTTTCAAGTATTAGATTTCTCCTTCTTAAATATTCTTGCTTGAATCATTACCATGAAGACAAAACATGCAAATTTAAATAATCACATTAAACTTTCATTAAAAATTTCTTTTATTCTCTCGTTAGAAAAATGGAAAAAAAAAAATTTCATTTTGTGCGACATAAAATTTAAACTTTTTTTTCTTTATAAATAAACATTTTTATATGAAATTACTGCCACATTTTTTTTATGTAAACATTACTTTTACTAACAAACATGTTAAGTAATAAATACAACTACATTGGAATTCTGCATTCAAGATAAATTTCTTTGGTCAAACAATCTTAATAAGAAACTAAAAATCTGACTTACCTAAGAAAAACAATTCCCACCAAACCTTTTTTAAAAAAAAATAATCATATGTATCGAAGTGAAAAAAAATCCAGTGAATTTCATGGTATCAAGCATTTGTTATTGGAAAACAGAATAATTTTAGGAACAATATAAGTGGTGGGTTACCTTATTCCTAATTTTACGCAATTTTCTAAAGTTGAATATTAAAGGGTTTTTTTGGGGATTTTTTTTTTTTTGTACATAATAGTATATACGCTTAATAAATTGATAGACCACACCAAGTTGTGTAGAAACAATAGTTAATCTTCGGTTTATCTTTTTTTGAATTTTACAAAGTTTTTTTCGTAATTCTATTTTTCAACTAAGCTAAAATCAAGCATAAGCATTAATATGCGGTATTTGGAAATTTTTACAGTTAGTGAGAATATCTATAATTGTTCAGGAAACAAATTAAAACAGAAAACATTAAAAATTTATTAATAAATAAAATATTACATGAATTTAAACAGATACATTTAAACAGTGCTTATAAGCAGGTGCATTATTAAATCTCAAAATAGATTTCAATGCAGTTCCAGGTCCGCATTCATAGGTATCTGGGAAACTATCACCCGGAGGTCGTTCATATATTATATGCATTGTTTGTTCCCATGCAACTGCACTACATAATTGATTTGCTAGTTTTTCTCTTATTTTTTCTGCACTACTATATGGTCTGCCATCAACATTTGCATGTACTGGTATTATTGGAGTTTCAAACGGTGTTGCTTTTAGAGCTTTTTTCAGAACTACTTTAGCAGGATTCATGAGTTTTGAATGAAAGGCACCACTAACGGGAATGTATTTCATCTTCTTTATCCCAAACTCCTTAGCATTGGATTCCAGAAACTTTAAAGCCTAGGGAAAATATCAAGTTTACTCGTCTTTTGTAATGCAAAAAAAAATATGAAGAAATCATTGTATCGGGTTGTTCGGAAAGTAATTTCGTTTTTCCGACAGAGGATTTAATTGTATTTTTTCGAACCCAACTTCACACTTAAGCTGTATTATCATTATATGTTTTGAGAGCTGATATAGCAAGGCTTGTGTGTGATAAAGTTCAATTAATTCTATGTAGTAGTTTTTGGTTGGTGCCCTTTAAGTCATATAAGCAGCATTTAAGCCATATTTTACTTTTTTACTATAGAAAAGGTAAAAATACTGTTAAAGCCAGAAAGAAATTTACCGATGTGCATGAATAAGATGTGTTGACAGTACGCCAGTGCCAGAATTGGTTTGCAAAATTTTGACCCGGCAATTTTGATGTCGAAGATGCACCACGTTCTGAAAGGCCCGCTAAAGCTGATAAAGGCATTAGTGGATGCAAATCGGCGAATAACAACACATGAGATCGGTGAGAGGTTAAATTTATCGAATTCAACTGTTTATAACCACTTGAAAGGCCTGGGTTTAACCTCGAAGCTCGATATATGGGTTTCCCATGTTCTCACAGAGAGAAATTTGTGTCGTCTTCTCAAATATCACGAAAATTATCCATTTTTGAAGCACATCGTTACTGGGGACGAAAAATGGGTTGTCTATAACAATGTCGAACACAAGAAATCATGGAGCAAAAAAGATTTCCCGGCTCAAAGCATTTCAAAAGCCAATATCCATCCAAAAAAAAAAGGTGATGCTGTCTGTTTGGTGGGATTTTAAAGGAATAGTTTGTTTTTTTTTTTGGAGCTTTTACCGTATAACACAACACTTAATTCGGAAGTTTACTGTCATCAGCTGGACAAACTGAATGATGCTCTTCAACAGAAAAGGCCAGAATTAATCAACAGAAAAGGTATAGTGTTTCACCAAGATAATGCGAGACCTCATACATGTTTGGTCACTCACCAAAAGCTTTTACAGCTTGAATGGGATACACTGCCACACCCACCATATTCTCCAGATCTGGTGCCTTCGGATTATTATTTGTTCCGGTCACTACAAAATTTTTTGGACTGTAAAATCTTTACTTCAAATGAAGAGATCAAAAATCACCTGGATCAGTTTTTGTCCAGCAAAGACCAAAAATTTTATGAGCGTGGAATCATGCTACTACTAGAAAGATGGCAAAAGGTGTTGGACCAGAATGGCCAATGAATAATTTAATAAAATATTTATTCATTATACGAAAATTGTCTTTCATTTTCCCCCAAAAAAAACTAAATTACTTTCCGAACAACCCAATATGTACCAAAAATGATTAACAATTTGTTAAATCAATTAAGGAAAACTGGAATCACGAAAGTTTGCTGCATTCTTAGGAAACTGGAAATTTATTCTCACCAAGAGTTAGAATTAATTACAAAGCTCATAAATAGATGTCACTGCTATATGAGAAAACTATATAATGTTTTCAAAATACACCAGTTGTAGCAACAAAGTGGTGTAATTGAGGGCAAAGTCAAAAAACCTCTGTACAAATATTTCATTTGGAATAGTCTGACATTGAGCAGAAAATATTCTTTTAGGGACTTCAGGCTGTATGCAATCTGTATACCTTCAAATGCCCTCAAAAGAAAGGGATAATCTGATTGGTGAAGCTCTCCGCGGATGGATATATTCTACCAATCAGGTTCTCTACCTTTCTTCCTTCCTTCTCTTTCTATCAGATGTGCATGGATCGCATCCAGCAACACATTACAGTTTCTAACTAACTTTGCAATTAATTTTGAAACTTGGTGAGGATAAATTACTTGGTTCCCCAAACTTGAACCATTCCTATTTTTCTTCAATTGATTTTTTTAAAATCCTCTCTCATATTTAGGACACCTGGTTTCAGATGTTAAAACATAATATTACCTCCATATGACCAGCTAGAACTTTGCAATCAGGAAACATGTAAATAGCTACTTTACATTCAGCGTTATATATTGTTTGCTTTTCACACCATTCTCTTGCAGCAACACATGCAGATTTAATTTTGGCACTTGGATGCAAGAAAACTGTCATCATGCCACTAGGCTCCAAATCTGAGGCCGCCTGCATTGCTTCACCGCGTACCTTTAGTAATTTGATAGCTGCAATGCAAAGAATAAAAATTTTATTATCTGTTCAAAAATAAAATTCGTATTGCAATTTGAAAACCATGCACCTTGAACTATATTCCAAACTAACAATTAAATGTTTAACTTTTTTAGGCACTCTGAATATGTATTTCAAAACCACAATAGCATAAACTATATTTGCATTCATATTACTTAGAAATTACTAATCTATCCTATACATTAAATGAACAATGTGATTTTTTGTTTCACAACTAATATCAGTAATTCAATGTTGTATTCAACAAATAAATATAAATTTTAAACATCACAAATTTTATTTTAATAATAACTAGTAAATGCTCTCTTCTTAACCCTTTGGTACAAATGGGACACCAGCGTTCTTTTTATATTGCTCTAATTACAAGGAAAATATATATTTCGACATCTTTTCATTATAAAGAATAGTCTAATAGTCACTAAAAATAATCTGTTAGATTATCAGTATTATATTTGTATTGAAATATAAAATCCAAAAAAAGTAGTTTGAAATTTTATTGAATTCTCATATTAAATTCTCATTCAAAAATGTATCAATAAATGATTTTGTAAATTAAAGAAATTACAGTGATGAATAGCTGTTTCTTTTAGATCAGGCAAATAAGTACGAATTTGCAAAATTATTGTTAGGAAGGTTTTACCTTTAAGACAGAAAGGGATACTAGTGTCCCATTTTGTATTTTAGAATCATAAATTATTAAAATGTTAAATAAAATATTTTTCACTTATTTTGACTTTAATTAATACAAAATGAAGAAAAAGTATGAAAAATGTGTTACATGAAAATTCTGCATGAAAGGGTTAAGAACCTTCAGTATTAATGAACAAGCACAAATAATATTGCATCTCTTCTACACAAGTCATAGTAATTTCACAGTTCATGTTGGTCAACTTTGGACAAATTAAAATGTTTATTCTTGCAGAAATTATTGTCTTTTTCTTTAAAAAAGTAGAATTTTATTAATTAATTTTATATATGTTTGTGAGTACTTTATCGCAAGAAAAATAGCATAGCGAAAGTTATTTTATTACGAGACTAGGTAAAATATTTTGAAAACTTAATATCATTCAAAAATTCGGTAAAAGAAATGCCATTTTCAAAATATACTTATTGTATTAGAATATTTTGAATTAGAGCAAGGATTTCTAACATAGTAAAAACACAGTTGAACGGTATAACTGAACTAACACAATATAACATTTTGTAAAAAGAAAAATTATAATTTACTTTTTGAACTATTATTCATTTAGACAACTTTTTTATAGAATATTCCATATATGTTGGCTGTTATATTTTCCACAAAGAAATATAATGTATTTTAAAATACCTTACAAAATAGCAAAGAATGTTGATTCTTAATTTTCTATTTTATAACTGCCGTCAAACAGCCGATCCTATGACCCTATTTTGAGTTAACGACTACCAATGATCAACTCTGTAGCCTTGTAATTTTTAACCCAATCAAGATGACATGGGAGCTCTGGATAAGGAGAAATTTGCCTTTCGTGGAGATCTTTTTTATGGAAATCTGCGTTAACGTTACATAGAGAGGAAAAGCACAAAAAGCTCCCGCTGTTAACCTAACAACAAGGGGACTCTAACCCATGATCTGTCAACCACTGAAAATATATTACTTGAGCACTGTGGTCGGTTCGAGATGTGAACAGAATTTTTATTGACCAGCTATCCCTCGGATTTGAACTTGGATCACCTGAGAGGTAGGTGAGTGTTCTATTCATTGAAGCGTAGTCAACACTGTTCATTTATTTATATTCTCAGGCACATTAAGCTTTATTGTGCTACATTATGTTTAATGAATGCATATAAGTAAAGTAAAACAGAGCTACAACAACCTGTTGTGGGCCATGAGGTTAAGGCTACACAATTTTATGACCAACGGCATGATTGTGACAATGTGGTTAGCACTACGCACAGGCCGTCTTTACTTCAAGCTGCCACTGGGGATCGAATCCCAGTTCTTCACAATGACAGTTCAGTGCCTGAGCCATCTCAGCTCAGAATGCATATAAATATACATTACTTATTTGCTTCAGAAGTGATTCAAAATTGGAATGAATAATCAAGTCTGAACATTCTAATGGACAATAAAACAAGGGCATAGATTATTTAAGGATTTTTGCTTTCCTAAAAATTATAACGCTTAAACCATATAAATTATCAGAATCAAAATAAATCGTACCATGTTCAAATTCAAGAGCTCCTGAAAATACTAAAGCACTATATTCACCAACACTAAAACCAGCCGTAGCAGCACAATTTTCAATTGCCTAAAAGAAAAAACAATCATATTTAAAAGTGAAATATAATTTTTTAAATATATATGAAATAAGTGAAATATATATATATATATATATATATATATATTTCACTTATTTCTAATATAGTGAAATATATATATGTATATATATATATAAACTAAACTCAGTGGCGCGACAGCCCATAGAGAGCTAAGGCCTACTGTGCCCATCTCAGTTTTCTAGACCTTAGGCTCTGGTGTGCAGGAGCAGATGTTCCGGTCAGGTGGTCAGCCGAACGCGGAACCCCCAGTGTTTAGTTCCCAAGCATGCTTGGTACTCGTTTATCGACCCACTGAAGGGATGAAAGGCTGAGTCAACCTTGCCCAGCCCCAGATATATATATATAATCGCCAAGCCTAGAACAAGAATCTAAATAGTCCCCTCATATTTTGTAAGCATTACATAAAAAAGGAAAGTTGGAAAACCTACTAAACAATATTTGTGCAGGTATTTTGTAGATATGCCAGTTTTCACTTTAAAATTAGATATAACATTTTAAATAAGAAGTTTCTTCACTGCATCTTTTTCAAGCTTGCAACCAACTATTACTGACATACATAATTTACTTAGATTTTCTGCAATGGTGTAAAAATTTTCAACACGACCTGTCCTGTAACTTAACAGGAATGATGTTCATGTTGCGCTTTTGTAAATCATAAAAAAGTCTTAACTCTTGGAACTCCCAGGTCCCTTCTAAAGAACTATAGGATTATTTTTGAGAACTGCTGATCTAACTCTCTGAAATATTTTTTGTTTTCAAAATAAGAAATAGCTTGAGGGAAAAAATTGCTTAGAAAAAGGGTATTTTGTAAAAATAAAAAAAGTTATAAATATCCAGAATTTTATCCGATCAAGTATATCAGCTTAAAAAACATAAAATAAAGAACATATAAAAATAAATTGTAACACATGTAAAGAATGAAATCAAATCAAAATATTAAATTGTTCAGAAATATAATGAAGTAAAAAATTAAGAAAAAACATTTAGAATGTTATATAGTACTTAGTATACTAATGACATATTTCTGAAGAGATATTACCTCAGGAGATTCTGCTCTTAGTTTTTCAACAGCAGCTAATGATGTAACTACAACAGCTACTTGTGAATGCACAGTCATGTTCAGCATATCTTGGGGTCCATTTATGCAAAGGTCCAATAAATTATATCTTAATACTTCACTAGCACACTCAAACATATCTTTAACATTAGGATATGACAAAAGAGATTTTCCCATACCAACAAATTGAGAACCCTAAAAGTAATACTTAATTACAATTTGATTCTGCATCGACTTCTATTTTTAAACTATTTCAGTTTTTTTAAACAGTAAAAACTCTATAAAAAAAAACATTCAAACAAAGAAAGACAAGATTAAAATCATTTAAAAACCAGCATGTGAATAAAATTTTTAGATATTTTAAAACAATAAAATACTAATAAAAAACTCCAATTACACAAAACTTATAATTATTTTCCTTTATAGAACTATTAGGTTTTTAAGAAAATAATTTCAGTACGCACCAGTACATGATATGTTCATTTTGTTATCGTTTTATCAATGTTAGAATTATTTTTCTTTTTAGAATTGATAGTCCTCACTTTTAAGTTGCAATCGAAACAAATTCGGTATAACAGCTGTATAAACAGTTTTTATTTTTATATTAAAAAATATATGATATATATATATGAGTAAACCTTAATACAGTGGTTAAGCAACTGAGATGTATTGTGAAAGACTGAGGTTAAATCACTTTTGATGGAACCTTGAATCCCACCAGTTTCAGATCGATAAGTATCAGCTAATCTGAAAATTGGAAGCAAAATGAGATTGGAATCCACTGAGATTGGAATTAATGCGTAATGCAAATTCTTACCAACCCAATAACACTTTTGCAAAGTTATAAAATCAAATTTTAGAAAAGAACTTTACTCAATGCACTAATTTACTAAATTAGAACTAACTTATTAAAAACTAATTTAGAATTATCTCACACTTCAGTACTTAACATTTATTGAAACCACATATTGAGTCAACTGCTTTTCTAAATTCTTAACAACTCAAACATTGATACATATTACAATTTTAATATTGCAGGGAATGGCTTAAAAAAATATTGATAATTCGCTATGTATTGCAATATTTTTCCAATTAAACTAATTTATATTATTTTTACATAGGTTAATATTTCCCTTCGACCAACACTTACTTTAATATCACATTCAATAGTTAGCGTTAAGTAGAATATTTAAGATATTATCCTTCTGACATATTCAATAATAACTCCAGTATTATCATATTAAATATGTATCATTATCTATAAATATTGCAATATTGTCGTATTTGATACAGTTTTGGGTATTATAGAGAGCCAAATCAAAAACTAGTGTAAATCAGAATTAGATGTTGTACGTGTTAGAAAACATGACTTTATGGTCCTAATAAAGGATAAGTACCCACACTTTTTTTATTATATAATAGCATAACAAAGTAAAATTAGTAAAATCAAAGTATAACAGATCTATATCATCCTCAGAGATTTTATCCTACACCATCATAGCAAATATCGCACTGTGCAGCAGTAGTACGATTTAAACAAAGTTACTAATACTTCTTACGGCAAAATAAAAATAATAATAAAGATAAATTATGTATTGTAAAAATATAAAATACAAATTGATCACTCTATAAGAAATAGAACAAAACAAAATAGCAACAGATATAAATTTGTAAACAATTTTTACTTCAATGAAGTTATATAATAATCTTAAACAAATACTTAAAATAAGCAAACCTGCCCAGGAAATAGTAACACAGATGTCTCACGCGGATTGACATTCAAACGGATCGAATGATCTGATTGATTATTTCTTTTTACAGAATACTCCTGTGTTATCCAAGGATCCAACGCATTATTTTCAATATATGAAACCGAATTATTCAAAAGAGATTTCAAATCAGGCTTCTTTGGCAGTGTATATGAATCCATTGAACTAACACTTAAAAATATATTTCGATTATTCATGAAATTTGCTTTTCTTAGTAATCTGAAAAACTTAAAGTTGGACATTTTGAAAGTTAGCTCATTAACAATTTTAAATAAATATAATATGAGAAATTGGACTTCATCGATTTGTTTACAAACAAATATTTAAGTGGTCACAGTTACATTTAACTAATTCCATATCAAAAAGCCTTGAAAATCTAGCGTAGCAGCCACTGGAGTTAACTTTTGGACTGGATTTAACTGGATTTACGTCGAACTAGAGCTGCGCAATGGGCAATTGGCGACGGTCTGGAAACATCCCTGAGGATGATCCGAAGACATGCCATCACAATTTCGATCCTCTGCAGAGGGGATGGCACCCCCGCTTCGGTAGCCCAACGACCTGCACGCGAAGTCGAGCACTTTACGGTAGCACAGTTTAACGAGGACCAATACCGCACACCCTCGGTCCCTAGGCAGACTGATCCAAGTGGGTCACCCATCAGCACACTGACCGCAGCCAGTGATGCTTGACTTCGGTGATCTGCTGGGAACCGTGTCTTAACGATCAGTCCACTGAGAACTTTGTTAGAACTTTTAGTTACATAATTTCATTGCTGTCGGTCTGGACATAAGAATTATTCGTGACAATTCGTACAAATTCGTGTTAAAAGTAGTTTAACACGATGCAAATATCTTCAATTAGTTTTCATTGAACACATTTTTAATAACGAAATTATTTCAGTTGTTTTTCTGATTGACGCTGGATATTTTTTTCTTTTTTATGATTTACCATTCTGTATGCAAATGAACTAATAAGTAATTAAAAAAAAAATTCTCTTTTCTTATACGTCGCACAAATTCGTTAAAAACTTTTTGAAGTAAAATATATTCTCATATATTAAATAATCTAAAGTATTACTTGAATAAAAATAAATAACGCTAGTTTAATAATTACAAATGATTATAAGTGAATCTCAAAACAGAAAAAAAAAATTTTTGCTTTAAGTTTTTTTTTTACCCTAAAATTTGTTATTTACCACTTTATTAAAGAGTAAGTATATTAAAAAGGTCAAATGTCAAACAGCAGATTAGTAAATAACTAAAATGTTTTTCGAATTCAAAAAATGTGATTTTAGAAATTTTTTCATCTTAATCTTAAAAAATTTTATTCCTTAAATGATACATAATTTTTCAAAAAATAAATTGTCGAATATATTTTGAGATTATAAGAGTAAAAATATTTTTTTGTCTTAGAAAAAAAAGAGGAAATTTTCGCATTTTCAAAGATGAATAAAAAATAAAACAATAATAATATATTATTATTTAATTATGCATATAAATTTATCAGTGACTTTATAATAATTCCATAACGATTATATTGAAAAAATTTCCATCCTTCATATTCCATTCTTTTTATTACCCTCTTATATTCCACCCAACTCAGAAGACAAGAGAAAATAAATTAAATTATGTTCCTTCATTATGCATCTAAAGTAATCAACTACTTAATAATAATTTAAAAAACGCTTATGTGGTAAAAGCTTACGTTCGATCCTTCAAATCTCTAAAAGAAAATTGTACAACGGATGAAAAATAAGTATACAATTTATAGTAATTCTAATTTATGTTATATGCGATTTAGTTATAGTTATCTTATTTATTTATTATGTACTAATCATTACTATTTATTTATTATGATGCATTTTTTCTCCAAATATTTTGAAAATGTGACAAGGTAGTTAAAATAAAAGTTAATAAAAACACGGCAATAATAATACTAAATATACAATGACTAAGAATACACAAAAATTTGGAACAAAAATTTTTCTTCACGTTTTATTTAAAGTTGTGCAAGATTATTATAAATTTTATTATAAGTTCAGCAAGAAATTAATTTTTTAATCGATTTATTATTCGAACGTTCGAATAAGATTGTTGTTGTTGTTCATTTACGTCGCACTAGAGCTGCACAATGGGCTATTGGCGACGGTCTAGGACACATCCCTGAGGATGATCCGAAGACATTCCATCACAATTTTGATCATCTGCGGAGAGGATGGCTTCACCGCTTCGGTAGCCCGACGGCATGCACAGTCGAGCACTTTACGGTAGAACAGTTTAGCGAGGACCAATACCGCACACCCTCGGTCCCTACGCAGACTAATCCAAGTAGTCACCCACCCGCACACTGACCGCAGCCAGTGATGCTTGACTTCGGTGATCTGCTGGGAACCGTGTCTTAACGATCAATCCACTGCGGGACTTTTTTTCAGAGATGGAACATCCCAAACACATCGAAAAAATATTTGTAAATGAACAGAAAAAAATATGTATCGACTTATTAGAGCTAAAACCTAATGCCTGCGAAATCGTTTTACAAAATGTAATGATATATAACAAGAAAAGCCTATTTAAACTTTACATATATTCCTTATATAGTTTTGAGAATCATATTGCTTCAAACATAAAAATATGCAAAAAGTATACCCATACAGCACATTGACTTCGTTATGACATCCTAAAGTTGTCATCTTTAGGATTCTGTGACTTCCAGAGGAAGTCCTATATTTACCGCTAAATGTCCTACGGATGTCATCTGCGTGTTAGAATGTCCCACCTGCAGATATCTTAATGATGTCATAACTAGGACAGTTTCAGGATACCTTTAGAACGCTTTAGGATAGCATTAGGACATAATAAGACCTGTTTAGTAAGGATTTAGATAACTTGTGGGATGCATGTTGGAAATGGTATGATAGTAATAGGAGGGTGTCTTATTTTGGAAATAAATTTCATCTTCGAAATTTTTATTAATTTTAGCAACTTAAATAAGGTTTTTCTTTCAAATTTACTGAATTAGAGGTCAGAAAAAT